CCATTTTTTCTCCTCACAGATAACCAAAAGACAAGTATAAACTTTTCTTCACCCAGCTAGGTGGTCCACACAGCAATACCTCCCTGCTTGGAGGCATTGGCAGAAGCAAATGAGAAATGCCAGGTAATACCAGTACAGTGGTACCTCAGGTTACATACACTTCAGGTTACAAACGTTTCAGGTTACAGACTCCGCTAACCCAGAAATATTGCCTCGGGTTAAGAACTTTGCTTCAGGATGAGAACAGAAATCGGGCGGGGGCGGCACAGCAGCAGTGGGAGGCCCCATTAGCTAAAGTGGTGCTTCAGGTTAAGAACAGCTTCAGGTTAAGAACGGACCTCCAGAACAAATTAAGTACTTAACCCAAGGTACCACTGTAGTGCTAAGCCCTCTTCCACAACCTCCCATATATTCTGGCTGCACTTGGGTCTTGTTGCAACCCAAAGGGACGGAGCAATCTGGTTTAAATACTTAGGGAACCTGGAAACATTTCAGCAGTCAATATGAAATGGCTACCAGTTTTAGTGATTACTTTGGGAGACTTGAGTGATGAATAACCAATGTGGTACATTTTTGTCCAACTAGGACCCAGGAGATGCAGGTTTAAATCCAACCTCAACCATGCAACTCAGCCACCATCTGTCAGTTTAACCTATTTAATGGGCCAAGAATCCTTTTCTAAAATGCTGTGGTTTTTGGTCCATAGTAACAATGATCAAGCCAACTTATTACAAAAGAATACATCTAAACCAGCCTATAAGGTTTATAGGGTGGGGAGAGAAATATTTTTGTAATGTTTTAGAACATTTAGATGTTCAATGATAATGCCCAATCTTATGCTGTTTTCACCCTACTGTAACAATATTTCTTTATGCTCTTTATCTTTATTTTATTAATAAAATAATTTCTTCACAAGGTTAAAAGGGGTGGGGCTGTGGACAGCCTGCAACTGTTGCCTGAAGCTGCCATTGCCAAACCGTTGAGATTAAGTTTGCAATGTGAGCTTGGATTAAGTATAGTGCAAGTTATACCAATAGTACATTGATTTAGATCTATTTTGAGCTGCATACTGCCAATTCCTCCCCGTTTTTTCCTATAATTCATTTGAACAAACTGCTTAACTGGGGAGTGGGCAGGCATTCAATAAAAAAGCTGTGTGGTTAGTAGTCAGAAAGTCATTAGCAGTAGTGGGGTTTGAATGAACCCCTTTGTGTGTTAAAAGCACATGGCTTTGTGGTATTACACAGGCTAGCTCCCTCCATTCCCCAAGCTGGGCAACTGCGAGAAGAGGTCCAATACCAGGGTTGGTCCTGTGGCTGAAATACGTTTTGAAAGAAGCATTCTATTGTAGCCAATAGACTAGGTTGTGGTGTGTGCATGATGCCCACAAGTTTCTCTGCTTTGTAGACACATCCACAGGCCCAAAAGGTTAGCAGTCCCTGCCCTATACATATACCAATGTAACTTTGCAGTCCCCCGTGTGTGCAGTTTTGCATGCTTTTATTGGTAAGTGGGGTCCCTTCTATTGGTGAAGGACAGTTCAGAGAAGGACAAGGGAAGGACTGCTGCACAACAGCTATCACACATAGATGTTTCTAATAGCTACTACTTAGAACTACATGTACAAATTAAGGTGAGCAATAATATTCATTCAAGAGGGGCAAGGCATGATGTGACTGGGACGTTACTGGTAACAAAATTTAGTAACAGAATAAAAGATAAATGATCTAACATCACCAAAAGCAGAATAAATGACCAAACACCACTAATAGTAAACAAGATTAGTTTATTTGCAGTAAACAATTTACAAAAACAATGGGGGTTTTGTGACGCAAAAAAATACTGCATGGACAAAATGAGTTCGGTACAAATATCCATTTCCAGTTTAAAAAGTCAATTATTATATTCTATATTTAAAAGGAACATGTGTTTATATTATACTTTGCCTTGGACCCAAAGGGCTGTATCCGACACTGCAGGTCCATTGGCACAAGGAGCTTCAGCCCCCTCCCCATAACCCTCAAAACCACATCTAGAAGGATGGGAAGCTCTCCAGAGAAGATTTGGGGGATGCACAGCAAGCAAGGATAGGCAAGTCCCGTTGCACCCATGCAATCCTGCAGGCACAGCATCAGCTACAATCCCACCCCAAATGATCTGAATGAATGCGTATGTTGCCTGCCCACTCTCCCTTCCCAAATGCAGCCTTCTGATGGTGCAGAACACTCCATTCAAAAGGACCCCCAATCTCAGAAATGCATGGGAAAGACAACAAAGTTCTACAGAGGGAAAATAGCAGGATGTGTATTCTTTGGTTCAAAGCCATACATCTAGTCAATTAATTATTTGCCTATTTGCATACTTTAACTAATCAGGTGTTGAAGTCAGATAAGCATGATACATTAGTTTTCATTATAATTAGAATATTTTAATTTGTTACCCTAGTACTCATTTTAATACTATACATATTGTAATCAGTGCTTCTTCTTTTTTTAAGGAAAAAAAGGTGCCGGTACTCACCATGAGGTTGTAACAGGAAGTGCCACACTTTTAACACTTGGAGAAAAAGAAAGGTGCCGGTACTGCGTTCCCTGAGTACCCCCAGAAAAAGCACTGATAGCAAGCTATAAGAGAACAGCCCTGCTGTTTTAAAAGTGTAACAAGCAAAATATACAGTTCTGTTTGGACAGTGTTAAACTATGGTTCAGTTTTACATGCAAGAGCCTCTGGCCTCAGTACTTCCCCTGCTGTCGCTGAGAGAAGATGTGAAACTTTCACTTCTGCTTTCCATTAACTATGGTTTGTCACATCTGACCCTTCAAACTGTGGTTAATCTTAACTATGATTTCTGGAAACAAGTAAGAACTGTAAACCAGGGTTTGAAGTCCAACAAAAGTTTCTCTAAGTTCAAACACAGTAGATGTATAGGGACAATAAATCTTCCCTTTGTGCCAGTGAATTTCAACCTAATCAGAAAACTATGGTTAATGGAACAAGGCAGGAATCCAGTTTGATGTCGGTTTCATATTCTGTCTTGTTCCTAAGCTGTTTCCCAATTTGGATGAAATGAGAAATGAAAGTAAACTGAGGAGTTCCTGGGGTTTTCGCACCTGTTACGAAGAGGTTATGTGCATGATCACAAGCCTTATTCATACTGAACTTATTTAAGTCAATATACAATTATCAGAACCTTTGCTATGGCCATCAGCTGATGCGAATAAAGTTTTATCTATCTAAGATTATCAGAACCAGGCCAATAAATAACTGTTAGTTGAAACAGAAGCAGAAGTTTCTGATCTTCTCCTTGTGGCTGCAACAGGTGGACAACAGAAAGGAGCCCATGAATCCAAGGTTAATACACATAACACTAAGCCATAGTTTATTTAGCACTACACACTTTGCAGCCAGTCTCACGGAGAACAGAAAGAAACTAAACTGAGAATTAATACAATATTGGTGTAGTCAGAATTTTGACCAAACACTTGGAGGTAGTGAAAATTAAAGCAGTGCTTTCTTAGCTATCAAGTGGCACAATCTACACATACTTCTAATTGAAATCCCCTCCCCCGCACTCCTAATAAAAGTATTATGTAACATTGTTACAGCTTGACAGCTGGTCCTGAACTGATGCCTGTCAAATGTCCTTATGAAGCCTCATAAGGACTGGCGTGCCTGCTTGCTGCCGCTGCCCTGGAGGACTCCCCTGAGTGAGTGCTTGAGGGCCCTGCTCTTGCCACTTACCATCTGGCCTGGGGCGGGGCCTGAAGCCTCATAAGGACTGCGTGGCTGCTGCGCTGCCAGGAGGACTCCCCTGAGTGCCTGAGGGCCCTGCTCTTGCCACCTACCATCTGGCCTGGGGTGGGGCCTGAAGCCTCATAAGGACTGCGTAGTGCTGCTTGCTGCCTGCTGCCCAGGAGGACTCCCCTGAGTGAGTGCCTGAGGGCCCTGCTCCTTTCTGCAACTTACCATCTGGCCTGGGGCGGGGCCTGAAGCCTCATAAGGACTGCGTGGTGCTGCTTGCTGCCTGCTGCCCAGGAGGACTCCCCTGAGTGAGTGCCTGAGGGCCCTGCTCCTTTCTGCAACTTACCATCTGGCCTGGGGCGGGGCCTGAAGCCTCATAAGGACTGCGTGGTGCTGCTTGCTGCCTGCTGCCCAGGAGGACTCCCCTGAGTGAGTGCCTGAGGGCCCTGCTCTTGCCACTTACCATCTGGCCTGGGGCGGGGCCTGAAGCCTCATAAGGACTGCGTGCTGCTTGCTGCCGCTGCCCAGGAGGACTCCCCTGAGAGTGCCTGAGGGCCCTGCTCCTTTCTGCCGCTTACCACCTGGCCCAGGGCGGGGCCTGACAGGCCTCACTAGGACAGTTGTTACTGCCGGAGGGGCACAGAGTGTTTTTAAAATGTTTTTTAAAAAACTTTCTTTTGGATTTTTTGTATGTGGGGGGTGGGATGGATGTTTGGTTGGGCTGGGGGAATTATTTTTTAATTTGATGTTTTTGTAATTTTAACATTTTTTTGTTTGTATTGTTTTATTGGTTTTGTTTGTTTACTTAAGGTCTTATTTTGTTCTTAGGAGGAGGGGTCAGGGCTGCCGGGGAGTGGGCCCCAGCCCACAAAATGGCTGGGGCATGTTCCACAGGAGGGGATGCACTGGGGCAACCGATCTCAGTGATCACGGGTAGGAGGAGGAGTTACGCTAAATGGGAAGCCCCTCTTTCTTAGCGGCATGAGGGAGTGAGCGAAGCTGAGAGTTGAGACTTGTAAATTAGGGATCAGCCTGCAAGAAAGAAGCTATGTGATTTTGTCTTCTAGGTCTTTGACACACACATATAGCTGTCCTAGCCCTTCAATGACCCCACAGCAGGGCAAAACTAGGCTTTATTTCACCTGGGTTAAAGGGTAGAGTTTGGCACTCCCACGTGCACTTGCATATGCATGCACAAAGGCTGGGGGACTCAACTATGCCCCACTAGAGGTTTCACCTAGGGCAAAAAAAACTTGCTACCCCCCCCCCCCGGTAGGGCTCTGCCCTAGAGATAAGAATAAGGTGGTTAGCAAGTTTATTTGCACTGAATTTATGTTCTGTATGTAAACCTTTTTTTTCCAATCTACAAACCCTGTCCTTTTAAGTCTAGGAATAAAGTAAGTCCCATAGTGGAAATTGAGTGAAATTGCAGGGTCTCTCCTTTCGCTGCTGTCCCCTTCTCCCAAATGAAATTAAGTTAGTGTAAATCCTCTGAAATCGAATGAGCACAACTGATGTGATTCAAACCCCCCCCCCAATTTTGTTGCTAAGTATGCAGCATGTCAAAACCAAACCTGAAAGTTCACTGAATGGTATAATAGAATAATGGCAATTATTATTAATCCAGTGGCTATTTTGAGCATTTTATCAGCAACAATCCTGAGCTAATTCTCATGAAGTGGTTGCCTCATGAAGTCTTTTGAAAATGCTGCAATCATTTCAGGCAGCCGGACATTTTGTGTACACCTCCTTTCCTTATTAATCTGTCTCCACCCGTTGATTTGTTTTAGAAATGCCTCCAGCTGCTTCCTAAAACATTTGGCATCATTTTGGAGAAAGCATATTAAAACAGAGATTGAGGCAAGTATACTGAACACATGGATGGTTTGTTTGTGTGAAGGCAGCTTCAAGGGTCGTCTAGAAAGCTGTCTCTCTATGAGAAAGTTCTCAGTACAGACTAAAGGAGACACCATACTAGGGCAAGAGCTGCCACTATTCCATTCAGTATGGCCATACTATAGCCCATGTGAAAGGAGTGCCCAGTCATTCGCCTGAAAAAAAGCAGAAAACCAGTATGTAGGTAACAAGAACATTACAAAAGCTAAATTTAAAAATTTTTAATCCTAGTCATAGTCCTATTCCCAAAATGAAAAATTATTTCATTACCACAATAGAAAGCCTGAAGAAGCCAAAGTATAGCAGATTATTACCAATTCCCTTCAATAAAACTCCCACAAACAGCAAAAACACAGAGAAATGGGAGTATATTCAAAATATTCCACATACAGAAAGCATTAAATAATGGAAATTTGGGGGGGGGTTCACTGTATTATATTGTAGATCATGGGTTTAATTATTTTTTACCTTGACTTAAAACTGTTTCAGGAATACTAAAGTAAAGGTTAAAAGACTTTATATAAGATATGAAAACTTATGATAGGACACACCCTGCTGGCTAACTTGTAAAACTGTTTAATATGAAGCCTCAGAAAGAACACATTCTTTGTATTTTGTGAATACAAGGCAACAAAACTGTCCTTGACATACAACATAACAAATTAAACCTATTTTACATACTATCACGTATAACAGTTTATGGTAATATTGCATTTCTCAACTAAAAACATAGAATTATTGTACTCTAGCTAGTCACCATGGACTCTGTCCCGGTGACTAGTCCAACACTAGTTGGCATAAATTTGTTTCCTCGAATATGAAGTTGTAACAGCACCAGCATATTTAGTAACAAGCTGTTCCTTACATATCTATTATAGTGGTTTACTAAGCCCCGTATCTGGTCGTATTTCAGTCTTACGAAGAAGGAACTCACTTGAATCGTGCAGGTGAGAGTGGAGTAGGAGGAAACATTCCCGGTTCAAAGGAATCAAAATAGGTCACTGTCCAAGAAAAACTGCAACATGAAAGTCCACTCATCAAGGATAGAACAAGTAGACTCCAAAATCCTTAGGGAAGAGAAACAAAGTGAAAACCTGGAATAGAATTTTAATTTGGCCACAGGAGAGATGCATCAACTCCACTGTAGAATAAAGATCAAATCCGGAATAAAAGTAAACTAGCAAAATGACAATTACAATACAACCCTACGAATGTTTACTCAGAATTAGGTATATTGAGTGGAACATGTTTGCATTATATGTGTGCAGAATGTTGTAATTTTCATTATGGTTAGAACAAAACTAGCATTTTTGTGTCTGATCTATGGAAAGTAATCATCCATTGAGTTGTTACTGTTCGCTCTATTCATTTTTGATAATCTATCTGGAGCCAAATGCCATCTGTTGTGGATCTTCATGTAGTTCTCCCTCAATGAATTGCAGACTGTAAAGTTTATATTTCCCCCCCCAAAAAATTTCCAGTCTTCCAAATCGATTGTATAGCCTAGGTCCCGTTCCCACTTTAGCATGTTCTCTCCTTGTACCTCTTGATCTGAAGGTACTTTTTCTAACAATCTGTACATTTTTAAAAGTGTTTTTTGATTACTTTGTAGTACCTCTCTTTCAAATTTTGAAATTTTGCTTTCAAATCCCCTAGTTTTTATATCTTTCTCATACGTTGCCTTTAACTGGAAATATTCTAGCCAATTTATTCCCATTGTTTTGAGTTCTTCATAATTTTTTTATTTAGTGTTTCCATTTGTTTCTTCTGCTAATTATGTTGGCCAGATAGTTTTTATATTATTTGGCCAGATAGTTTTTATATTATTTTTTAGTGTTGAGGTTGCCTCTAGTGGAGAGATCCACCATGGGGTTTTTTCTGTAATTCTCTCTTTCGTTCTCTCCCATACCTCAAATGGGGCCTTTCTTACTAAATGAATCCTTTATGTAGTTGTATCTTCCCATAAAATAGATATCCGTGCCAACCATATATTTTGTCCCAACCTTCTAACTTTAAAACTTCAGTATCTTTTAATAATAATTGTCATTAAATAAATCCGTGTTGTTATTTGTAATCCATACCCCTAAATAATTTACCTTGTTTTCTATTTTTAATCCTGTTATTCTCTCTTAACTCATTTCTATCTTTCTCCCCCATATTTTTTGCTAATAATTTTGACTTGTCTTTATTCAAATCCTGATACATCGCCAAATTCTTTCATTTTTATTAATGCTTACTGAATATTTTCTATTGGTGTTTCAGTTGTTATAATTACATCATCCGCAAATGCTTTTACTTTAAAACACTATGTTTCAAGGTTTATGCCCTTTATTTCTTCATCTTTCCTTAAAGCTATTAATGTTTCCAATACTGTTATAAATAAAAGTGGTGATAGGGGGCATCCCTGTTGTGTCCCTCTTTCAGTTCAAATCAATTTTGGACAATATATTGATACATCGCCCAGCCCTATTAGCCAATAAACAAAGCCTAAAATGAACAGCCATTATTCCAAAATAAAGCGACATGAGCAGCTTACCTAAAATGCTTGTTTCTATATTCTCATCGGTCTTCCCTTTTTCAGATCGCAAATCTGTTGGCAGAAACAGCAAACAATGAAAGTTGTAAGGCAAAGCAATTCTGGGTAGAAATTGTTGTCTAGCAAGTGGCACACCCAAGCATTTTTTCTTCTGCCGCATGACTAGACACTCATTTTGTTGCATAAAAAAATCAGTTAGAATTCAAATGCCTGTTAAAGTGTGCCACAGGCTTTTAAGCAGAAGTATGCGGGTAGCGCTGTGGCTTAAACCACAGAGCCTAGGACTTGCCGATCAGAAGGTCGGAGGTTTGAATCCCCGCGACGGGGTGAGCTCCCGTTGCTCGGTCCCCGCTCCCGCCAACCTAGCAGTTCAAAAGCACGTCAAAGTGCAAGTAGATAAATAGGTACCGCTCCGGCAGGAAAGTAAACGGCGTTTCCGTGCGCTGCTCTGGTTCGCCAGAAGCAGCTTAGTCATGCTGGCCACATGCTGTACGCCGGCTCCCTTGGCCAATAAAGCGAAATGAGCGCCGCAACCCCACAGTCGGTCACAACTGGACCTAATGTTCAGGGGTCCCTTTACCTTTACGGATCACTATGGATGCCTTCCTTGATATTCCTGCATTGCAGGGTTGGGGTTGGGCTAGATTACCCTCAGGGTCCCTTCCCTACGATTCTATGGCTGCTGGGAACGCGCTAGGCCTAGCAAGCGGTATCCCATGCACTGAGGCGTCTCCTGACTCTTCCTCGCCTTTTCCTCACCTCTCAGCACCAGGCAAGCGATGGCCAGCAGGAAAGCCAGCAAGGACACGGCCAGGAGGCAGCACAGCACGGAGAAGGCCCTGCTCGGCCACCGGCGAGCCGCCCCGTCCGGCAGCGGGGCCAGGGTAGCCCGGGACACGGGGCTTCTCCCGAGGCCGCCCAGCAGCTCTCCTTTGCCGCCGCCGCCGCCTTCCTCCTCCTCCTCCTCAAGCTCCGCCTGGAGGTTCCGCGCTACCTCTCCTCGCTCCGGCGGCCACGGAGTGCCGGGCGGCCCCGCGCGGCCGTAACGGACCGCGATGTTCCGGTAGCGCACTGCCATGGCAACGGCGCTTTCGAAGTTCTCGCGCGCGAAACGGCCGCCGCGGCGTCGCCCAGTCAAAGCGGTCCCCTCCCCGCCCCCCACGCGACTGCCTCTAAACCGGAAGCGTATCTATCTCGCGAAAGGGGTGGGACCGAGAAATTGCCCACGCCGGAAGAACGCATCGGGAGCCCCGCCCTCTTCTGTCTGTCTCTCTCTCTCTCTCTCTCTCGCACCTGCCACCCCACCGCCTCGCTCGCTCAACGGATTAAACTGCCCAGGGCCTCTTAAAGGGACCGAGCGAGGAAGCAAGCCAAACGCCTTCGCTGTCTCGCTCCCTCCTCCCGCCCTTCCAGTTCAGCTGAGGGACCTCTTGGCTTTCCGTAGCCACGCCCCCGATCTCGGCTCGCGGGAGCCCATTTTCCCAGTGTCCTTTGCGCGCACGTCCCCCTCTGCTCCCACTCTGTAATTTCCATCCTCCTCAGGCCCTTCCGTTGTATAAGCCCTGAACCCACGCGCGCTTTTTTTTTCCCCCTTCGCCCCCCGCTTTGCTTTTTGCCTCCCGCTGAGGGGAGGAAGAGCGGGAGGCGGCGGCGGCGGCCCTCAATTCTCCCCACAACCCGGCCTGGAGTGAGTTTTTTGTTCCGGCCCAGCCGCGCGCGCAGGGCGCTCCTCCTTACGTGTCGGTGAGCCTGACTTTCGACGGAACCCCTTTTCTCCCATTGCCCCGCAGGGCGGCCGCCGCCGGCCCCTCCTTCCTCTTCCCGTTCGCTCCTCCTCTAACGGTTCCGCTTAGACACCCCGCAGCCGGGAGGGCAGGCTCGCCGGAGCCGGGCCCGGTCCAGGGGAGGCGATGTCAGGCGGGGACTCGGCGGCCGCCGCGGCCTCCCCTCAGCCGCTCCCTTTCTCCCTGCCCAAGCCGCCTCCCCTCATGCAGCTCAACCCCGGCGAGGGAGTGCGGCCCGTGGGGGCCCCCGGCCCGGAGCAGTCGCCCAAGAGCAGCCGCATGGGAGGCCGCCCGGATTGGCCGACCGGGAAGCCCGTCAGCCTCTTGGCTCCCCTCCTCCCGCCTCGAGGGGAGCCCGAACCCCTCCTGCCCTTCGGCCCGTCTTCCCGCCAGCCGCTCCGGGGGAGGCTGCTGGGCAGGTGCGGAGGTGGCGGCGGCGGCGGGAGCCTCCTCAATCCTTCGATGCGACCAGGTGGCGGCGGCGGTGGAGGAGGCGGCGGTGGCGGTATGGGCCGAGAGCCCCTCATGGTGAGTGGAATGGTTGTGACTTGTTTTTCCCGCTGCGTTAACTCCCGCGTGGAGTTACCCGTCGCGCGTTCATTCTGAGCGCTTTCAGCGTGATCCTCAAACTCTGAAGTCGAAGAATAGGGTACGGTTCTGGTCTAACCTGAGTGGAGTATGGAGATGGGTAGTTGTTATAAGAGGTCCGGGGCAACTTGCAGTCCGGCATAATCGCCCTTCTCTGTTTCCCACGCCCTACACACATCCCCCCAAAAAAGAAAAAAGAGTGTACTTCATGCTTCTAACATAATCGGTTTCTAATAATGGAGCTTTTTCTGCACAGACGTCTTGTCCTATCTTGATCTCTTAAGCACATCATGTCCGAAGTCCTTTTGTTCAAGTTTTGGACTACTTCGTTACCAGCAAGCTGCTTATCAAGTTATGTATTAAGTAGATTCATACTTTGATTAACCCTTGTGCTTTTCAAGTAGCTGGATGCAATGTGTGCTCATAAAATGAGAGAAAGGGGTAACTTTTTGTTTGGTGACGGTAATATGTAAGTTTGGCGTTGGGCCTCTAAGGTAGAAAATGGCTGTTTTTAACACAATTTTTAGTTGCAAGTCTGTACATATGAAGAATGGTTGAGCAAGGCCCAATCAGGTATTCAGTTTAGTGTCTGAAGACAATCATGAGAGGGGAGTGGGGGCATGCTGGCAAGATTTGTCCCCTCCTATGCCTCATCTTCCCCTCCATTATAGCCCACTGCTCCAGGAGTTGGAAGATAAAGTTCTGTAGCAGGGAACCTCTTGTATGTGGAGGTATCATAAAGGTAAGGTAAAGGCACTCCTGACCATCAGGTCCAGTCGTGACCGGCTCTAGGGTTGCGCGCTCATCTCGCTCAAGAGGCCAGGAGCCGGCGCTTGTCCGCAGACAGCTTCCGGTCCGTGGCCAGCGTGACTAAGCCGCAGCTGGCGAACCAGCGCAGCACACGGAAACGCCGTTTACCTTCCCGCTGGAGAGCGGTCCCTATTTATCTACTTGCACTTTTTGGGGTGCTTTCAAACTGCTAGGTTGGCAGGAGCTGGGACCGAGCGACAGGAGCTCACCCCGCCGCGGGGATTCGAACCGCCGACCTTTCGATCAGCAGGTCCTAGGCTCTGTGGTTTAACCCACAGCGCCACCCGCGTCCCACGGAGGTATCATAAATTTAGGTAATTGGTAGTGCTCACTTGCCAATACAGTAAGTTGAAAATATGCTCATGATTGTCAGGATAGTTTCATATTTTATGTTCTTTTTTGCCCATTACAGGGTAATGGCCTGAATGGCAAATACACGTTAGACACATAATGTGGGAAGTAATCCAATAATATGCTGTTTTTAGTAGTTGTATTTAATTCTGTTTAGTTTTTTAAACAATACTGCTTGAGTTCCTTTAGGAAGTTAAAAGCTGCAATTCTATCAAACATGCAGCCCCCATCCAATTGAGTATCCATCATGATTTGCCATGCACTACTTAAGTGCAGGTGGCATATCCTTCAGTTGGCCTTTATATTAATACAGTGAGGATTGGAGCTTAAGGATGTTCTTCAGTAACATCTCTAAATGTGATAAAAATTTCAGGACAATCTTGGTAATCAGATTGCTATTTCTGTTTTTATCGAGGCTGAGTCAATGTTTAAGCTTTCTACAATACTTTAACATTATAAAGAAATTAAAATTCATAAAAGCCTAGCAGATAGGGAGGATACTTGGTTGGATCCACGGGAATCCTACTGTTAATGAAATATTTTTATACAATAAAGACTTCTGTGAATGATAGTGGGGAGAGGTGGTAGTTTTTCCTGATTGGATCAGGGCATCTACACCCAGTTTCATTTGTTGGAGTCCATATTAAATACAAACCTTTTTCAAAAATTGGGGAAGTCCTGTTCATGAAAGAGCATTTTTAAATCTCACACAATGTTCTAAGCTATACTCTATAGCTCTATAACTATATAGCTCTATAACTCAATGTTCTAAGTTACTCTATAGGGTAATGCTGCAAAGAATCAAAAGTTTGGGGTTAGCTTTTGTGGAAACTCTGGAAAGCATTAAAAACCAGTGGACTGGAATATTATAGTTTGAGATAAATAATCTACTTTCACATTAGAAAACCTAAGAAGAAATGTATTGATGGTTCTGAAATTTCATGGAATCAAGCAACATGTGAGGCCATAACTTTATAGTAGCAGACAACAATACCTAAATGACCTGATTTGGAACCCAGAGATGTTATTTCCATTGTGTTTATTATCTTGGAATCTTGATCTGTCACGAATATTGTTTTTTCAGATGGGACATCCGGGTATGCCTCACTACCCTCCCATGGGAATGCATCCTATGGGCCAAAGGCCACCCAATATGCCTCCAGTCTCTCATGGAATGATGCCTCAAATGATGCCCCCTATGGGAGGGCCACAAATGGGACAGGTAAGTTGGTTTTTGATGGTTTTGTTAATAGCGTCTTAAAAGGTGCATTTTGAAGCATGAATTTTAATCCATTTTAGGGTTTTCCGTAACTCAGTAGGTGTTGATTACTCTGAGCTTCACATCACTACAGTTTTTAAACTACCTTTTCTTTTCTTTTTGGAAAAAACACATTATTGACTTCATTGAATTGAAAGTTGTCTTGCAAGTAGACAAATCACTTCTTCTCAGTTGAGACATATTTTAATTCATGTAACCAGTAGGTCAAAAAGAAGACAGAACCCTACCATTGTAATGCCTTTTATAGGAGTTCCTGAATATTTATAGTTATGAGGCCTTTGTGCTGTGAAGTGAAGGGGTTTAGCCCTTTTATGATCAGAGTGAAGAGCATATATCCTGTGTTCTCCTTGAGAATCCGTGAGAGGTATGGCCAGTTCTCTCAGCGCTTTACTTTCCCCGTTCTCTCAATTGTAGAGGTTGTAGCATTTCATTTGTCTCTTCCATGGTTATCTAGAAGAATCAGAAATAATAAACTCTGTCTAGCATTTGCTTCTCTGCTTCTCCATCATTGGGAGAAATCCCACTTCTGACGATAGTTAAAGAAGACTTTACTCTGCTTAGGATTGGGGTGCGCCCCCTCCCCCCCCCGGCTGTTAGTGTCAGATGCCTTTTCAGTAAAGCCAGCAGCTTCCAAATATTTCTTCCCTGATGTCCTAGTTGAAGGCGAATAAAGGGAACCCTGTCCTAGCACGCAGTTCATATATCAGATTTGTGGGTGGCATGCTTCCAGATTATGAACAGTGTGACAGCTTTTTAGTTCAGATGCTTGTAGGGTAGCGTAGACAAGAACTAAAGAGGAGAAGGAAAGACATGCAAAGTAATTTGGGCAGTGAGTGTTATTTTCTGTAATTGCTCAGTTTCAACTGTGATTTTTACTACAAAAACTTTGCATTCTCCAGTGAAGCTTTGCTGGTCAACTTTCCCTTGGTTAATAGTGTCAGTAAAATTTCTATCTTCCGGTGTGTATTTTAGAGGTAAATTATTAGTAGGTCAGAATGTGGTTTGGTATCCAGAATATAGGAGTTTTGTATCTTAAGAGTGTGGCTATCCATCTATTTAGACTCCCTCTGTTTTATCTGTTTGTTTAGAACCTCTCTCCTTGTTGCTTTTGGGGGCAGATATCCATAGTTCCACTGGGAATGTACCCACAGTATTTTGTCATATTCCATTAGACCTTTTCCCTTAATTTAAATAACAGCTTGTTCCTACTGATGATAGAATTCACTTTCTTCTGTCCTTGGTTTATAGTGATCCTGAACTTGAAAATTGTGTGCATAACCCATAAAATTAAGGTTGCCTCAAAGTAGTTAAAGCAGGGCTGTTAAACACACAGTTAACAGGCTTTATAACCATGTATTGTGACCCATCATATATTGGATAAACATTGAGTTTTTGTGGCTCACTGGATTTATCAAGTTCTGTTAATGTGGGAAGCATACAGCTTGTGTCCTGGAGGCTATTAATCTGGCATCTCTGAATTAAGAAATCCTTTGTTTCAAAAGCTACTTGGATAGAAGCTTTTAGGGAGCATCTCTAGCATGGAACACAATTATTTGGAAGCAGCAGTGGGGCAAGACTCCTTTCTTCTCCTGCTTCTACAGGATGGTGGGGAATGGGAGGGCCACTCCCATTCTTTCTTCTCTTCCTCACGCTTCCAAGAAAACCTTGTGGATTGAGGGTGGAGCAGTAGCCCTACCAAATACCTCTCCCTCCACACAAGATGGAAGGTAAGAGGGAGCAGTAACCTGATGCTCCCTGAAGATACATGGGAATGGGGTCACTTGGCCAATCCTCCAGGGACTGTCACTTTATAGTGGGGGGTGATTTCCCAAGAACTTTTTGTGGGGCTTGCCAATCAAATTGGCTGAATATGGCCAGTTGAATACATTACACGCATATGTAAAGGCCACTGCTCTTGTTGTCATCCACTTGTTGCAGTCCCCCAATAAGGACCGATGAAAAAAATCGGAAATAAAACTTCTAGCTTTCCTACAAAATTCATTTCCAGTTAAAATATCATGTGCATACACAAACAGATTAATTCTTCATAGTAACTGCATTGGGTCTCTGCCTTGAATGGCTTTTGCTAGACCCCCACATAACCGTTGCTTTGCAACGTCCCAATGTGAAGAATAGCCCCCTTCAGCATATTTATGATGCTTTCAGGAACAAGGGCAGTGATGTGGTTTTAAGCAGCTACGGTAGTTTGCATCCCTGTTGCATGCTTTTCTCAGCTTTTTTTAACAGTTCATGTTTTTGAACCCTGCAGTCATAATTCTTAAACTTTATAGTACTCTTCATCTTGGAACATCTTTGCAAGCATAACTCTTACTCCAGCCCTGTGAGACAAGTTCTTCAGGTATTATCCTCTGTTCATAGATGAGGTAAATGAGCCCTCAAGATTATTAGAGTTTACATAAATCACATGGATTGGGTTTGGGAACTGGAATTAGATGCTTAATTGATTTGGGCCCCATTCCTGCAGTGTTTCATGAATAGTGCTAATATTTTGGGTTATTTAATATTAAAACACTGAGTTTTGGGAGCCCTGTATTATTGAGAGAACTTTTCTACTTTCCCCTCCACCCTGAAACTTCACTTCCTTTATCTTTTGCTTTGGGTACCCATTTGACAGACCACTATGAGTAGCTGAAAAATCTTGCCCTTATTTGTTGGCCCTCTAACTAATAATCCCATGCCCACAGAAATTCCTCTGATCACGTAAGACCTTAAAATTTTGTACCCGGAAAACCATTAAGCTATTGGATAAGTATTTTGTTAGGTGTATAAAGCACTTTACATAGTTATATTTCTTTGTTATGCCCCAGCTTATTTATGTTTGAGCAGGATTAAACACTATTTCTATTAGCATAAAAAGTTACATAGGTAGCAATTTGTATTAACTTGTAAACACGTACTATAATGATACTTTTATTGTAGATGCCTGGAATGATGCAATCAGTGATGCCTGGGATGATGGCACCCCATATGTCTCATGCTCCCATGCAGCCTACAGGACCGGTAATTATTAAATCTATATTTTGTGATTTTAAACCATTGACTATCTGTATTTTATTTTTAACCTAACATACAGTGCATATTTCCCCCCCTGTTTGAATAATTTTCCAGCTATGTTGTTATGGGGGCGTTATGTTAATGGCTTATTCTTATTATAAGGTACAGGAGTGTGTGATTTATTTCCTACTTAATGTCAGGAGAAGTTGTCGGGAATAAAGCACCCAAAGTGAAGTTAACTCTTTATTAGCAGAAATGTCTGTTCAGGAGCGCCAGGCCTGATGAGCACAGCAACTCTTCTCAGTAGATCTTGTCCCTGTGAGGCAGTTGTAGAGGCTGAAGGTCCCTGCCTTCCCACAGCTGCCTAAATCATCTCTCCCAGGTCCTTCCCAAGCATTCTGAGACTATGCTGACATGCCTGTTGCTACTGCTCTCTCTTCATATGTCATATCTGGCCCTGGGATACCCAGGGGAGGAGAACCTGTAGTAGCAGGACAGGGAGACACCCTGGCTTCTTCAACAGCCTGACTCATCTCTGCCTCTTGGCCTCCCTCCTCTCCTCCTGATTCTGGACTTCTCTCTGCCACAGACTCTCCCTTCTCACTAAGCTATACTTTGTTATTCTAGTGCAGGGATGGGTAGAGTTCAAATCCCATCACCACTGACAAATAGCCATGCTGCTTAGGGCTGTTGGCAGTACAACAGCCTCAAGGGTCTCTGCCTCCCCTTCCCTGCTCCAGTGTTTATTTGTTGTGTTCGGGAAGTACATTCTAAGTAACCTATTGTGCGCATTGCTTACAATAGCTCACTCCTCAATGGTAAAACAGTAAACTTTAAAGATTAAGTAAACAATAGTTTAAATAAACTACAGTTTTTCTTATCAAATGTAACAACAAACTGTGGTTAATTTTAAAAGGTACTGGATTCTGCCATAGTCTTGAAACTGTACCAGAGGTGGAGAAGACGAGAGGCATGTCTAGTGCTAAACTATATGTTATGTCTTCATAATTCAGTTTCATGCATTCAGAATAAGTAAAGCTTCCTAAAACACCTGAATAGCAGCTTCAGGGACACGGGGAATATTTTTACAGCATCAGAGCTATGCTTAAAGCAGCAAATGCTAACAGATAAGTGGCAAAACAAAAGTGGCGCACAAAATGACTTCTCCATTCTCTTACCCCCCCCCGCCGCCCCTTCCCCCTGTTAAAAAAACAAAATAAATCAAATTTTATTATGTGACAACTTACCCGAGCAGATAGTCCTGTATTGAAGGGTTCTTGAAATAATGTGAGGTGATGTGAAAGGCCTGGTGATGTCATGAGCCTTGTCACCTGATTGTGCTGCTGAACATTTAAGGACAAGGCTCCCTCGGGAAATTTGTTTAGCTATGGCATATTTATAGTATAAATCTAGGTTTTTTTCTGGTTAGGTCAAATTATCATTAAAAAAAAATTCATCACCTCTCACTTGACTAACATAGTGTTGCTATACTGTTGCATCACCTTCACAGTAATTAATTGGAATAACAGAGAGCAATTCATAGGATTTCAATTTCAAGATTAATTGGTTCAATCTTTTGAAACAGTCCTTTGAAGATTTTCCAAGTTTAGCGGTTGGCAGAACAATAATATGGTTCACCAAGCGCCTGTTAACAAATTGCCTTATCTAGCCATGTTTAGTGTCGGCTCCATCTTTCTCATAGCTCCTTTTTAGCATTCAGTAGAATGAGGCATGTTGTAGCAGAGCTCTCTTATCTAGACATTTGAAAATCATATTGGAAGCACTATCAAAAACATGACTAGTAGGGCTGCTTTGATAGTGTGATGTGTAGTTTTATATATAGGCAGCAACCATTTTGTGCAGAGGGTCCGTTCCCAGCCCTTGCACACATTGGTGGAGCACGGATAAGTGCGCTCCGTTACACCCCACCACACACACGCATCGGCAATCGTGTGTCAATTAGACGTGCCTAAAATGGTCACCACCTGCATAGCAGGGTTGCTTCTTAAGCAGGGGTTAGGTTTCAAAGCAAAAACTACCTTATCAAATTCCCAGTATTACCTTGTTTGTAGTGCCTTCCTCAGTCTCTGTATTTTCTCATTGGCTGTTGGCTGGCAAGGGGGCTTTCCTACTGGCTGACAAGTGGGAGAGGGCTTGCAGGGACACCTCCATTGCTCCACTGCCTCTCTTCACTTCTCCACGTGTGAGTGACCTACCGAAGTTGGGAGGGGGAGGCAGAAAGAAATACAGGCAGGCAGAGGGAAAAGGCTGGGGTGGATTCTTAAAGTTGCACATAGGATCCTAACTTCTTTAAAATGGAAAAGCTTCATCATCCCTTGTTCTTCACTACCATTGCTTCATTTTGCAAAGCTGTGATATGTTACTCACTGGTTGTGGTGGCAAAATAAGGTTGGTGGTTGTTTACCAGGGGGTAGGCATTACAGGGCAATGTCATAATGTAGTACTGGGTTTAAGTCCTCAGTGGGACGAGAGTGTGTGAGAGAGGGAGATGCTGTCTTGTTAATATTTTACGTTCCAAGAGTGATTTCTGTCTATAAAACAGTAACTGCTACCAAGCTCCTATAGTTGAATTTGCTTAAGTTAGCATGTAATACATCGTGTAAGTTTTAACTTTTTTTTCCCCTACAGCCAGGAGTAAACAGTATGGATTCTCAAATTGGTATGTAAAAAGAATTCACTATTTATTTAACAATTTAACCAGAAAAGGTTCAAAACTAAAAAGAAGTTTGTTAATAATAATGTGGGTTAAAATTAAGAGTTTATTCAGTTACAGGCAACTCCTCTTTTATGTGGGGGTTCCATTCTGAGGCACCACATGTGTCAGCAGGCTGTAAGTGAGCCTGTTCCACTCCCATTCTGCCCCTTTGTGGTGCCGAAAATGGTGCACATGCCAAACATGCGCAAATGCCTGTATGTAAGGAGAATTTGAAAATATCCCTTCTTCCTAATTTACTAATTCTCAATGAACTAAAACATTGAGGTGCTTCCCACTCTGTTGACAAGGAGGTAGGATTTTTTTTTTTTTGCGGAAGGATTTATCTGGGATTGAAGTATGATGCACCTCACACTTACTTACTTATTTATTAATTGAAAGTTTGTTCATTTACCAATGGAGAATTTCACCAGCATCTTTCCCTCTATTTCCAGAGAGTGAGTGTGGCATCCTTGCATACCTAAAACATTTACATGCATAAGAGGGAAATTTCACTAGGCTTGGGAACCCTGAAGTTTACAGAAGCACAAAAAAGTTAGAAAATAACTCTTTTGGCGGGGGAACCCCAAAAACATAAGCTCTGAGCTCACCCACAGGCCATGTAATGCTGACTGATTGATGGGGAAGGAATGGAAAATGGGAATTCAAATGGGAATATCGTGTAGGGAGACATGGCTGTCTATGACTGGAGCACTGAACAGGAGCATTGCATGTTACAATGTTTTGTTACAGGTCCCAGTTTTAGCATGTCAGCATTGTCTCTTGAACGTGCTGGAGTTGAATATAGTGACTCTTGCATAAAACTGTGAACATGACAGTTAGATCTTCATCGTTGTCAACATTGTGGATCATTAGATTTTGAGCATTCATGTCAGATTCTGACCTTCCTGTTCTGAGAAAATTATTCGTTTGAAGCTCAAAGTGAATAGGCAGAAGTAACTCAGAGATTCTTGAAATATTCAGTGAGCTTCAGGTGGAAAGCTTTTATAACAAGAAGTGACTGGCTGCATCTACTATCTGCTCATTGCCAGAATGTAAATTCATAATACAGTCTGCTTGAAATAGTTAATTGTAAGTCACTTGTAAAATTTAACACGTATGTTTTCATGTGGTCTGAAAGTCTTTTGAGTCACATTAAAACCAAATGTGGAGGTGTGGATTGTTCTGGTTGTGCTGTCTGAAATGTGGTTTATCATTTTATATTTCATAGGTTTAGCCCCCCCAGGAACTCAGGTAAGCAAGGAACTTTTGTTGCTTGGGCAATTTAATAATTTCATGTATTAAACTTTGTCCAGTTTCCATGATTTTTCTTGCCCTGTGCGTTGGATGCCTGGGTTAATAATAATAATAATAAATTTTATTTATATCCCGCCCTCCCCAGCCGAAGCCGGGCTCAGGGCTGCTAACAACAATAATTACAATTACATACCTTCCAAACATCCACATGTATGCATAACAAGAGTGTATGTGCATAAAATACAACAACATGGTTCCAAATCATAGTGTATTTCAGGCTTTATCCACAATCAGTCATATTGTTCTGGGCCAATATGCATTGACTTTTATGTCAGCTCATCTGAAACACGTACATGAATGAAATATATTTTATTTGCTCCCAAAAGTTCACTTTCTTTGGAGAGGTCCTTTTGGAGCTCCTCACAACTTCTCTTTTTTAATGACCCTGAACAATTTAATGTCATCAGCAATTTAGCAACTTGGCCACCTCACTACTCATCATTTACTCTAGATGCTAATAAACTAGTTTTGAAAGCACAGCTCCCAAAATCAGCCCATAGGGGACTCCTTCCATTCATGGAACTGCCCATTTATTCCTTCTTTCTGCTTCCTGCTACTAAACAATATGTGATCCACAAGAAGAGATCTCTTCTAAATCCATGACATCTAAGCTTATTCAGGAAGCTTTGGTGAGGTACCTTGTTGAAACCTTTTTGAAAGTCCAAGTACACAATGACAATCAGTTCACTGTATCTGTAATGTGCTCTTAAAGAACTCTTAATATGTTCGTGAGACAACTTGCTGAGAACAGAAACAGATGCTTTTGAACTACTACTGGGCATGGTGGGGGAGGTTTTTAGCATCTTTCTGGAACTGCTGGGAGCTCTGTCTCTGTGTTTCCTCTGAATTGAGAGAGGAGGTTGAAGGGCTAGACTGGTGCTTGGAGGCGGTAATGGCTATGGACTAGTAAATTAAAGCTGAATTCTGAAAAGACAGGTGCTATGTGCTCAGAGCTTATGAGTCTGGAAAGTGGGGAGATGGTGTGTTCTGGAGGAGGTGAACTCCTCTGGAAGGAGCGGAAGGGTGTATAGGTGGTCCTAGATCCAGTGCTGTCACTGGATGCCACCATACCTGCAGCATTCTAAGCTTCCCATTGACCTGATCAAGCAGTCTCTTTGTATGTTCTTATCACAGACTGCTCCTGGAGATGTAATGGCATCTTGTGAGCAGGAGACTTGGAGAGGGCAGCTAGGTCTGCAGACTGAGGAACAGGAGTGCTAGATAGTGGTGGTCTTTGTAGAGTTGGTAGCTATCACTTTCCAGAAGATCCCTGGTTTGGAGAAGACGTCTGCTTCTCCTGACTACAGATTTCAGGTGCAGATGAGTTTTGCCTGGACTTCACCTTTGCAGTTATTCTGGCGTGAGTCCTCTGACACTGGTTGGGAACGCTAATGCCACTCCTAGTAGTGAAGCCCAGCATTAATGAATCATGCATGGCTTAGCATTGCATCTGAATGGGACCGTTTTACAGATTGAGGGTATGCTGTACTTATGGCTGTATTCTTCTGTTTGCAATCTTACATTGTTTTAAAGAAAAAGTAAGCTGCTATATTTTCTTCAGAAGTGTGCTTTCCTCTTTAATATTTAGCCTACGCCTCCAGTAGTTTGTTCAGTGCAGCAAGTCACCCCGGCCAACAGCTCTGCTAATGAGGAACCTTCGAAACAGGTATCAATTTACCCCTGTAGACATTTTTGTGGCACTTTGTCTTGCACTTCCTAGACATGTTGCAGAATTTATTGATACGAAGCTTTGTTTTTCATAGAAATCTATGTGGTCAGAGCATAAGTCACCAGATGGAAGAACATACTACTATAATACTGAAACAAAGCAGTCTACCTGGGAGAAACCGGATGATCTCAAAACACCTGCAGAGGTAAAATAAACAAATTGAGAAGAGTGCCTATTTAATTGACCATGTTTTCAGTGAGTATAAAATGCCTTTTATCACTGGAGTGTGTGCCAGTTTTCCTTTCCAGCTGCAGTCATTCGTGCCACATTGAATCCTACTCTGGAGAGTTCCCTAAACTTCAGGATTAGCTTTTTGAGGGGCTGCAGTGGGAAGAGGGTGCCCCAAAAGCTCCATTACAGGCATGGTATTTCACGTGCAGCCCTTTATATTTTGTCCTTTGTTTCTTTTGATATGGCTTTGCATGCCTCTCCTTTGATTTTGTAGGCATTTTTAATATATGGCGTGTCATATTACGGAATGATTTTTAAAACCTTTTTTCTAAACATTCTGTTCTCTAGCAAATGTTGTCAAAATGTCCGTGGAAGGAATATAAGTCTGATTCTGGAAAGCCTTACTACTACAATTCCCAAACAAAAGAGTCACGCTGGGCAAAACCCAAGGAACTTGAAGATCTTGAAGGTAAATTTTGCGGGACCTTTTTTCCTGTCTTGATTTATAGCTAGCACCTATTGGGTATAATCCAGGGCTTGGCTAACCTGTGGCCTTCCTGATGTTGTTCAGCTTCCATCAACCACAACCATCATGGCCAAAATGATGGTGGATGTTGTCATGCCGCAACTTCTGGAGAGCCAAAGGTTGCAATCCTGGCATACACCGTATTCTCTGGGTAGCAGAGATAACTCTAGTCATTGAAGTCAGGATTGGATGCTGTTATATAATGAAACTGTCCCTAATCTAATAAATGTCTTTATTGGGGGAGGAAAAGGGAGAATATGTTGGCTAAGCTGTCATGGACAAAGACGAAAATAACATAATTGACCACAATAGCTATTGTGGAATCACTTGAAAGAGCAGCAGTCACCCAGTAGTAGTAGCTTCCTTCAGTAATTTTTAAGTGAGAGAATTGTTGCCTCTATTCCCAAGTTCCACGCAGACGCCACAGTCTTACTTTGCAGCTCAATATTTTGATACAATTTATTGCATTTGGATCAGTTTAGTACTTGTCTTAACATACTTTATCTTCTAATATGCAGTTTTATTCAACTTATAAATAAATCTGACAACAATTTATTTCTTTTGTGCAGCAATGATTAAAGCTGAAGAAAACAGGTATGTTTGAAAATATTTTACTCGAGAAAAATTCCATGAGCTGGGATTTTAAAAGAAGGGTGGTATCAATACAACTATATTTACACTAGCTGTTTGTGGGTAGAACAGACTTCCACTTGCACACTAAACTTCACCTTCCTCTGCTCGGCTGCCTCCACATGCATTATTGCATTGGGGGGTGGGGGGAGTTGTTGTTGCCTTAAACAGACATTTTATTTCAGAATCTCCTGAGTATTTCTTAGTAGTGATACATATTGTTGTTTAGTCATTTAGTCATGTCCGACTCTTCGTGACCCCATGGACCAGAGCAGCCCAGGCACTCCTGTCTTCCACTGCCTCCCGCAATTTGGTCAAACTCATGTTGGTAGCTTCAAGAACACTGGCCAACGATCTCATCCTCTGTCGTCCCCTTCTCCTTGCGCCCTCAATCTTTCCCAGCATCAGGGTCTTTTCCAGGGAGTCTTCTCTTCTCATGAGGTGGCCAAAGTATTGGAGCCTCAGCTTCAGGATTTGTCCTTCTAGTGAGCACTCAGGGCTTATTTCCTTCAGAATGGATAGGTTTGATCTTCTTGCAGTCCATGGGACTCTCAAGAGTCTCCTCCAGCGCCAGAATTCAAAAGCATCAATTCTTCGGCAATCAGCCTTCTTTATGGTCCATCTCTCACTTCCATACATCACTACTGGGAAAACCATAGCTTTTAACTATACAGACCTTTGTCGGCAAGGTGATGCCTCTGCTTTTTAAGATGCTGCCTTGGTTTGTCATTGCTTTTCTCCCAAGAAGCAGGCGTCTTTTAATTTTGTGACTGCTGTCACCATCTGCAGTGATCATGGAGCCCAAGAAAGTAAAATCTCTCACTGCCTCCATTTCTTCCCCTTCTGATGGGACCAGTGGCCCTGATCTTAGTTATTTTGATCTTGAGCTTCAGACCATATTTTGCGCTCTCCTCTTTCACCCTCATTAAAAGGTTCTTCAATTCCTCCTCACTTTCTGCCATTCATCCAGTCCAGCCTTTCACATGATGAATTCTGCATATAAGTTAAATAAGCAGGGAGACAATATACAGCCTTGTCATACGCCTTTCCCACTTTTGAACCAATCAGTTGTTCCATATCCAGTTCTAACTATAGCTTCTTGTCTCACATAGAGGTTTCTCAGGAGAAAGATGAGGTGATCAGGCACTCCCATTTCTTTAAGAACTTGCCATAGTTTGCTTTGATCAACACAGTCAAATGCTTTTGCGTAGTCAATGAAGAAGAAGTAGATGTTTTTCTGGAACTCTCTAGCTTTCTCCATAATCCAGTGCATGTTTGCAATTTGGTCTCTGGTTCCTCTGCCGCTTCGAAATCCAGCTTGTACTTCTGGGAGTTCTCGGTCCACATACTGCTTAAGAGTGAAACATATACATTACCTAATAGAGGAGGGGGATTTGGGAACATATGGACATAGTTGTTCACTTCGCCTTTTCTTTCAAACAAATTGCAGAACTGGCTTTTTTTAATTAGCATGGCAAATTAAGCTAACTATTAGTCTTCAGCACTGCATTCTGCAAACCTAGAAGTCTGCAGTTTTTTTCATAATGTGTAAGTTTACATTGGACAGTTGGAACCAGTAATCTGAAAGCCATATACATCAGACCCTACCTTATGGAACTCTACCAGTAGAGAGCTGGCAGGAAGTATCCTTCCATTCATGCTTTTCCTGAAAACTATGTTGTTTAGGCTGGCCAATTGCACTCTAGAAGATTTAATGATGTTTTTAATGTTATTTTTATGCTGATTCTATGCTCCTTGAATTTTTAAAATGAAAGTATGTATTATAAATATATAATTAAAGACATAAACCACAATCCAGTAAGAAGGTTGTAGGCTGCCAAAATCTGAAGAGAAATTGGATTTCCCCCGGAATAATTCTCAATGATAAATGCATTGTTCCTGTGATTGGCAGGGTTATTAACACAAATATGATGTCTGCTGTTTATGTAGCGGTAAACCAGAGGAATCTGTTCCAACATCATCTGCAGTCGCACCAGGGGTTACAAATGCTGCAGCCATTGTTCCTGAAGCTCCTATAGCTGCCCCAGCAATCCCTGCTGCTCCAGCTGTTGCATCGGCTCCGGAAACTGAGCCTTCCACTGTTGCTACTGTTATAGAAAATGAAAGGGTCACTGCTATAGCTGATGAGCAGGTACAGCCAGCTGCTCCTGTTGTACAAGAACAGACTGCAGAAGTTGTGACAAACTCTGTCGAAGAAGCTCCTAAACAGGAATCCTCAGAGTAAGTAATGCTATGTCTAGTTGGTGTGTACTAATCTCTATTTTTTTTCCAAGACAGTACTTGGGGTGGGGGGGGGAATTGGATTTGGCAAAAAAAAAAAGCGGGGAATGCGAAAGGAAATAACTCGCCTTGCATGAATAGACTTGGTTAAAATAAGGAAATAACTTGCCTTGCATGAATAGACTTGGTTAAATAAGGGTTAGGAATTGTTTTGTACTCCATAGCAGACATATGAGGAAATTGGTGGATACAGAGTCAACCCTCCCACGCCTTGGGAGCTTTCCTAGCAAATTTGGAATGATTTTCCCTGTAGATTCATCTTTATTTCTCCATTCCTTAGTGGTATGTTGTATTGCCACTTATAAGAGGCAGAAGCACCTAGACTTGATCTCCCTTCACATCCAGTGAGCAGAGGGAGATCAAGACTAGATGTGGAAGGCTTTCATGTGCATCCTGGGAAAGTGAAAAGGCTTGGCAAGGTGAGATAAGCATGAATGGACTTCTTTGGATATATATATATGGGCAGTTCTGTGGAACAAAAGTTTTAGAACATGTTTAAGTATATTTTTAAAATACTATGAATAATGTAATGTGTAGTTTGGCCGTTGAAGGGTATATTTCAACCCAAGGGCTGTACTTCCCTCATAGCTAATCTTCCAGGCTATGCTACATACTCCCCATCCCCCCCCCCCGCCTCTCTCTCATGTCCACATTCATTCAAATCCAAAAAAAACCTATATATACACAAAAATGTATTCATGTGTATTCATTTGCAAACTCATTTGTACATGCACCATGCAGCACGTAGGCTGTGTAAACAGCCAGAAAGTGTATGAATTGGTTCATGGATTGGGTTTTGAAAAGAAGTCAAGGGCATTTCATACATAACAGTCTTATTAACGCCTTATTAAATTGCCTTCAGCCTTTACCTGAGTTGCAAGAAGACTAGCACATTAGAGCAAAGAGCTCTTTAAAATTACTGGTCTGATAACTACTGTCAGGTATGAAATTGCTTCTTCCTTCTCAGTGAAGAACCAATATATTTTTAGTTCTGAAGGAATCGGAACCACCCCATCCCACATAGGTCTAGAGGGTCTATCAACCCTCAAGAGCTCTTTTTTTTGGTGGGGGGGTGGAGAGACAGGGAGTTGCATGGTTTGTAGTGGAAAGGAGGAGGCAGGAAAGCCCTGTTGCAGGAGCAGTGATTTGCTTGATCTTTTAAGGATTTAACCCACTGGCTAGGAGCTGTCAGATAATGCGGTATCCTGGAACCACATTATGCCTGAAGTCTGTTGGGGTTCATCTGTGTATGCTGTCACTTCCGGGGAGACATTAGCTCTATTGTTTACAGTTCCCACTCTTAGTGTCTCTTACATTTAATTAGCACTGGTTTTTGCTAAAGCGGCATGCTGTTCTTTAAATCCATAGTGTTGCCGCCAAAAAGGACGAAGAAGATGCCCAGCCAGTTAAAAAGACCTACACATGGAATACAAAAGAAGAAGCTAAGCAAGCATTTAAAGAACTATTGAAAGAAAAGGTTTTTAAATTGAGTCAACTACTGTTTAAAATTTCAAGAATTGCAAATATACTTGAGTTGGGAGAATTGCTGATTTTGAAAGGCACTTTATGGAATAACATTCATACTGAAGTAAACATGGAAAGAATATTCTAGCCAAAATGTACTTGGTATAAACTTTCACATCATGCTCCAGTATTGGTGAAAAATTCTTACATTTGTTTAGGTCTTTTGCAGGGGGCAGTGGGACCAAAGAAGGAAAGACAAATGAAAATTTTATGTGAGAAGAGCATTCGGGTGGCACAACAGTTCCACATTTGCAGAATTGGCCTGGGGAGGGGGGCAGAATGAAGAGAAGGAAAAACGGTTGTGTTAAAAAACTTCAGTTACCCACTTAACTCTTTGTAAATTCTCACTCTGAAGAGTCTGATGTTGCTTTATTAAGTGGTATTACATCCCAAATGTTACTAATGAAACATCACTGCAGAATCAAAAGGAAAAAGCCCTGTTTTTATTAGCTTACCACCCTATCATAAAAAGTTAGAAAATAAGGAATGCAACACTAGCCATATTCACTCATGATAAGCCATAAACAAAGGCTAAATCATATACAAGACAATCATGCATGCTTTGCTTCTTTTACTAGCACTAGGGGCAAAGCAAATGACAAACCCTGGCTTAGTGCTATGTTTCAGTCAGAATGTAGTTTGTTTCCTCTGTATGGTATAGGAAGAAACAAAGCAGTCCAGATAGGTGTGTTAACAGTAATCTGATAACTATGTAAAAAAATTGCCCAGTAGTACCTAAGAGACCAACTAAGTTTGTTCTTGGTACAAGCTTTCTTGTGCATGCACACTTCTTCAGATACACTGAAACAGAAGTCACCAGACCCTTATATATAGTGACTTCGGTTTCAGTGTATCTGAAGAAGTGTGCATGCACACGAAAGCTTATACCAAGAACAAACTTAGTTGGTCTCTAAGGTGCTACTGGACAGTTTTTTAATATATTTCAACTGCGTCAGACCAACACGGCTACCTACCTGAATCTGTTAACTATGGTTTGCTTTCCTGTACAAACTAATTGATGCACCATTTCTAGAAGTGTAAGTAAATTATGAGAAGGCTAAAAATACTCATGAAGATAGAAAGTGTCTTGTGTACCAAATTTATCATTTTCTAGTTTTATGGTAGTTTATCATTTTCACGGGAAAAGCAAAAAAATGTGACAGTCCTTTGTACAAATATTCTTTTATTTTTATAGTAAAAACATACCAAGCAGAATATTTACCCACTTTTGCCACCAAATAATCTGATTCAGTGCATTTGACAACTATGCCCCACTGCACAGTTTAGACGCATCCATTCTTACCTTAGCTAGCATTCCTAAAGCTACCATTGCACAAACAGAAGTACTGATTTGAGGAGTTACATGATTTACTTCATGTCTTCATAGCGTGTGCCATCCAACGCCTCTTGGGAGCAAGCTATGAAAATGATAATTAACGATCCAAGATACAGGTATGCTGTTCCTATTTTCTTTTTAATCAACATGCTTTTAAGTAGTTGTTTGTATAAACTGATGTTCTGACAGCTCAAGTGAGCTCATGGTTTGAATGCTGTTCTGATGTTCCTATTTTCTGATATTTTTAATCTTTTTAAATTTGTGTAAGTTGTATGTTTTTCTTCGTATGCCACTTTGAGAAACATGTAAAAAACAAGTTATGTATATATTTTAAATAAATAAATTTAATTTGTTTTTCTTCTGAACGGTTTTTTTGAAACTGGGTTGTTTTTGTTTTGAGGGGAAGCAATTGTGTACTAAATACTTTGAAACTGTCCCCCTGTTAAAAGGAATCTTCGTAAAATGATCAGTTGATACTGCATTTATGAATAAGTTTATGGCTTTTTTTCCTTTAATTTGTAGTGCTTTGGCAAAACTAAGTGAGAAGAAGCAAGCATTTAATGCTTACAAGGTCCAGACAGAGAAAGAAGAAAAAGAAGAAGCAAGATTAAAATACAAAGAGGCAAAAGAATCTTTTCAGCGTTTCCTTGAGAACCATGAGAAGATGACATCCACTACCAGATACAAGTAAGATAAATCTAATGCATAATACTAGTTGTACAGTTCAAAATTTAAAACTTGAGCTTGGGTAGACTTAAGAGGGGAATGTGAATTAAAAAACAACACTTTAAAATACTGTTTCAAATACTGTGCTATGGGGAATAACAATTTGTGCAAAGTCACTGTTGCAAGGTGATGTTCTCAAATTTCTACTTCTGCTGCCCATGCCTCCTGTCTGGTGCAGATTTATATGGAGGAGGAGGACCTGGCAGAAGTCTATTCCCTCCCCTTTTCTGTTGTGAGTGAAACTCCGACTCTGCAGCAATTTGAAAGTCTAGATACAAACCACGGTTGCCTCTGCATTTGTACAAAGACTGCAGTGTGTGAGAAGTTGTCACTGAGACTGTTGGCAAAATATGTATTGGGAATGGATGCAAGCAAGGAAGGGATCCATTGCTGTGTGTTTTAAAAATACAAAAACCTTTCATCAAAGCAATGGCAGAAGATGGAATACAACACATATAACTTTTTTTAAAAAATCTATATTGTTAACACATTAGTTCTTTTATTTTAGCTTTGCAAGCTGGAATGATTTTGTAATATTAAACATGAGTTACGTATGATTACACATTTTGTACTCTCTTGGTTATCACACATTTGGCAAGGATTGGGATGTTGACTGACTAGTGGGAAAGAGTGGGAGCAAAGTGATTTATAGAGCCTTTTTTCTTCTTATTTCTATCTACAGAAAAGCTGAACAAATGTTTGGAGAGATGGAAGTCTGGAATGCAATATCAGAACGTGATCGTCTTGAAATCTATGAAGATGTCCTATTCTTCTTATCAAAGAAAGAAAAGGTAATTTATTTCTTCATATGGGGGCATACACGCCCACTTACTCCTCTTCCTCTTTTCTACAGATAAATCTGTCTTCCTCTACATTTTAACAAATATATCTAGATTTCTATAAATGACAATGTCTTTTCCTTAATGTGGCACTACTTAATTTAGTCCTGAACACAATAGAGCAAAAGCTTGATGTGGTGGTTACACCATAGGCATTTCTTGAAGATAGTATTCTAGTCTATCCGGAATTATGCACGCATCCTGGCAATGAAAAGTAGTGTGATGTCTCTTTCTTGTTCAGTGATGAAGTTATGCGGTTGCTTCAGACTGGCGGATTTGCTACAAAATGCCGCCTCTTAATAATCTGTTGGTAATGTTTGATACTGAGCATTTTAGCAAAACAAATGCCATTAAATGTATCATTTAACTTTTTCAGGAACAGGCCAAGCAGTTGAGGAAGAGGAACTGGGAGGCATTAAAAAACATCTTGGATAATATGGCTAATGTCACATACTGTACTACCTGGTCAGAGGCTCAGCAATATCTGATGGACAATCCTACCTTTGCAGAAGACGAGGAACTTCAGAGTAAGGAGACAGGGTTGTATTCCACGTAGTGCTAAAGTTTTCCCCCTCTCCTTCCCCTCTGTGCCTCCTAAATCTGCTCCAGGCCTTCTTCCCACTCCGGAGCAGACTTGGGGACAGCATGAGGAAGGATTATCCAATTGCACTAGCACAAACATTTAGTTAAATACAACTCAAAATATCCTGGTTCCTTTATTGTCGGAATTTGATCTTAGTGATGATCTGATGGCAACAGCAACTCAGATCTTTAAACTTCAACCTAACTTGCTCCAGTTTAGAGGTGGTGTGCCTGATAAAACAGCATTGTTACCTTTGGCAGCCAGGATTTCCCAACTCACATTGCTCTTGGTGGAGAATGCAGGAGCCAGCACTGCACAGACTTTGATCCAATTCAGACCTAATCAGTTTATTTTCCTTTATATGGTTTAGCAGTATTTTTTGTTAATATTTTGTTTGGGGGGGGTGCGTGCACATATGATAGATAGATAACATATTCATTCAAGCAAAGCACCTAGGTATCTTGGGTTTGGAAATCATTGAAAGCTCCTGTTACTTTAAAATCAAAAGCTTGTCATTGGTATAGTAGAAATGAAGGAAGGGAGTGCATGTTTCTGAGGCTTGCTACAGATTTCTCTTGTAGTGAGAAATTGCCATTAAAAATGTTGAGGCAGGCAAGGATGTTGAAAGACACTTGTCTGATGTCAGAAGCCTGCTGTACTCCTGGAGGCTCCCTGTGCACAAGTGGCTCCAATCTTCAGGCAGTTGCCCTCCAGAACTTGGATGCTGATGAGAATGATGCGGGGGTCGGGTTAGCACATTTGCCCCATGCCTGTTCCTTCTTTTCCCCCCTGATAATGTAACATCTAAAGAGAGGGCTATGGTTTCCTCTGAGATTTTATAAAACTTACATGAGAAACAAAGCAAAAGCTTTGCCAAAAGCACGAGCCAGATTTTTAAAGAAGGGCTTACCTCACCATTGGGGAAGATCCAGTTGTGTCAACAGGCACAAAAGGATTCTCCTTTCCTCTCAGCCCCCCTCACCTCCTACCTACTGAAGCAGATTTTTCCCCCCAGGGGCAGGGGGCTGCTGTGGAGGAGGAGAGGAAGGGAAGTCATGTTTGTGCAAGCAGAAGATTGTTACACAAGCAAATTACCACAGTTGGACCTTACGCTTCATTTTCTGAAATGTTTGTATGCTGCTTTTCTAGATATGGATAAGGAGGATGCATTGATTTGTTTCGAAGAGCACATAAGGGCTTTAGAAAAGGAGGAGGAGGAAGAAAAGCAGAAGGGATTGCTCAGGGAAAGACGACGGCAACGTAAAAACAGAGAATCTTTCCAGGTTAGTGACAAAATGAACAGCTTCCTGCTATTAGGTGTTACAGGTATTCTGTAATGGACAAATAATGAATGTAGATAAATACTAAAAGATCTTGCAAGTCAACATTTTATGGCTTCGCCATAGTCTGATTTACCTGAAGAAAGTTTATTTCTGATTCATCATCTCCTGGCATGTCTGTATGGCCCATGGTCAGGGATGATGGGACTTGTAGTCCAGCATCATCAGGGAGCACAGGTTAGCCACCCCTACTCTAGACTGCAGTCCTAACTCCACTTAGCTGGTGGTAAGTGCCACTGAATTCAGTGAGACTTAATTTCTGAGTAGACATTATTAGTATTGCAGTCCTAGGGATATGTTAGATGCTTTTCCATCTGATTTCCACATGCTATATTGTAGCATTCTATGGGGCAGTAAAAATGACAGGGCTGACTCATTTCCATTTTAATAGACAGGATTGTGAGATTCCCCATTTTCTACTGTTTCCTTTGCAGATATTTTTGGATGAGCTGCATGAACATGGCCAGCTGCATTCAATGTCATCATGGATGGAGTTATATCCAACCATAAGTTCTGATATTCGATTTACTAACATGCTTGGTCAGCCTGGTAAGTATATTCTCTCCTGCTTGTAGAAAATAAGATGGAGGTAATGCTTGTGCATTTTTGGTAGATAGAAGCAGGGTTACTAATGTAATAAGAAATGCAACTCTTGGGTTAGCGGGAGGTTTTGACCAATGTAGTTTCTTTCTTCAGGCTCAACAGCACTTGATCTCTTCAAGTTTTATGTTGAAGATCTGAAAGCACGCTACCATGATGAAAAAAAGATAATAAAAGACATCTTAAAGGTGAGGGGAAATGTGTTTTTAGTTGCTGGGAGAAAACCAGTCTTTCCAATCCAAAATGAGTGGGTTTAGATACCTTGAGCTGGGATTCCACACTGTCATGTTGTAACATGAGTTTGTGACATCAAAATTTGCTGTTTTGCAGGACAAAGGATTTGTAGTTGAAGTGAATACTACTTTTGAAGACTTTGTCACAGTCATCAGTTCAACTAAAAGAGCTACCACTTTAGATGCTGGAAATATCAAGCTAGCTTTCAATAGTGTAAGTTGGGTTTTTAAAAATCCAGAATATTTTTTAAAATCCTAACGTTAAGAAGACTTGATAAAATGTTTCCGTGTGCTGCTCTGGTTCGCCAGAAGCGGCTTAGTCATGCTGGCCACATGACCCGGAAACTGTACGCCGGCTCCCTCGGTCAATAAAGCGAGATGAGCGCTGCAACCCCAGAGTCGGTCACAACTGGACCTAATGGTCAGGGGTCCCTTTACCTATGATGTATCAGAATTTGCTCTGTTAGTCATTTATAGAATCTAAATTATGGGTGGTGCCAAATGTGGCATGAAAAGACCTCCACTCATGTAACATGACTTCCTCTGCTCCTTCCTACACACACACCCCAAATCAGCTCCAGATGATTGAGGGACTCCCCAGAGGGGATTCTGGAGGTGCTCAAGTGAAAAGAGAGGAAGGCAAAGTCCTACATAGTGAGTGGGAAGTCTGTTCTACTCATGAATGGATCACATTAGGTTCAGTCGCATGATTTGGTGGTGCGTCTGAACCACCATTATATGTGACACATGCACAGCAAATAATGAGAAAAGTACTCCCTTGCAAAATGGGATTTGATTTGTTTCCCCTTTTTTCCATTGCCCTTACATTGAATGGTCACTTGGTTTTGTTTTGATGTAGCTGTTGGAAAAGGCAGAGGCTCGTGAACGTGAGAGAGAGAAAGAAGAAGCCCGCAAAATGAAACGGAAAGAGTCTGCTTTTAAGAGTATGCTAAAACAAGCAACCCCTCCAATTGAAATGGATGCAGTGTGGGAAGATGTAAGCAAGTTCCATAGCATTTTGAAAGAGAATGTTGGTTACCCAGAAAACACTTTCCCCCCATTGTTAAATGAAGTGTGTGTGTGTATAAAACTATCAAAAGTGATGAACAGCAGCAATAAACCAATAATAGTTAAATGTATCGATCTAAGTAAAATTTCTTTTAAATGAAATTAGAAAGACTGTAAATGGAATAATAAAATAGGTGAAGTGCTTGCAGGGAAATAAATTGAAGGATTTTAACTCAAGTGGTCATGGGGTGGGGCAGTGGGGTGTCTTCCCAAGAGGATGCAAAAAGGTCCTGTTTAAGAGCAGAGATAATAGATACATTTTGGAATGTTTTCTCACATTTAAAATTGTGGCATCAGATATTCCAAACATGGATCAGACAGGTTTTTATACAGGGTACTCTTCTAGAAGTCAAGGAAGAATTAATCCCACTTGGCACAGTATTTATATTTGATGATTGGAAAAGCTTTGGATTATGTTCAGTGAGAATACTGGAAGGCATTTCTGAAGAAAATTGATGTGGGGTCTAAATTCTTAACCTTTATAAGCGTCGTACATAAAGCACCTCATGTTTCTGTCTTTACCACTGGCTCTTGGCTAAGATCCAGCTACGCTAAGAATACCAGCAGGAGTGTGTTTCATCATTATTTGAACTGGTTTTTATGAACACAATACTTTTAACTAATATTCTATTGAGCCATAATCTTTCTTTTTTAAAAAAACAAAGTAATTTCTATACAGAACATTTTTATTTTATAAATTGAAGTTGCTGGCTAAACCGTATACATAATTCTTCTCTTTTCTATAGATTCGGGAAAGGTTTGTGAAAGAACCAGCATTTGAAGACATCACTTTAGAATCAGAAAGAAAAAGAATATTTAAAGATTTCATTTATTTACTAGAGGTAACAATACTATGATAAGAGAATTGTCTGATAGATTTGAAACAGATTTTTAAAAACTTGACTTATTGAACTGATCCCCTAAAATAGAAGTGGAGAACCTTTTCTTCCTGTATCTCTTAGTGAAAATCTGTTGGAGCCTGCATGCAAGTGGTGGGTGGGAGCCGAAGGGGATTAGCTGGGTGGGTCGAAAGAGAATAACGTCTCACTGGGGCAGGAGCAAGTTCCAGCCATCCTTAAGGGGGCATCACCGGACCAAGTTATTTATTTAACAACTATCACTGACTGGGGAATACTGTGGCAAGGTGCTTGAAAGGGTATGGCAGCCCAGCTTGGATCAATTTCATTCAGGCTTCATCTGGGGTCCAAATAACAGAAGCATGCTGTCCCTAAAATATTTAGCAGTAGGTGTCAGCATTTGCCTGGACACAAAATACTATTGAAAGCATAGCTTTGTAGAATATATGGGGACATTAGCTTCCTGTCTGAGAGTGATCTGTAATTAATTTTAACGGTTGGCATCATCTTTTTCATTAGATTCTATTTTTAATAACCTAAACACTGTAGTGTATTCATCATCAAGAAGGATTACATGAAGATGTCAGCCCTCCAACTGTTGTAACTGCTCTTTAAATGTTGTAATTCATACATCCAAACATCTTTGCAAGAAGTGTCCTATGTTTCCAAAATCTCATTTGCTGTTAAGAAGATGGAAGAGTATGAACAAGTGTGGCTTTGCAAAGCCAGTAAAAGCCAGTGTCCAAAAAGGCATGCAGTGCAGTTTCAAAATAAAAGTATATAGAGAAAGTATTTCAGAATAGAGACTTAAAGAGATACGCTATACATACTGTATTTGTGTAACAAAACGCATGCTTACTCTTTCAAATGAGTAATTTTTATTCTTTCAATGCTGCAGCATGAGTGTCAACACCATCATTCAAAGAACAAGAAGCATTCTAAAAAATCAAAAAAACATCACAGAAAAAGGTCTCGCTCTCGTTCGGTAAGCTAGAGTGCAGTATTCAGTTGGTTCTTTTTACCACCCAGCCTTTAAAAACTAATGTTACATGTCAAATACTCTTGCTTTAAAGGGTTCAGAATCTGAGGATGATGACAGTCATTCAAAGAAAAAGAGGCAACGCTCAGACTCTCGATCAGTCTCCGAACGCTCCTCCAGCGCGGAATCTGGTACTTTTAAAAAAATCTTACCTAACAAAATAGAGATTTAGCAGTTATCAACTTAAATAACCCTGATACCTATTTAATTCTAATGCATTAATAGAGAGAAGCTACAAGAAATCAAAGAAACACAAAAAGAAGAACAAAAAGAGGAGACACAAGTCTGTGAGTATACCTCAGTTTGGCTCTGTTCTCCCCCCACCCCACTCAATTTCTTGTATCTATCTGCGAAACAAAGAATTAAGGCGCACTTAATAAAATTGAACAACAGTGTGCTATTTTATTATTTGTATGTGAATTGTGAGACTGTACATTTGGTACAGCCATTTTTTTCTTTTAAAAAATCCCTAAAAAGTAGTTGTTGTCTTCCTTCCTAGTTGAATTCTTGAAAGTTAAAGCATTCTGTATCACGGATGTTTCCTGTCCTGAAAGCTCACAAGCTGCTAGATACTTCCCCTGAGCCAGAAAGTCTGAATCCAGTTTGTTGTGCTTCACTTGCACATAATTTCTGTGCTATGAATATGATGTGCAGTTAGAAGTCTTGGAGGCAGACAAGTCCCCCCCATACCAGTTAAGACTTGCAGCCAGTTGGCATGAGTAAGAGCTAGGTTAAGTCTCTTTAAATGGTCAGTCATGATTTTGAAAGTTGGTATTTTGAACATGGAAGACCCAGGTTGAAATGCCTGCCTGACTTCCCCAGACTGTTGTGTGGTAAAGAGAATTGATTGGAACACAGGCTTGGGATATAGAAAGACTCTTGTGGAACTAGAGGTAGATTCCCATTGGTCCCACCCTTCTACAGTGTATTCTCTGTGCATCCTTGATTTACACTGTATATTTTACTCTGTACAGGATTCTCCAGAATCGGATGTGGATCGAGAAAAAGACAAAAAGGAGAGAGAAAATGAAAAGGAAAGAAGTAGGCAAAGATCTGAATCTAAGCATAAATCACCTCCTAAAAAGCGACCTGGCAAAGATTCTGTGAGTTTGCTTGGCTTTATTGTGTTAACTATCTTACCAGTAGATTAGTGGTTGTGTGGTCTAAGGGTGGAAGGATCTGCTATTTCTGATCGGTGTCACTGTTGCTTGTTTTTTTACCCATAATAGTTATGCTGCAATTTAAAAAAAAACCTGGGGCCCTCCAGATGATGTTGGATGCCAATCAGCCCAGCCAGCATGGCCAGTCATCTGCAGTGATGGGAGCTATATTCCATTATCTGGACAGCCACAGATGTATTTTGATACATATAAGCTGCCAAAACTATCACAACATTTGGAAAAGAACAAATTGGTGGATAACTGATCCACACATTGGCCCAAGAGGTCATTTTGTATAGCTGTAGTTTTGTTTTAGCCTTTCAAGTTTATATCCTTCCTTTAAACACCAAGCTTGTATAAGGAAGCATGGACTAAAGTGTAACATTATATCTTCTCTTCATCCACAAAATTTCCTGAGAGCTTATTAGCTGTAGCTGAAGACCTAAATGCTAGAATTTAATGATCCGCATTTAAGTTTTGCTGGCTTCTGCCTGGCCCAATTACAATATAGATTGGCTTTGCTAATTCTCAATAGAGTGGCAACTGTGGATCATAATTGCTTAATGGGACTAAGTTATTGTGGTTCAAGCATAACAAACTATTATTTGGTCCCCAGAACTGTTTCTAGCTAATACACATCGCTTGTACAGTGGTACCTCGGGTTAAGAACTTAATTCGTTCCGGAGGTCTGTTCTTAACCTGAAACTGTTCTTAACCTGAAGCACCACTTTAGCTAATGGGGCCTCCTGCTGCTGCCGTGCCGCCGGAGCACAATTTCTGTTGTTATCCTGAAGCAAAGTTCTTAACCCGAGGTAATATTTCTGGGTTAGCAGAGTCTGTAACCAGAAGCGTATGTAACCTGAAGCGTATGTAACCCGAGGTACCACTGTATAAGCCTTAGAATTTACAGTGACCACCAGCCACTGATACTATATGTATTTACTCAAGGTGGTGATGTGTAGTTAACTCAGTACCTTCAAGTTAACAGTACTATTGAAAATCCACTGAGAACAGCAAAATGATCAAGCCACTTCAGTGGCTTGGCTTTGCACTAAGCTGAACTCTGTTCTGGAAGTCCAGTTAGGATTTAGAATACAGTATGAGCAATTCCCCTTCCTCCCTGCGATTATTGAGACATCTGATGAGTTCATCCAACTCCTTTTCAAAGATGTAACACTAGGATATAGCCCCCTAGACCTAAATCACTTTGGGCATAGCTTTTATGTGAAAAAGGCACCAAGAGACTCCCGTGTTTATTCGGAGTTCAGATTAAGTTACTTTCAACTTCAGAAAGATCAGATTCCTCAAGATCAACATTTTATATGGGATTTCTGTTCATAGAGCTGAAACATGTCATTTATTCTCTCCTTACATTTGACTTCCTGAATGTGGATTAAAAGGGCAGCATATAACTTTAGATAACATTGCTGTAGCATCGTAACCTGGAAGAGTGCATCCTTCTCCTTTGTTCTCAGTATGTTGTGCACCACTAAAGTTATTGTCTGCCCACTACTGTTGTGTACCACTAAAGTTACACAATGTCCTTGATCAAGTTTGACTTTTCTTGAGGGAGCAGTGCCAGCCACTCAAATGAAAAAGTAATTTAAAAAAATAAATTGGGTGCACTTAAAAGTAGTTATTTGAATTTGCTCAGTAGATAGGCCTGAGGCCTGTAATTTACCAGTGGTGCTAAAATTGTATAGTTTGAGAGTTTCAAGTGATTTTTAGCATGAAATCTTAGGTTGTCTAGTGATGGCCAAACTGCAGTTCTTAATAAATACTAAAATGTTCAAAGTAATTACAATGACTGAATTCTAAACTGTGGGAAAGGGTATATCGATTATTTTTCATTGTCCTTTTTCAGGGTAATTGGGATACTTCTGGTAGTGAATTAAGTGAAGGTGAACTAGAAAAACAAAGGAGGACCCTCTTGGAACAACTGGATGAAGATCAATAAAAAGTATTTATACCAAATATGTTTACAATGTGATTTAATAAGAAATATAGATGATTCATTTCAGGAAATGGATTCCAATGTTCCATTGGCATAGCAATGGCTTTTCAGTTCTACTGCATAACTAAATATTTCAAATAATATCATTGTGTGCCTGGCAGCAAATTGTCAAAGACGGTGAACATTCAGAATTCAAGCTGAAGTTCTGCTTCTAATAAGCTAGGCAGCCTGTATATATACCCCATGCACCTTGGCATTCTTCAAAGAGCACATTAGGATGAACAGAAAATCTTTTTATTTTTGAGCCCTTTCAATAGCGGCTTGGAAAAGTACTTGAGCCTTTCGGGCCTCTTGTGTCTATAAAACAGCTCTTGCTATGAAAGCCTAAACTTGTTTTTTCTTGTCAAATAAGGTCTGGGGGTGGGTAAGGGGTTCACATGTTCTGTTCAGAAAGATGCTCCTATAATTTTCTTGGGCTCCACTTCTGTTGGGTTTTTTTAATTACTTTTTTATTTTGCAAGTGGAGGGAAAGGAAGAAGAGAGGGGAAAATATTTTTTCTTCATTTATGGTAGTCCAGAATCCATTATTGGGTTTTGTGTATTACCTTGCTGGCCAAAATGATGTTTTAGGTGGTTTCTATTGAATTTTGACTTTAGGTTGAAATGTATATCGAGTTTCACCCTGAAGTGAATTTTTAGTGTCAAGTTTTAAAACTGTGAAAAATAGATTAATTAATGGAAATCCTAATAGGCCCTTAATTTTCAAGGCTGTAAGGTATGCTGATGTAATAACATAGCTGCCATTTTTTATTAGAGAAGAACCTGGTATATGTACAAAGAGAAAAACCAAATTGGCAAAGGGTATTATTTCAGCATTAATCTTAATGTTACAGAAAATAGCAAAATCAGACTAAATTGATGCAATATGTTGCCTTAAGGACTTCCGAAGAATGTACCACCAAGTTTTGGAAAGCAGTTGCAATACTCTTGTCTAGAAAATCAATGTTAACGTAATACTTTTCTTTTGAAAGATGTTGACCTAATGTTGAAAACCTGGTCTCCTTTTATTCTGTTCTTTTTCCTTTGTACTGAATAGATTCTGACCAGACTTTGATTAAAACTATCAGCCCTATACATTGAGGAGTATTGACTACTGTGGTACAGACTCTAAAATCTTTCTGATTTGAATATTTTTGTACATTTTTATCACTTATTAAACCTTGTCTTCTAGCGTGCACTAGTATTTTTTCTGTTTTTTAAAAATGCTCTGTACAGCCAACACATTACTGATCTCACACAGTGTTACTGGTTAAGTTAAGTACTCTAGTGTGGTGCTTCCTTTTTAATATATGTATAATCACAGCAACAAAAGAAAGGAGCTGTCAAAGATCTGTAACAGCACAGAAGTGGAATACTTAACAATATATAGTGGTGGTGGTAATTCAAGATTGGCCTTTTTATTTGTGAAATTAGCCTCTACTATGCAAATTAAGAAATAAGAACGAATATAGCAGGCATGTTGTTATCCTTAGGTCTTACTGATTTCTATGGCGCTTGTGTAACAGTTTGCTCTACTTGCAAGTAAAAGGTTGGCTTCACAGTACAGTGGCTTGGAACTGCCACTCCTATAAGGGAACTCTGCTGATTGGAGAGAAGCCATTTTCACTGATTTTTCCTTCTCTCCCCCCTCCCCCAATTGACAGAGTATGGGGGGAGAAATCAAACAGTACAGGGTTGTACACGATGCATTCTGAATACTCTCAGGCGCAACAAAATGAATCATCCCTCCTTTATGGTGATCACTTCTTAATGAAAAATTATTCTTACTAATTTTGTCTAGTTATATAGCTTAAGGTAGAGTGCAGTGAAACGTCCAGGAAATTCCAGAGCAGTAAGTGTTGGGGAAGGAGAATGTAAAATGCTATGACTTCCTGCTGTCATAGTGTTAGGGACTCTGCTTATAGAAAAGAATTTAAATATGTATTTTGCTAATGTTGAGGAGGAAAAGAAAAAAAAACCATTGCATATTTGGCTTCCTGTTTGAGAAACTGCAAGTACGGTTAACTTGCTCATACCAATTGCATAGTTTGCCGTACATGGATTGGTAGCGCATCATGTTTCGCACTCAGCTACATACTGGTATAGAGGTGGGAAAGTGTCACAGTACTTAAAACAGCTATGAAGGAATAGCAGTTTTCCCGCTCCGATGCAAGTGATATTTATGTAAAATATTTTCTTATTGCCGCCTTGCATAATTTACATGAAGAAACATGTTTCTAAGTAAACATTACTTTTTAAAGCGTTGTCTTTATTTTTCCATTAAAAATAAAAAGCTTTAAGTATAAAGTTAGTTTCTTCATATTTCTGCAAACTGTCATGCCCCATATCTTATTTGCTACAATCTGATTTCTTCTCTAGTTTGCATATTTTGAAACTTCTTCAGATAGGTTTTGCCTAATGCAAAAGTAAAGCAGCTGTATTAAGTGCAGGCAATGCAAATGGTTACATGGGGTTCTTTCCAATTCTACAATTCTGAGTCTATGTAGTCCACTCATCCCATCACTAGGTTTCATTTTTCCAGCGTTTAATTTAAAAAGGGTTGTTTGCTCTTAACCTTATAGGAGAAAGTGCATGGTAATGAAGTTACCTGTTTATAGCTCATTACTACTACATTGTGGAAAAAGTCCAGTGCCAATAGGAACTCACGCCTACATGCAGCCCTCTCTGGTTCTTGTTTTAGCACAGCCCTGCTACTCTGCATAGTTCTATGGCCCGATGTAGATCAGTCTGAGTAACAAGGAAGAGCTGTGGATCATTTGTAGTAGTGTAAATAGTTTATTCAATCATATGCCATGAACAGATCAGAAAAGTAACATGAACTGCTTTTATAAAACACCTATAATATTGCTAAGAAGCAGGTCTGTTACTAGATAAAATATCGAAGAGAACATGCCAATATTACAGCCCATTGTTCCTTTCTAAATATTTTTAGTATACTGTGATTTCTCATAGCTCCTTAAATCTTTGAATTATATTGCCAAATGGTGCTTCCCCCAAACCTAAACATTCATCTTTCTGTGAAGGAAAATGGCACAATCATGGCATGTTCTCTTTAACATGTCAAGTACACATTGCTGTAAATTGAGAGAACAATTGGCAGTTTGTTTAAAATAAACCTCTCTGTAAATAGTTAAGCAAATGTCAATGTAATAACTTTTGAGCCCCAAACTGTCCATTTAGTTAAATATAAAAAAACAAAACTATAAGTTAAAAGAACATTCAGATTGTATAGCACAGGCTGATGCATTTTTAAACAATATTTACAATATTACCCCGAGGCTAGAGTGGGAATTAAAGAGAAGTGTAAAAACCATAAAAAGCACCAAATTTGTAGCAAAATATCTGTACATTTAGAAACATTATCATATAACTACACATTATTAAAGGAATATGGGACCTTTACCAGTGGTTCACATAAGCACAACAAAAAAGAAAATAATTCAGTGGTTAAATACTATACAATAAATTTTACAATTAACAGTGATGCAGTGCTACCAGGAAAGGAAAGCTGTAAGCAAGATGTCCCTTAACTTTAGTCTGATTTTTGACTTGGGAGAGAAAATCAAGTGCCCTGCCTTGTAAGCAATAGGTGGGGTTGGCAATGGCCGCTCTTGGTAATTAAAAATTTGAAATACAAGCACTCTAATCTGGAAAGGATAGCCACAAGCGCAAGGCAGATGCATTTCTAAAATGAGAAAGTCATCTGTGCACTGTAGCGTTCAACAGCTTGTGCCTTCCCTATTAAACCCACATGTTTGGAAGAAATGAAGTGCAAATACATTTACAATTTCCAACTGCACATCTGACTTACACTTCTTGTAAGATGCTGCATCCATCAGCAGATCTGAACTGGGATAAAAAAAATCTATTTCAGGTTTGAGAATGTATGCAGTGATAAACTGTTTCGTTAACTAGCTACATTTCAGCTGAGAGACAGCTCTTACTTTATGAGCCACCCTGGATTGTCACATGGCAGAATTTCTTGTGGAATGGAGGTTCAAGCTTATTTATGGAGGGTATCCTAAATTTTCGGCAGGGCACCAGATTTTCATTATTCTGACAACTGAACAGTTGTGGTCCTCAGGAATTATAATACTGATTACTGAGAAGTTAATATCTTAGTGCTAATTAATAAATAACATTGTTACCCAAAAGCTGCCTCTACCTGTAGAAAACAGTAGTGGAATTTCATCCATGATTCTTCTGTGTTTGCATTGTGTTCTATGAGCTATACCTCCTCACTTCAGCTTCACTACCAACTGGTATATAGCAGGTAGAATCTGAAAGCAGGTAGCTGTGTATTTAAAATAAGCCATATGTTATCACATCCTATTTACAGCCGAAACCCCACTATCCAAGCCTTTCTTATCCCAGTTAAGTTTAACCCTTTGTAAAATGTAATCACATCTACATCAACTTCTGTTTTCTGGATGTTTTCCCCACCCTTAAGAGGAATGCATTTTTCTTAAAAGGGTAAAATTTAATGAGTTTCTCCCCTTCGTATATGGTAAGTCCTTACATATGCATATGAAGATGTATGCATACATCATCATCATAATAAGTGCAACAGAATCTCAAAACTAAGTCAAACTTTCCAGGAGGAATGTATTGAAATCATTAAAAAAATCCACAGCGGATCACTTCCAAGTATTACCTATTTACAAGTCATGAGATCAAGAAAGCCCACTGAAGGCTATTCACTAAATGGTATGTAACAAAACAAAACAAAAATACAATATGTATTTTACATTTTGGTTAAAAACACTGAACAAATTTATTGGTGTAAAACAATACCCAATCAAATAAAGTCCTATTGCTTTGATTAATTTGAGCAGGTAATTGAATTTTAGGCACTTGGTAGTTACAGTTGAGTGGAGAGCTCATCTTTTTCCCCCCTTATTTTTTCCCTCTGTGTTCCTATGTGTTTGCTGTTGTTATTGAGCCCTTCAGAAGATAAGTTAATGTACTGCAATAAAGTCCACAATTAGAATGGTAGCGCAAATATAGTTCACATGGCAAGGAATCAATCAAGCACACGTTCTACTTTACACATGCACGTTCTCCCAATCCGGCTCACATGGCTATTTCAGCACCGTTGAGAGTGCGTAAATTCTGATCATCAAAACGCCGCCTCACGCTTCTCCTCACCGCATCGGCTCGTCTGTAGGGCTGGTTTCTAAGATCTGCGGGGAAGAAGCAGGAAGGTGTCAGAAGCGGGCTAGCCTGTGCCTCTGGATCTAGGCAAGGAAAGAGTCCTGCTGGTAGCCAATCAAAGCAGCTTGAAGCAAAAGAGAAAAAGGGACTGTTTAAGCTCCCAAGAGAGCCGAGCAGAACAGCACTGATGGGTCTCTCTCTTCACTGACTTACTACTAATATGGAACTTCTGCCTACTGCATTATTCAGGGTTATGCATCTAGGTATGAAAAGGGTTCTGCTGCGGAAGCAATCTCGCAATTTCCTTGCATAGCAAAAGCTTCCATCAGATTTCTCCTGTATAGAGAGAATCAGGTGGGGAGCTGCTTCCACACCAGGGTTCTGCCACTGAAGGACCAAACTTTGGGGCCACCATGAATCTGCATCAGCTGCTTTTTCTTACGAGGATGAAAATGAGGGTATGGATTATTATTATTTTTAAAAACACACACACAAAAGACAGGATGGCAGCAGGATTAGATGCTAATGCTGGTTGGCTGTCACTTGCCATTAATTTTCCCTGAGACCCAGGCTTCATTCATTTTCTCAACCTCTTCAAACTGTGACCTCAGACTCTTCTATACTGGTGAGTTAAAATATGAAAAGTGTGTTATAAAAATGGGACAACGGGGCGCTGTAGTGTTGCCCATGTGAAATTGCATTGAGATCTATATTTTTATAGTGTTTTCCAGATCAGTGTAGATCCAGCTGGCGACTCCTTTGCCCCACATGCTACCATTTTCTGCTGTCCGCAGGCGGCAAATCTATTGTGTTTGCTAGTGGTATGACCAGCAAGCCAGTCTGAAGCATTCCAGGTTTTTTAAATAAAACAGCAGCAGTGAAAACAATAAGCAGGCACTGCTCCTCTTTCCCAACCCCAACCCCCTCTACCCTGGAGGTCCCTTAGCCCTTTAAAATCACACCTCCCCAGCTGTGCTAGATTTCTAGACTACAGCAACCTACCAAACCATTCACAATTTGCACAATCTGTACTTGCTTAATGCCAGCAGTTTTGACTACTGTATTACATTGGCACTTTTAAGAGCCAGTTGGTCTACGCTGCTAGCAGTGGCGCAGTCCTGATTATGCTTAAAAGAAGGGAATGACGTGGGTAGGACTGCTTGTGGCTGCTGCCCCAACAACGTTACCCTACCCTACAATGCTGCTGTGAGCAGCAGCCACATGGCCAGTCCCATTTGCTTCAATAGACTATTGTGTTTTAATATTCTGTTGGAAGCCACCCAGAGTGGCTCGGGAAACCAGCCAGATAGGCGGGGTACTAATAATAAATCATCATCATCATCATCATTATTATTAATTTGCTGAAACTGGGGACAGTGCTGCATCAGGAGCAAAAAGCACACACCTACCCTGAATTTGTTTCCCTTTCCACCAACAGGGTTCCCTATAAACTCCCTGCGCACACACACTCCCATACATCCCATACATAGCAGCACGAAGGTGCTATCCATAGGTAAAGGTAAAGGTACCCCTGCCCGTACAGGCCAGTCGTGTCCGACTCTAGGGTTGTGCGCCCATCTCACTTAAGAGGCCGGGGGCCAGCACTGTCCGGAGACACTTCCGGGTCACGTGGCCAGCGTGACAAAGCTGCATCTGGCGAGCCAGTGCAGCACACGGAACGCCGTTTACCTTCCCGCTGGTAAGCGGTCCCTATTTATCTACTTGCACCCGGGGGTGCTTTTGAACTGCTAGGTTGGCAGGCGCTGGGACCGAGCAGCGGGAGCGCACCCTGCCGCGGGGATTCGAACCACCGACCTTTCGATCGGCAAGCCCTAGGCGCTGAGGCTTTTACCCACAGCGCCACCCGCGTCCTCATGTCCTATCCATACACACACACATATTATTCTCCATTGTCCATGCACACTCCTGCTCCAGGAGAATGAGATGGATACAGGAAACTGGCACTTTCAGAGAAATTGCCCCTCAACATAGCTGATGCTCCCAGAGCCCGCACTGATAGTTCGAAGAAGCCAGCCAAATGCTCTCAGTGGCAGTGTACAGTGTAAGGATGGCTGCCATTGCTATGGGAAGCACTGCTACTGAAGCAGAAAGGCAAACAAAGGCGCCGTTGTTAAAAGAGGAGCAAAGAGAATGACAGCCCCCCCCCCTTTGCAGGGAAGATTTAGTTGTAGCACTTACTCAGCCTACAAGAATAGGATTCACTAGCAGCCCCTGAGGTCTTTTGGATAAAGCAACTGGTTGTAAATCACAGGAGGCTCCCAAAGACCCACTTGGGGAGGCAGGGGCGGCTAGTAGAGGTGGGAATAATAGTTGATTGCTAAGATGCAACTAACAGCCATAAGATCCACACACAGCCTTTTCTCTTTTCCTAGGGTTTGATTCACTAATAGTGCCTGAATCCACCCTTCTTGCAGGGTAGACAGAGCACACAAATAAATCTTTGTACATAAGCTCCCATTTGTGAGAGGTTCCCACATTTCTTTAGTATGGCAAAATGCCTTTTGTAACCACCTGGCATATGGAAAAGGAACGGACAATGCCTTGTACACTGTATGCTTATGTCAGGAAATGCTATATTGCAGTTTGATGGGCTGCTGTTTTAAAAAAAAGGAGCACAGAGCCTGTAAAATAGTTGGCAACCCTACTCGTGCCCCTTTCCTCCCCTCTCTTCCTGCTCTGCAGAACACAGACTCATCAGTACAACACAGAGGCAACAACATCTATCTTGTGGAAGAGTCTGGAAAGGGAGTAGCCCCTAAGTGATGTGACGTCATCCAGCACAGGCAAGAGCTGCAGATTAATCCATCCCACACACTACAGATAAAAACACACGGGAAAAGAAAGACTGAAAAGCACCAGCAACGCTGCTTAAACGCTTACAGCGTCATCCCTCCTTTATCTTAAAATTGGCTGTGATTTGCAGCAGTTTTTGTGTTGGCATACAGAGAGAGGAGGAAGCTAAGTAAAAAGTGATGCTTGCCAGCTCTGTGTATCCTCCACCACCGGTGTGCTAGAAGAAATCCTTACCCTCGAGTGAACATTTGGAAATTTAGTGATATTATTCTTCTTTAAGGCTAAACAGAAGGGGGAAAAAACACAGAATGATGGTTAAGTTAAAAATGGGATGGAACATGAAGAGCAACTCAATTCTGTGCCCAAAAAGCAAAATAATAATATATTTATTTATTTTTTTAAAAAAATGTAAAAAGCCACATATGTTAGCAAGTAAAGCAAAAGTGGGTGAGGTGGAGGCTTAAAGAAGGTTAAAAAAGAGAAAGGGAAGGGAAGAGGTGGCCATCGTAAGCCTCTTACTAATAAAATTCCAAGCTGCTTTGAACATTGGCTCCAGGATGACTGTCCAGCAATTAACTTGAAAGAGCAAAAGAGGAGTTAACAGGCAGCATTCTTACTTTAAAGCTCCCCATTAAAACATTACACCAGTAGGAAATGAAATGCTGCTTTAAGATGATTGGTTCTTGTATCAAAGACAACAGCATTGACAGACACATGCAGCGTAAACGGCACTCCTTTTTAAAAACATTCTACAGTGCAAGATGTTAATGGATCCAGTTCCATGACAATAACGCGGGGTATCTTCTATGGCAAGGCAATTTTGATCATATTGCTTCACTGGGCCTTATCTGCTGCCACCTGGGTAGTTTCTTCATCCAGCCCCTCAATCTTTGTTTCTTGGCCCTAGATGAGCTTAGCATGAGAATTATTTAAAATTTATTTCTTATGGCTTGGCTCAGAAGTCAAGACCTGCTTTCAGAACCATGGTCTGCCTGCATCCTGGGTTTTGCCCAGCCTCCACTATTACAAAGGACTGAACTGATCAAAGGCAGAATTCTATCTTAAGTGAGGCTACCACTTGGCTCAAAGGAGATTTCCCATCAAGTTGCCATGGAACTGAAGCTAACGACTGTGGGTGTGAAAAACGAAGGGAGTGGGTGCAGGGACCACGACCACATTTATTTTATTCCTGTTCACGCATGCAAACACAAGCATGCAAGCGATGGTTAGAAGGACCCATGTGGAAATATGTGCTCACAGATCACAAAGCAGTGACTTCATTTTACATGCCATAAAACAAAGCCCATACACATTCAGCCTGGCTCATTGGTGTACACTAGATTTGCTTCCGGAGATAGGCTTGGCTTAACAAGACTCATGCAACATAGATCAAGTCACAAAGAAGTAAAGGAGGTGCGAGAGCCCAGAGGAGAAGACACAGAAAAGCCAAGTGAACTGTCCATCACATTTGTCATTACAACCCACAACCATCCCTTGCAAATTGTGGTGGCTGGCTTGAAGCACAGCCACCAGGGGCCTCGAGGACATTTCTGTGACTTCCATCACTTGCTGCTCTATGGCGCTGAGCCCACAGGGTGACTCTGAAATGCGGAAGGTAGAACAAACGGTCACTGGGAGGATGGAAGGGAACCAAAAAAGGTTCCTGACAGGCAAAAACATGCAATGAGATGAGCGATGTCAAATATGACTCCGACGAAATGCCAAACATCACTAATCCATTCAAACAGCTATATTGCGGAGAAACGTCAAAAACCTACAGCAACCTTTTTGTGTGTTTTTTAAGAGCGTCGGGTGTGAAAGAGGAAAAGTTTAGTAATGGAATTCCTCTGTGAGAACAGGTTCGCAGAAAAAACGAGAGCCACGCTTGGCCGTTCGAGCAGTAAAGGGCACAGTCTTCAGCACTGCATGGAAAATAACAGCCAGACAAGACAGAATATACAGTAAGAAGCAAAGATCTATTGTATTAGTACATTGTTAGTGCTTTGTTAAAGACACCCTGAGGTGGCTTATTCAGTCATTTAACCACAATAGGATTTGTTTGGCTGGGTTACCAGTAGAATTATCTTTCTGCAAATCACAACAGTTACTGGGGTGTTTTTTTAAAGGTAAAGTTGGTGTATGAACAAGGGCATGATGAAGTGCACACTTTTATCTCAGCACAACATTTATTTGCATGGCTGTTCTCGCACTCTGATGGACTGCTCTTGGAACTTAGTGAAATGAAATCACACAACAACAGAGTGGGCAAAGTAAACCCTAGGCGAAGTCTCAGCCAGGAATCAGCCATAAATTTACCATTGAAAATGAGACATGTGATGCTAGTGAAGTCCTGGCTGGATAGGACCCATGCATCTGTGCATGGATGTTTTTAAAACCCACCGTATTTGTTGCTTGCATTTGGTATTACTCATACTCGGGGACCTATTACTGCTGATTATGGAGAAATTATTAACAATTAGCTGCTGCTGCTGCTGTTTTCATCCACTCTGTGATTGTCACAGAAGCCACTAAATCAGATTTTGGCAAATCACCTGTCTGTTGCAGGAATAGTTTGCCCACCCTGTACTTGTCACGGCTGCTATAAATTAGACCCAGCCATTGTCAGCCTATTGCGTTCAATTATGGATTGCCGAAAGGGACTAGTATTAGTCTGTTGCAAGAGGAATATGCAGCTCTGAAGTTCAAAATCGTTCAACAAATCCAAATCACACAATTTTGTCCTCCATCACATATTTTAATGCTGGAGCAATTACCATTAGTAGGACTTGAAGGACAAAACAAGAGCTTTTAAAAGCAAGGCTCAACACCAGTGGTTTTGCACATGGATCAAAAATACTCAAAGATTTACAAGGCATGCACCTGTTGCAAAAATACGTCTAATAAGGCTCTACGTGGTCTACAGCTTGAGTTATGAGAGCATGCTGAAGTGAAGGAGAAATTAAATAATACACAAACGTTATGTCAACGAGGCCTTGCCAAAGAAGAGGCCTGAAACCCTGAGCGCTATATAATGTGCACCATTTGTTAAATGACTGATACATGTGATTATTCTCACTGAAATCAATTTATTGATTACTTTAAGGAGCTCTGTTAGAGATTTGCAAAGTAAAAGATATGAAGGGGCACTTTGGAACAGCCTCTTCCTCCTCCTCATTATTATTATTATTATTTTACCTGTGATGATATCTTCGATGGCTCCATCCTTCCCCTCGTACACATGTCTATTGTCCTTGACTTGTCGCCGTCTTAACTCTGCAATCAGCTCTTGCTGCTGCCTCTTCGTTTTATGAGACGGAGACTGTAAGGGAGCAAAGGTTGGTAAAAAGCAGTGGCCAACAAGATGCTGAAAACACCTGCTCTTCTCTTTGAGGTGTAAGATAGGGAACTTAGGTACCTGCCCCGTACAGAGTTAGAACCACTAGGTCAACCCTGTCTTTCTTTCCCCAGCCCTACACATATTTCACCTGCACTCACTTTCACTAACTCCCAGTTCACTTTTTTTGGGGGGGAAGGGAAGTTATGGTTCTAACCTATGAAACATTGAAAAGTTTGGGATCAGAGTATCTACAAGACCACCTTTTCCCACACCAAACTCTCGGCTGAGAGAACAACATTTGAGGCCTGTCTCAGGGGGTCCTGGCCTTCTGAGGTTAATCAAAATAAGGGCCTTTCCTGTGGTGGCTCCCTGATTATGGATTGCCATCCCCAGGCATACCCATCTTGCACCATGATTATTACTGTTTAGATGTCAAGTGCGGTCTGTCTTGTTTGTCACATACTAACACTTAATCTGCTTTTAGCTACTTTTTGTGATTTATACATTGTCGTGCTGATGGTTTTTGTTTTTGTTATTTCTTTTTTATTGTTCTACACAATATCAATGGCAATTGTAAAGCTGCCATGAGGGCCAAGACACTGGAAAAGTGGGGAACACAATCCTGACATTACAGGAGGTGGGGGTGCTTTGTGAAAATATCTGGAGAAGTCCCTTTGTGTAGCCTGACCTTGCATAGTGAGAATTCCTAATTGCATTGTTAAAAGATATTATCATGGAAGAGAGGGTCTCATATGCCAAGCAGAACTCTGGAAAATGCTAGATGCAACCCCAAACAGCCGTTTCTGCCACTGCGTTTTCTTTGAGCCTCTTCCGACTAGCCTTCCTTCACATTTGGTCACTGCAGACTCTTGGGTGACTATGCGCTGAATGTCTTCCTGTTATCGAATTGCTTGGCCGAGATAAATGCTCATTACTTCTCGGTAAGCATCTTTCAAACAGGGCAAATTCCAAACATTGTATCAATGGCTTTAGGAGAATAAACACCTTTCTGAGATTTAGGAAGAACAGGAAATAGCATAGACATGAAACTGCTCTAGTTTCCTTTTAAGTTTCTTATATGACTGCCTTGTTAAAATGTCTCTGTGAGAAACAAAGCTTCAATAGTTATCTCTGAGAGAAAACACCTGACAGAAAGGTGTTTGGAATGTTGGTTCCTTGCCGATCCCAAAGACTTGAGAGAAGCAGTCTCAGCCAATAAGGCAGCAGTAGCCAAGGTGGTGCTTTCCAGATGTGTATTCCACAACTCCCATCATCCCTAACAACTGTAGTTCAATAATATCTGGACTGCACCACATCGGCTGCTCTGCAATACGATGATCTCTTTCACTGGACCAACATGTGCCACTTTATCAATGCACGTAACCAAAATCGATTAATGGCTTGGTTGTTTGCTACCTTTTGGTCTTGCTGCTCCATCAGTGCCTCCTGCTCCAGAAGTTTTTCCATCAATGCCTGCTGTTGCTTTTTTCTCAACTCGTTCTCCTCTTCCGCTTGCTATCGACAGTTTTAAACGAAATACACACACCCGTTAGAGCTCGCAACAACTTCAAAAAAATGTGGTTCGTTTTTAGCTCACTCAGCAAAATACAAATTCATTAAAGCCAGTTTAACTTTGATGTGTCGCTTCCTGTTGTGGTATGATACGGCAAATTCTTCCAAGAATTTCTTCAAGAATTTGTCCTCTTGTGATTCCCAGCAGCTGTCATTCAGAGGCATACTGCCTCCAACAGTGGAGAGCATAGCCATCATGGCTAGGAGCGACCGACGGCCTTATTCCCTCTCTCTTTTGAAGTCACCTAATGGCAGATTTTTCCAGCCACATGTGTACCTGCCGTCATGTCCTCTGCATGTCTGAATGTGTGTAACACAGCAGGAGTGCTGTGTGTTCCTGATGTCTGGTGTGTGTTTGCCTTCTCTTTTCCTCTCTTGGATTTTGTTTCATTTTGCCCCAGCCATCATTGGAATGCAGCCCCCAAGAGGTTGGGCAAGTTTTAATCTGCCTTTTGTTCTGGGACACGTTTCCCAAAAATGGAACCTTAAGGCTCTTTCATATAAATCATAGAATTGTAGTTGGAAAGGACCATGGGAATCATAAACCCCTTGCAATGCAGGAATCTTTCACCCAACATGGGGCTCAAACCCACAGATTAACTGTCCCATGCTCTACCGACTGAGCTATCTGTGTATTTGCTAAGGAAACTACAAAACCACAGCGGGAGCCTTTGGTTAGAAAGTGTGGCCACATTTGTAAGAATAACAGAAGTGAACTGAACTTCTGTTTACCTTGTAAGCCTTCACAAATCGAACAAAGACTGGGAAGAAGACTGATGGAGGTGTTGTCTTGGGATTCTCTCCAAAATACTTCACAGCATCATCAAACGCATCCTGTAAAAGAGAGACTTTTTAACATATATATATCTATTTCATTTCAACAAATCCCCAACTATGCAAGATGGTGTTTAGCCCACGAAAAGGGAACCACCCCCCACAAGCTGAAGGCTGATCAGGTGGCAAGGAATCAGGAAGGAAGCAGCAGAGACAAGAGTGGAGGTGCATTGGAGCCTTTTTTACCAGTGCAACAGAAGGGAGGCCTGCTCTGTAACCTGTTTTGCAAAGCGCACAATTTCAGGTCTTTCCTTAGGAAGCAAGAAAAACCCCAGTTCCAAGTATAAACTTGCAGTTTGAAAATATGCATTCGGAAGTTCTGCCATGTACTGCTGTTAATTGCCCTCTTGTGCTGGGATTACTTTAACCATTTTTGCCTTTTGCAGATTCAGAACAGATAAAAGGAAGAAACTTGTTTCTTTCTACCATTATTATTTTAACCAAGAAAATAAATAATGAAACTTGAGTGGAGCTACTAAACATTAAGTATCTGTGTGTTTCCCCTGGAAAATAGCTGTGTGTGTGTGTGTGTGTGTGTGTGTGTGTGTGTGAGAGAGAGAGAGAGAGAGAGAGAGAGAGAGAGAGAGAGAGAGAGAGATGTTTAAGGGTGCATGATTGCACATGCCACTAAATGAAATGCTATTGCATAAGGTGTGAAGTCACTCTCAGTGACAGATGTCACATCAATACTGCAAAAGAATAAACACATTCTATTGTTTTTTTCAACCACCCTTCCTTCTTCAAGCAGCACAGAGAAGCATTTCTTGTTCCCTTTCTTTTCCCCCTGAGGGGGAATGACTGGCCTAAGCTCACTCATTTGGACACACTTAACTATACAGCACAACACTACACTAGAACAGCGGAATCAGTGAATACTTGTCCTGCCTACTCCTAAAGGAACATCTTTGAGCTTGAAAAAGGTAACAAAAGTTCTCCGTTCCTGAAAGCTAGACCACTGAACAACTGCTGGGATACACAGAATACCTGAGCTATTTTTGCATCATCCTGCAGCTTCTTCAGTTTCCCTTCATTGTTCTGAATAAACTCCTTCAGCATGGTGTTGTGATCGTGCATGGTGTACTCTCGCTTCGTTAGGTCGAGACCTCTTTGGAGTTCCTTTACATCCAACAGAACATTTTCAAGGGATACTAAAGAGTGGAAGGGGAAAGACATTCAAAACGTTACTACGCATTACCTAATTGATCCCTAACACCTCCAGTTTGACAGATCTCATGTAGCAAAGCCTGTCGATATAGCTGCCTGAGACCCTGGATAGTTTTAATTGGGGAATCTCTGTTAACATGTGGTTGTTGTTCCTGCTACTACTATTAAAATTGAGAAGCCAACAATGGAGGGTCTCTCTCTCACACACAAGACAGAATTGCAGGCCAGCGAGCTTATATTTTGCATCCAAGAGACAAAACTGGAACGAAACAGAAAGGCTAGGAATGAGATGGGATTGGGGGCGGATGCATCAAACAAAAGGGAAGGTGAGTAGTTCAGGGAAGGTATTGTTTTAAACCACCTTTACAATATAGATGCACATGCTCCAGTAGGGCTGATGCCTCCTATACAGTTTCTACCCTGACCATGCAGAACAGAGGAGGAGAATAGGATCTGACCTCCTACACCTCTCGTGGGCCATTTTGGCAGGTGGGCAGGGCCTCGCTACCCCTTCCAAGTAAAGATTTCTGTACATGTAAAGATTTCAGTCAGAAGGATCCTTTCTGTTCGGTGTGTTCACACAACATTTACAAGACGTGCCTTCCAACAGGATGTGCACCTCTTGCACCTGAAGTTAAGGACTTTACACAAACTGTGTGGGAGCAATGAAGGAAGCCCAATTACTGAAAAGAGGAAAGGCTCCTGTCAGCCTTAGGGAACAGTGTGCTAGAAGAACCAAGAAGGCATTTGAAAATTATGATGCTTCTGTATCCTATTGTGCCCATAACATTTAAGGTGCCCACCTGTCTTCTGCAAGGTGGTATCTTTTCCAAACAGGTAGCTTTCCCTAGGACATGGGTGCATTACTGTATTACAGTATCCACAGAACATATCTGAACCTGCTTTTAAGTACTTGGGAAATGAATGTGTGGCTATGTTACCTGCAGCAGCTTTCTCCACATAGTGAAGCTCATTGTAAAAAAGCGATACTTGCTGATATTTCTCTCTCACAACATTTGATATATAGTGCAATAGAGTTTGTTTCCTGTCTGTCGATTTTGTGTCTAGTAACTGCAAAGAAGAGGCAAAAGAAGTATGTTAGATTCAGCTTCAACATCCTTGAGTTAACTTTCCTTAGCAGCCAACCCATGATCTGCCTATATACCAAGGGTGGAAAAGCTATAACTCTCCAGATGTGGCTGAGTTACAATCCCACCACCCCTGGGGCTGATGGGAGTTGGAGTCCACAACATCTGGAGGGTCACTGGTTAGCCACCCTGAAATAGACACATGACACAATGAAATAAGTGCAATGCAATGAAGATATCATAGCCCTGTATGAATGTTACAGGTCAGGGGAGGGGAACATGTGACTCTTGAGATGATGTTGCACCAGAACTCTCATCATCCCTGATCATTCGCCATGTTGATGGGAACTGAGGTCCAATAACATGGAGGACCACAGGTAAAGGATTTTAGGACCCCTCCAATTGTTGCCCATAGTTTTGTATTTATTTATGTTACTTAAACATGATAATTCATCATATTGTCAGAAGACGACCACAAGTAAAAGAATAATCTGAATCAGGAAAACTATAGGCCATTAAAGCAATCAAGGTTGTCGTCTTATTAAATCTGTCCGGTGTATTTTCATAGCGCTGGTAATTATTGTTTATTACAGGTCATTAGAGGCATTCATTCCCCACCCCTAGCAACAGGGTCCATCGCATATTGCTTTTATGAATGGCCCAATGCTATTATCCAGAAAGTGGAGAGACTCATAACTAGAACTGGCAGAAAAGACAGGGCAGTGCTAAACAGACTTCTCAGCCATTGCAAATCTGTACAGGAGGTCTACCTGATGCAGTTAGTGGTAAGGAAGAGTTTAACCAGGGGAGTGAAATGAAGTTATGGGGAACTGAAATTTACCTTTGTCTTGACAATATGACATTAGAAATCTAAGCCAATGGCTCCATTCCTTCCCTAGCTCATTGATAACTCACTAAAACCACTGTTGTTCATACAGGCCATGCAAATAAATGGGGATGTGCAAACAATCTTCCAAGCAAAGCTACTTTCAAGTCCACTGGGGGTAGATTTCCCCTTACTTACCAGATCTAAGCTCTGCAGTTTAAATCCATAAACAGCTCCTCGTTTACTGCTGTTCATATAGTTACCCAGAGCCAAGATTATCTATGGAAATCATAGGGGTGGGAAAAATTGTAAGCATCAACTAATAACACATAACATTCTGTAATAAAAAGGAAAGGGGACATTTTAACTTAAATATATAGCCCCCTAAAGACCACTGTTGTGTTTTTACCACCGATATTTTTAAAAAAACAACAACATTGAATAAACAAAATAAACACTTGCCTCCAGGATTTTCTTGAGTTTCTGAGATGACTTTATTGAGACAGATGCTGCAATTATTGCATGAAGTTGCTAGAGGCAAAAACAAGAAATCATGTGAACATCTGTAAAAGCCAAGTGTGAAATAAAAATGGACACCCAGTGGCTTCTGCAAGACGGACAGATTGTGTATGTGTAGCCTTAGTCAGACAGAATACTAACTGGATGAGCCAAGTCACAGTCCTTCACCCCAGCATCTCACACCAGGCCCTCCCTAACGATGCTTGAGGTATTTGGGAGGATGCCTGTAGGGCCAGCCTTCCAAATGCATGTAGATTGTCCTCATGAACTGCAATCCTGAGCACTCAGGATTGCAGGTCACAAGGAGAGCCTACAAATGTTTGGTAGGCTGCTGATATCCTCTCAAACATGCATATCCTCTCATTGGGGAGGGGCCGGCGTGGGCCACAATGACATGGGGAGGGAAACACATGTGACCCCAAGTGCTGTGCACTCACACTGCGTGAGCTTGAATGCCCAAATAGTGCTTGGGTCAGAATCATATGGCAAATGACTATTTACAACTGATTGGATCTGAACCAGAAAGGCAGTCCTGCATAGACAAGAGAGGGTGCTGATGTTAATACCCACTGGCTTGCTACGGTCCTTTGCTACATCCCATACTATTCTGGAGCACGTGCCAAAACTCAGGGACAGGTTTTTTTAAGGGTACAGCAACATGAAGGGAGAGGAGATATGGCCTTATGCCCTGAGTAGACCTTTGCTCACAAAATTTAGGATGAAGGCCCCGATGGGATCAGAAAGAGGCAAGCAAGCAATGGTGCACAATGAACTTATCACCATGTAGTTCCAGGCAGCTGCTAGAGGTAATGTGTCAAAGATAAGCAAATATTCCTGCACTGCGGGGGGTTGGACTAGATGGCCCTTGGGTTCCCTTCCAACTCTACAATTCTATGATCAAGCAGGGGATAACTTCAGCCCATCTCTAACAAACAAACTGCTCCAAAAGGAATGTAACACATGCATAAGCCACGCCATGGAATTCCATTCAAGAAGGAGCTACTCTCCCCATCTCACTCACTGGAGTCAGCATCTGGATGCTTTCTGCAAAATTGCCAACGAATGCCATGATGGTCATCTTTTGCATCAGCCTCTCAATCTTGCTGAACTGCATCATGAAACGATCCTCATCTGAGAGGTTCTCAAGGGGCTTCCTCTCCCGCTCGTAAAGCCGCAACATTTTCACTTCATTTTCCGTGGGCAAAAATCTCATCAGGCATTCGACAAAATCCACTGGTAGAGTCTTCAAATCGAACCTGGCCAAATGCAAAAATATATAAATATATTTAAAAGAAGAGTTGTTTACAGGGAAGGAAGAGGCAGAGAGCTCTGTTTTCACTCAGTTCCTCTATCAATGAATCTTATTAAAGCTACTAATCAATTCTACAGACAAGGCATACTTAATGCAATAATCATGTTAACTGTGGGCGCAATTATTTCACACTGGCAATTTTGGCAGTCAATATGCGAAGTGTGAATAGATGTGTGTCCCTAAGTACTTGAATATGGGTATCTGTAAGTGAAAGACATGCACAAGTTACTGACATTTTACGTATTTGCTGTAGGAAGCACCACTGTAAGCCAGGTACAATCGCAGCAAACAATTACCATATTAAGTGTGAAGCGGCACTTAGGATTTTTAAAATTCTGAATATAGATGGTTAGGACTGCACTGAGAACTCTCTTGGTTGCTTTTATATATTGCTCTGGGAAGCACCCTGAAAACCAAGTAATCGTATTTTTAAAGCTGCTAAAAAAACACGATTGCAACAAGCATAATGAACTTTATGTAAATAGGAGCAGAAAAAAGGCACATCCCTTTAATTGAGATTTGTAGCCTACACACGGGTGCCATTTGCACTGAATCTCAACTGATAGACTATATGGAATTAGCAGAAATGACTGGCAGAATCCGCGACCTGGGAGAAGAAACTGTGGAAGAGGATTGGAAGAAATTAAAGGATTACCTACAAAAACATTGTAAATTGTATGAGTGTTAAGAAAGATGCAAGAATAAAAATAAATGTGGCTTCAGTAACGTTAGTTGAAAGGAATTTGAGAATAGGTGAAATCTCAGAAAAAGTTAAATTCGGAGTTAATATTATGCCTAAATTAAATATTTAAGTTTTTGGTTAATGTAGTTAAAACTAAAGACATAATATTGGAATAATACAAAATAAGTATTGAAACAAGGTGATAATTTGCTGTTTAGAACTTTATAAATTTGGAATGCAGGAACGAGAGACGTGAGGAAGTCCAAAAAGGTGAAGAAAGTATGGATACTAAGGATTTGATTTTGATGTTCTATGTTTTTCTTTTTTGTGTGTTTTTCTTTGTTTATTGTATTTTGGGGATGGGTTTATATGTGTTGGGTGAAAATGTTTAAAATCTTGAATAAAATATTTTAAAAAAACAACAACACACAATTGCAACAAGCATAATGAACTTTATGTAAATAGGAGCAGAAAAAAGGCACATCCCTTTAATTGAGATTTGTAGCCTACACACGGGTGCCATTTGCACTGAATCTCAAAATGCTGGTTTTGTCCTTTCATGCTCCTTAATTTGGGTGTGTGCTTCCTCCTGTAGGAAGTACTCCCACGGCCCTGTAGCATCTCCCAGCAAGCTCAGCTGAGAATTTGTACATTAATGGAAGAGGGAGGACATAGGGGAAAGGAGTGCCTTCACTGTGGTAACCTCAAACACAGAGAAGGGTTTACTGCAGGAAATCAGTCTGCACTCCACTCTTCTGAAAGAAATGCAAAGCACATTCCTGCAAGACAGCTTCTGCAAGACTTTAAAAACGAATGGCTGTCAGCATGACCATTGCACTGAAGTGTTTTTAGCATTATGACTTTCAGGTACTTTAAAAGTTTTTACTGGATCATTTTATTATTGCCAGTTGAGTATTTGCAGACACAGCCTAAACACCACAACACCAATCTGCATTTCATTCAAGACACTTGGACTCAATTCAAACACTGTGAAGGGGAGGGGGGGTAACCTAGCCCTTTCCCATTCCTTTAATAGCTACCATATTTATCTCACAATAGTGTTTAAATTGCTGCTAGAAATGAAAGCCTTGCATGACAAGAAATATAGATGAAAAATACGAACAACATTCTTCAGAAAACCACCAGTTGCTTTTTACAGTTCTCATAATGGAAGGAATTCAACATTGCGTAAAGGCAGTCCTTCCATCACAGCAAGCGTTTCAGCTTGCCAGATGAACAATGCACATTGTTCTGGGGGTTCTCCCAAACCCCCAAGACCAGTTTGGGAGGGGAGGTGTAATAGAGGGGGGGAAAGTCCCATTGCACAAGTAGAAGTCTTTGTTCAGGCCTTCCACTGACTGGATTTTTAGCTACAGATAGGTAGCCGTGTTGGTCTGCCATAGTCAAAACAAAAAAAATTCCTTCCAGTAGCACCTTAAAGACCAACTAAGTTAGTTCTTGGTATGAGCTTTCGTATGCATGCACACTTCTTCAGATACCAGATTCATTAGGTGAATCCTGCCCCCATGTTACTGTGATTCTTCAGATTCATGTGATTCTTCAGATTCATTAGGTGAATCCTGCCCCGTGTTACTGTGATATATGCAGAGTAAGCAAAATCCAACGGGCTTACTCCAGAAAAGTGTGCACAGCTTAACAGCTTTATGGTGATCAACTGCATATATGAGCATTACTGGCATATGAGGATCTTCCTTGGATCTAAGCAACTTGCAGAAATACTGCTGACCAATTAATACAACGTGCCTCAAACCACATTTGTAAAACAGCCTTTACACTTACGCCTGAATAGCTTTGCATATCTCATCTGCAGTCTTTCCAGCTTTCCTTAAGGTGATCGCAAGATTTTTAGCCCTGTTTGCTTCCAATAGCGTGACTTTGTTCGATCCCTTTTGAGTTATTTGCTTGCTTGAAGAAAGATCAATGGCCGGGCCTTGGGCTTTTGTCTTGAATATTTCTTCAAATTCATCCACATTTAAATCCTAGGACAGAAACCAAACAGAAACAAGGAGTCTAGAAATCTATGTCTAATAGGGGGGGGGGAATACAATTAATGAAAAGTGTAGAAGCTGTAGGGCATTGGGAAAGGGGGAGGTGACTGTGTGACGAGGAGAAGGCTTTGATGCTCTGCAAAGTTTCTTGGTCCATCGCAAGATAGCAAAATACTGCACGTAGCACAGCAGAATAGGACTCTAGTTACCTTAATGTCAACAAGACAGAGTGATTACTGAGGTCTATGGAGTGTTTAAAACTCTTTAAGTACATATGATGCAAGGTCAAAATGACTGCTTTTTAACAGGATACAGTAACTTCCAAAAGACAGACAGACAGACAGACACACACAGAGAGAGAGAGAGACAGAAAGAGAGACAGAGACAGAGAGAGAGAGAGAGAACACCAAATCACAATCTGCAGGTCTCATACCTCCAATATCCTTTCGTCATCAATTTCATTGAAGACTGTCCCGTTAATCTGATTGGGTTTCAGAGCCACCCAGTTAAAAACTGGCATGCGGAACTTTGTCTTAATTGGCTTCTTGATTTTCACAGCTTTAAACAAAGAAGAGAGTACAAGTTCACATTTCAGAAAAAGGCAACAAACCTCTTGAGCAATCCAGAAGTACTTATGGGGGATGGCATTTCAACACTGGAGGAGGCCTGACAAGAACTAAACAAATACTGTAAAGTGTTGGGGAAAATTTGGGCTGGCTGGAAAGCTTGAAGAGAAGAGACAATTTCTCTCTCTAATTCAGGAGGTTTGCCTATCATTCATGCAAAGGTTTGACAAAAGCAAGCATGTTTTGTTACAATTGTGCCTATTTTTCCTATATTTGATGAGAACAGACGATTCAATCACTACAGGAAGTCTATAAAATTGTACTCTATTTACCCACGTGATTTTAAGCTACGTCCTGTGATGGTCTACTGTTATTCTTCTGACCGCACTAAAATGAACCCAACACAAGAACATTGCCTGATTATTGGATGAAATCATGTGGAGTTGCCTATTTAAGGAAGAGCAACCATACATTTACCTAAAAATCATAGAAACATGACTCAAGTTTCCAGTCTCCATTAAATGTGTAAAAGGCACCAGTGGTACTCAACGGAAGGGTGTTTCTGAGGGGGCACTAAGGTACCAACTGGTGAGTGCTGTCTAGCCTCACTCCATTTAAGAGGCAGAAAACATCATCACTTTCCAGATGTAAGCTCCTCCCCTTCCTGTAGAGAGCAGCTCATTTTCTGCCTTACTTTAAGTTGGAGCGATTGCTCAATGGATTCTCCGGTTCAGCATTTCCATTAAAGAAACTAAGTGTGAGTATATGGTATTTTTCTCTCATGAAAGGTGGTGCCCAAGTGCCCACACGAGAATTAAGATTAACAGATAGGGATGAGGTTTATTGCAAAGCATCTAGAAGGTGTGAAACGTCAGGTGTCAGCCACATTTATGGAGTGATGGACATGAGCCTGGAGACTGCCAATTCCCAGCAGGAAAATATTGTGATATGTTGCACCTACAACACCTTCCAGATTTTAAAAGCAAGCGAGTACACACAAACATGCATCTGTTGATTAGGATTGCAAATGTGTGATCTGTACCTTTATTTAGCATGATGAGTGTCACAACAGCTAAAGGAGCTTCTCCCCACATCAACCTGCCCAGATGTTAAGCAGGGGAGGCCTTGTTGGCAGTGCTGCCTCCTTCTGTGGCTCATGCAGCAATAAAGCTGCTAGCACATTTGCAAAGCTAAGCAGGGTCCGGGGGGGGGGGGGAGTGGCACGCATTGCAGGGGGTTGAACTGGATGATCCACAGGGTCCCTTCCAACTCTACGATTATATGATTCTTTGTGGCAGTGGCTCATGAAAGGGCCTTCCTGTGTTGGCCCCCAGGTTGTGCAATTAACTCCACTCTGAGGCACGTCTTGTGTCATTACTGCAAGCCTTTCAGTGATTGGTCAAGATGCACCTCTTCACAAGGCCTTTTTTCTGAGTGGATCAGTATCGCTGTGGATTGCTGTTTTGGCATTGGTTGTTTTGGGTTTTATTCTAGGATTTTAATAGTTTGCATTTGCTTTTAATTATACTATTTTTTGTAACACACCCTGGGGCCGTTTGGACAATCAATCAATAAAGTGTCCAAGTTGTTGCATGTTATATTTGCATCATGTGTCACTGATTCACTGGAACTACCAGTTTAAAGTCCATAACCATGCTGAAAACCTCACTCAGGGCTCATCCACACTTCGCTTCGCTCCACATTTCTAGCAACAGGTCCAATCTTTCCAGGTCTGTGTCTGAGTGTTTTCCCCCTTCCTTCCTTCCTTCCTTCCTTCCTTCCTTCCTTCCTTCCTTCCTTCCTTCCTGTCCTTCTCCACAAAACCCCCATTCTTTACCACTGAAAACAATTTCATGGAAAACCCTAATAGCCGCTTGCTCTAATTCAGCAGTAAAGCTTGGATTTTCCTGAGGAAAGCAGCGGGGGGCGGGGCGGGAAACACTCAGTCACAGACCAGGAAAATGCAGACCTGTGCCTAGAAAGTGCAGGGCAAAAGGCAAGAGTAGATGAGCCCTCAATCCTAAACAAGCAAGTGGTGTTTTGGAAATGCAAGAAGAGAAGCTCTAAGCTGAATAAAAGCAATTGGAATTGACAGCAGCCACCAGGGAAATTACGCTGCAGATTTAAAGAATCCAGAGTCTGTATTTTAAACAGTAAAAGAACACTCTCCAGTCTCAGCACAATCATTTCTTGGATTATTTGTTACTTTGACCATCTCTCATTGTGATTGTCTGCTACATTTTCCAAAGCAGCTCTGAAGACATGCCTTCCCCATTAACCGGTGGACAAAGAATAATAAGCTGAAGCAGGAAAATTTAGGTTAATTACTAAGGGGTAGAGAAACTTCCTAACCCTAAGAGCCAAGGGAACTGATTAAATGTCCATCGCTGGAAATATCCAGCAATTAGTAACTCATTCACTGTAAGCATTAATCTTCATGAAGTTCAGGGGATGCGCACATAAAATTCAGGAAATGACATTCTAGAGAACATTTGCCACTGAAAACATCAATTACGACAGAAGTTTTAAATTGGTTCTGAAGCTTTAAGCAATTTGGTTAATTAATCAACTCAACCAGCTCCTTCCTCACCTTCATGTCATTAAGGATCAACTCCAGTTTGAAACTGGACACACACACAGTGCAGATTCCAATGCACAGTGTTTTGCAACAGCAGATAAAATCCTGCACTACAATGGTAGTATCAAGTATTGCCAGAGAAAATCCTAGCTTATTTTGCCACAATGTGTATTATTATTTAGTGGGACAAGCAGTTTATCAATTTGACAGCATGAATTTAAAACTAAATTAGTGAATTGTTAACATTTCTGCAAGCTTCACACAGTCAAGAAACCCCTCCTTCTTACTCCTCCAGTTTTGAAGAAGCTACTTAGCCAGGAAAGTGAAGTTGGAAACATGCAGTTGTTATGTCCACCGTCAAGCAAAGCATACCTAGTGAATTTTACCACAGGCAAACTCACATTCCCAAAGGACACTGTTGTTCACGTATGATGACTGGGAATGTGTACACCCCAAATATCTTGTTATCTATCCTTCCCCCCTTTCCCCTATAATGCACCAAAACCCTTGTGCAAAGTTTCAGACTGGGGATACATTTGTAATAGATTCCACAAATTCATCCACTAATTTTAAGCAAATTTCCACACATCTTTTGTCAGCTGTCAAAACTGGAGCTGCGAATTACAATTTGATAGGCAGCGAGCCCGATATTATGCGATGATGTCACTATCCACTCAAAGGTTTGAAGCTACTTCTCATTTACTTAAAAGATGCACTTGTTTGGATGTGTGGTGACATCACGAAGGGCAGGTATATTATGAATATTTCTGTTTGAAGGTAGCCAAGTGATTGATCTTGATGAGTCTCTAACATAAGATGCAATGCTGCATGCAATGATATGCCTTAGAATACCCTTAGAGTTTCTATTTTATGGAAAAACCAAGACCACATACACACCACACATAGAAAACAGCAGTGACACAACTTTAAAGCAGTCATGCCTTCCCCCAATCAATCTTAAGAAGTATAGATTGTTAAGGGTGTGGAGAGTTGTTAGGAAACCCCTATTCTCAAGTCAAACAAACATCCCACGCTTTCGGAGAATGCAACAACACAGCAAGCTAGTTTTTAAAGTGATACACAAATGGATTTGGTTAACAAGACAGGAAAAGAAGACAGCAGAAAATGGGATTAAAATGTACTTAAAATACTCAGCAAAAAGGAACCTACAGAAAAGCTTGATTGGCCCATCTTACAAGGAAGCAGAGGGAATAAATAAGAAAAAGGTTAGCTATTGTTACGTAGGTCATTTAATAGAACAATCTATTATCACAAATCAGGGCTCCTGAATACCACTTCACACATTATCATTTTTCTACATAGAAATAATCAATTGCACTTAGGTGTATAGAGTTTATGGACTGGGCAGCCTATCCATGGTAATAGGTATTTACCTATCATCACCCATTAAGGTAAATTATATTTTCCTACTTGAGGTTATCTAAGTGTAACAGAACAGCAACGGATGAGGCATGTGCCCACCAAAAGCCTTCTACGGATTTCATTTAAGTATCAAACAAAAGGTAGCATCCATTATTGGATGGTCCAGTACCATATTAATTCTGCAGTGAACAGTATTATTTGGAAGCTACACTTTACCCAACTTATTTATATGGGAAGATTGCAAACAAAGCCATAAAGACCAATAACCTAGAATTAGTTTACCAACAAATAAACTACTGAAGCCCAATACAGTGGTACCTCTGGTTACATATGCTTCAGGCTACATACGCTTTAGGTTACAGACTCTGCTAACCCAAAAATATTACCTCGGGTTAAGAACTTTGCTTCGGGATGAGAACAGAAATCGTGCTCCAGCAGTGTGGTGGCAGCGGGAGGCCCCATTAGCTAAAGTGGTGCTTCAGGTTAAGAACAGTTTCAGGTTAAGAACAGACCTCCGGAACGAATTAAGTACTTAACCCGAGGTACCACTGTATATGAAGCATTCGTTTCCTGAAGCACCAATAGGTTTCCCAAAAGGAGCAGAGATGGCCACCAACTTGGATGCCTTTAAAATAGGTTTAGAGAAATTCAGGGAGGCTAAGGCTGTCAGTGGCTACTAATCCTGATGGACTATGTTCTATCTCCACTGTGGGAGGCAGTATGCTTCTGAATACCAGTTGCTGGAAACCACGGGAGAGAGTTCTGTGGCATTCAGGGTCCTGTTTGTGTGCTTCAAACAGGCATCTGGTTGGCCACTGTGAGAACAGGATGCTGGACTAGATGGGTCATTGGCATGATCCAGCCAGGCTGTTTTTTATTTTATTTTGTTAGCTTTCCCCCTGCAACATATTCCCTTCATATACAGGCAGGAGATCAAAATCCAGCTATTAATTTCAGTTCCCAGTGGCTGTCATTTTCAATAAGACATCAAAAATGACTCTAGATTCAGCCTCAGGACCAAACCCAGAACTGTGGTGTTAAGTCTTCCAACTATGTTGAGGGTCTTTCTTCATTAATGAAGTTTTGTCCAGGGATGTTAATGGGCCGGCCTGATTCACGGTTTTTTTTATTCTTCCAAATTGTGCTCAAGTCAACAGAAACTGTATTAATTGCAGTGAGGCAATAGATAGAGTATTAGCAGGCTGAATGAACATCAGATTTGCAAAGAGGGTTGTGACTAATGACACAACCAAGCCAAGGGTTGTAAATTGAAGGGGGGGGGGGAGAGAAGAATAGGCTGGAGCTACACAGCCAGTGCAATGCTACTGAAGAACCAGAAATTGAATCTCTCATCTTCCAAGTTCACCTCTACTATCAGAGGATGAGCAACTGTTGATGTTGGACTCAATGCAGGAAGAGGAAGGTGGGGCGGGGGGGAACACACATTCACTTGAGTGCTTTAGCCTTGGCTACTTCAAGCTACTGTTGTTCCAAATAAATGTCTCAATGGCACAGAGGCATCCAAATTCTGCCTGTTTTTAAGGGATATCAGAGAAGGTTTAAAATAAAGAACCAGCCACCTGCTTTTAAACATATTATGTATTAGGGATGAGTACCCGGGCTTTCTAAGTCTGCAATTATCATATTGTTCCATGACCTAAACTGTAAAATGCCAACGAGTATTCAATCGCTTGCTCAGTTCCTTAGCAAACCCACTCACACTTTTCTAAGAGATGCCTGCCTCCTATCTTCAGAAGCCCAAATTTGGAGATTTGGATTCAGTGTTTGAGGCGAGGCATCTAACACTTTTCCACCACCAGTGAGATAACATGAAGGGATTGTAGCAACGGTATAAAGCCTCAGTTTAATAAAATCAAAGCATTTTTCTGCTAGCTACTCATAATCTGCAGAATGGTGAGGGAGGAATGGGAATCTCTTTAGTGTTCAACCTTTGTATTGGCTCCATCAGGTGCTCACCATCTCTCCTTTGAGAAGGTGCAGTGAAACAACACACAGATTTTATTTCAAAAAAATTGCCTCTCCCCAAACCTTCACTGAGAATAGGCCATCACCTTGTCATTTCTTTAGAAAGTTATTTTGCTTTTAATTCACTGCTGCAGCTAAGGTTTTGCAGCACTGGGACACCTTGATTCATTAAGGATTCATTCCTCTTTGACTAAGGACATTTTTTGTATTGTGTGTAGGACTTCCATAGCACGCCAGCAACACTGGCTGCTTCTCACCTGCTAATCCTGAGTTGAAAACGACTGTAGGGGACGCTGTTCCTGGAAGAGGAGGCGCTGATGGTGGGGGTGGGGGTGGGACCGGAGGGGCCAGTCCTGGTTCTGCAGCTGGGCCAGGAAGAGGAGGTGGGGGAGGAGGGGGAGGAGGCGGTGGAGGGGGAGGAGGCATTGGCGGTGTCACAGGACCATTTTGAACTGAGAAATGAAAAAGACAAAACAGCATTTTAAAGTATTCAACCAAACTTTGTCCGCCTCCCTCCCACACCCCGAGGGAGTTCTCTCAACTATAGGCAATCCACATGGTGAACTTTGCTATACATTGTGCCTGCAGAGTAGAGAAGCTGCCAAATAGATGTTATTTTGCAGACCCTTGCAAATCATGCAATGTGTAGAATGGACCTCAAACACAAGATTTGTTGTTGTTGTTTAGTCGTTTAGTCGTGTCCGACTCTTCGTGACCCCATGGACCAGAGCACGCCAGGCACCTCTGTCCTCCACTACTTCCCGCAGTTTGGTCAGACTCATGCTGGTAACCTCGAAAACACTATCCAACCATCTCGTCCTCTGTCGCCCCCTTCTCCTTGTGCCCTCCATCTTTCCCAGCATCAGTGTCTTTTCCAGATGGTGTTCAGCAAAAGTGAAGAGGAAGAGAATAGGATTAGATAAACTCCTCAGGGTAGAGGAATCACTCCCTTTTCATGCTTATGTTACTCTGCATTGTGTCATATACCTAATACTACTACTAGTAGTAGTAGTTGTAGTAGTAATAACTACTTATAGTAATAACAATTACTGCCACTGCTTTTTATTATTATTATGAAGTTCACTAACGTGTCAATGATGATGAAGACATAGGATGTAATCCAGAACCAGTTTGGCACACTTCATCAACAGTCTAATCATAAAGTTATTTATTTGGGAGTAGACCATGTTGATTTCGAGGGAATTAATTTCTAAGTAAATATTTTTAAGGTAAGATGCCCAGATAGCCAGTGAACACTTAAGTGCCACTTGATTCACCGCATCCATCTTTCTCTGGATTGGGTCCTAGCCTCTTTCATGTGTGGTCATCACAAAGTATGGACTGATGTATTGAGGGGGATAGGCTAACCCCCACTACCTTAAGTTGAGCAAATCTCATTTCTTCTGCAACATTTCTCACCTGCTTCCGATTCTGATTCTGACAACGGCAAGGGTGGTGGTGGAGGGGGCAACAGAACCGAAGGTGCAGAGCCAGAAGCTGATCCTCCACAAGTGCCCGTGGCAGCTTCTGCCCCTGAGGGCAATGTCCCAGAAGCCACCCCAACAGGAAGAATGTTGATATCACCATCTCCTTTCTTCTGAATTTTAATGGACCCTTGCTTCTCCAGTTCATGGATCTTCTTCTCCAGCGTTGACTGTCGTTGAATAGCTTCCTCTTTCTCTTTGACCATTTTCCTCAGCGTGTGAACCTGTGTGTTCGCATCCTTGTATATTTCCTGCAAAAAAGAGCCCACGGGTAAAGAATCGACATGGGTTTGATATGCAGAATCATCTCAAAACTGAAGGAACAACATAACATGGGATTCCCAGCTGAGTCATTGTCAGGCAATGTTTGATGGTGGCGGCAAATGCACTTCTCACTTTATCTTCATCCAAACTGCATTTATCTTTAATAAGGAACCTCAATCATGGCCACAAACTGGCAATATCAGAAAGGTTTAAATTATTTCCTAGGGTAATGAAGACTCTATGATATGTACTATTGGCACACCCAATCCATTAAGCCAATAAGATCCTATTGTGTTCTGGGTTAGATTGCCTGACTTCTGGTGGAAGATACTAGTGACAGAATATCGGCTGGTTTCCTGTCCTCCCATTTCATGGCTAAGAGACTCACAGAAAGGAACCAAGTGTTATAAACCTTCATCGATCCAACATGCCCACAAACTTTGGGATTAAATCACTTCTGCAGACTGCAAGTAAACTGAACTGTAGCCAATTGTGGGGGCAACAATGAATCTAGCAGATTCCATGTTTTTAGAGTCTAACATACTTGTGAGCAACTTGGCTGACCATCCAGTGAGCACCCTGAGCAGCACAATCCGCACTCAGTACACTTACTCGAACAACATCCAGTTCCTTGTTCCTCTGCATGAGTTGTTTTTCCAGTTCCACAATCTTTGCCATAGCTTCATTTTCTGTATCTTGCAGTTTTTCTGATAACTAGACACAAAAGGGGTGGGGGAGGGGAGTGTTAATTGGCAAAAAGGCTTATTCATTCACAGTGGCGACTGCATGCCAGAGCCATGCATTATGTATATAATAAACATTGTATCATTTAGTTATTCATGCTGTAAAATGTCTAAGAACAGGCCTCTTGCCAGAGCTATAGAAACCATACATAATCTTTACAATCATAGGGTCTATTTGTGATGGATCAATAGGTTTGATGTTGAATTTACATGGTCAAAAGCTGTGGGAGTCGCCCATGTAACTGTGTGTGTGTGTGTGTGTGTGTGAGAGAGAGAGAGAGAGAGAGAGAGAGAGAGAGAGAGAGAGAGATGTCAAAGTTCCATTTGGGTAGTAATGGTTTACTCAAAGAACCAGCTTCCATTTATTTTCTCTTGGCTGTGAACATCATAGTTACATTTTATGAAGCTAATCAAATCTTGAGATATATAGTGATGGGAGGCTAAATGCAAACACTAGAATTGACTGATATAGCACTAATGAACGCTCATACCTCCTTCTGTGGGCACCCTTTGCAGCGCGCAACACCCCCAGGCCACGTGGGACTCACCAGCTGGTTGGGCTGGTTGCAGTTCCCGCCAAACCCTGGTTTAAACTGTCCAATCAGTGGCTTGTGAGGGTGGGGCCAGCCAAGCGGACCATGTATGGGCAGGCTTCCCTCTGGTTCGCTTGAGTTGTATTACATGGTGGGAAAAATTAACAGGGTCATCTGCTTGGCAATCTTGTGTATCGGAGGCCGAGTTGTGAAGCATTTGGACATTAAAACCAACAGATTGGAATTTTTCAGACCCAACAGAGTGCACCTCACCACCTCAGGAAATGAACACTGGCTGGATGACATCAGGCATGGCCTAAAGGAATGGTTGTCGAATTGCTAATGTGTTTTCAGGTGTAGGTAGTCTTGGCGACGAGACCGCAAGTTTGCGGTCTCGGGTGGCGGTTTTAGGCCTTGGGCCGAATCCTTTAGTCTATCTTCCCTAAATGGGGGAGGGAGGGTGTGAAGTGGTGACACACACACCCACGGCAGCGATTCCAGGGTTCCCCATTAAAGGGGTTTTGTGAAAGTTGAGTCACTGGCCATACACTGAAAGGTTGTTGGTGAACTCCCCTGCGTTGAACTGAAATGGGGAGGGGAGCTGCCTGCGTACACAAGCGTCTTGCAGTGCACCCTCCCCGCATCCATTTAACCCCGAGGAGCCCCAGTTCCCCAGCTGCGGGGCTGGGAGGGATACACGCCCAATGCCTAAGCCAAGGTCTTCCTACATCTGAAAGGTTTAATAAAGTTGTGGCCAATTTTAATTCCATAACACATTGCCACGAGTCATTATTTCTTCTGGTGGTCTCTCGGGGGTCGGAGAGTCTCTGTCTGGGCATGCAAAGAGTGGGTTTTCCAGGGGAAAGCAGCATGGCAAAGACAAAACTGCTTGGATCCACACCTAAAAGCATGGGACAAGCAGAAAACCGCTCGGAGACATACTTTTTTGGCATGGGACAACACAAGTGATGCCATGTTCAAGTACTTCAGATAGGATCACCCATAACACAGCCTTTTTTTGCCTTTATAACTGATAACTAGTAATTTTTAAGTAGGGACATCTACTCCTCCACCACCCCATTCCAGCATGATCCCTGCGGCTAATACATTTTTAAATCTGTAAGCTATGCTTTGCGAACACTTACAGTACTGTATATCTTGGAAGCTACAGAGATTTATGCATGCACTTTTATGGTATGAAACACAGATCTGCTTATTTGTGTGTTTTTTTTCCCTATGTGTCCATGGAATTTGCAATTTATATGTAAATTAGCAGACACACACCCAACCTATAACAAGAGTTCTCGGTCAAGCTGCTCTCCCAAGTGATTCCATCTGGAATTGTAATTCAGCTGAAATTAAATACTCCAGAGCTGTTTTGAGTCAATAACATGATCAGAGAACAACAAGGACCACACGCATGCAATATTAATATAGGGAGTTTTCATTCATATGGATATAACACACACACACAAATGCAGTTTAATAATATTGAAGTTGGACCTAATAGGAAAAACATTTTTTAACAAAATTGCTTGTGTAAGTTTTAGAACTCTAGTTGGGAGTATGTAACCACTTCTACTTAGGCTGTAACCCAGGCTTACTCAACTTCGGCCCTCCAGATGTTTTTGGCCTACAACTCCCATGATCCCTAGCTAGCAGGACCAGTGGTCAGGGATGATGGGAATTTCAGTCTCAAAACATCTGGAGGGCCAAGGTTGAGGAAGCCTGCTGTAACCTTATGAGATTTGGTTCCAGATTTGCTCCTACCAGCTCCAGACCTCCACTCTAGCCTCTGAAAATCTCTTCTAGAAGGCTGAAGTGTCTTCCACGACTGGGGCGGGGGGGGGGGGAGGCAGAAGCGTCAGGGAAGGATTGGTGCAAAATGGCTTCCTTTCCCCCTTCTGCCATTGGGATCAAGTGTCTTTCACAAATGGAAGGAACACTTTCAATTGTGGATGACTATGTCTGGATGCAGCCCCTGGTTTTTTTAAAAAGGAGTGTTTTCTAATTGTTTTAATTATAAATATTTATTAACCCAGAGAGGGAGATGACAAACACTTAAGAGAGTAATCAGATAATGTTTGGTTCACAAAAAATCTTAGTAAACCTCTGCAGCAAACATCACTACCTGTTTAAAAAGGTAAAGGGACCCCTGACCATTAGGTCCAGTCGTGACCGACTCTGGGGTTGCGGTGCTCATCTCGCTTTATTGGCCGAGGGAGCTGGCGTACAGCTTCCGGGTCATGTGGCCAGCATGACTAAGCCGCTTCTGGCGAACCAGAGCAGCGCACGGAAACACAGTTTACCTTCCCGCCGGAGCAGAACCTATTTATCTACTTGCACTTTGACGTGCTTTCGAACGGCTAGGTTGGCAGGAGCAGGGACCGAGCAACAGGAGCTCACCCCGTCGCAGGGATTCGAACTGCCAACCTTCTGATCAACAAATCCTAGGCTCTGTGGTTTAACCCACAGCGCCACCCGCGTCCCCTGTTTACTGCCTGTTTACTAGGCAGTAAAAAGAGCAGGCCTGCTAGATCAGGCAAAGGGTCCATTATCTCCGTATCCTGCCCCTAACAGTAATCACTCGGGCACTTCTGGGAAATCCACAAACTGAACATCATTTATACAGCAGGTAAATATTTTTTTCCACATTTGTGACAGTTTGGAACAGGGACAAAAAATGAAGTTCAAGACTAAAACCGCAAGGACATTTTTTCAGTCCAGCTCTAAATGAACTTCCAGACAGAAGTTGCTCAAACCTCTTGTGCTTTAACAGGAATTTGCCTCCTTTAGTTCCTAGTAATATTAAAGTGTCTGTTTAATGATGTCTTGCAGGCACGCTGTCCGTGACATTGCCAAGATAAAAGCAGGCATAGCACTGCAGACTGAACCAAAAATATTAAATCACACGGAAACCAATTATCCAGGTAAATTAGCCTTTCCTTATATTTTAAGAGTGTGTGTGTTTTCTTCTCAAGGTAGCAATAAAAATAGTAGAAGACCAAAAGCTTTACTGGTAGTAATGGATATAAACGAAATAAAGTGCATTTGTAATCACATTTTGATGCCCAGATAAATAATCGAATGACCAAATAAAAACCAGCCTCCAGAAAGACCCCCCAACGTCTACATTTTAAAGCGCCAATACTAACGTGAGATATATTTTCTTCCAGTTCTTCTACTCTTTCCAAGGCAGCGTTCTTGGTTTCCGCATCTTCAAGTAAAGCTCCGACATCAAACACGTTGTCCAGATAAGCTTGAATCTGCACCTGCAGCTTATCGCTTTCTGTGTGCTTCAGTTTCTGGAAGATCAAAACAGGGCAGGGGGCACAGTATCGTTTAGCACCGCTAAATAAGTCAGGTTTTCCACCACCGTCACATGTTGCTAAAATGGTTGATTTCATTGTTACTAATAAAAGCAATATATATGCAGGCCTCTGGGTTCAGGTAAGTTGAAAATAAACTATGGTTTAACGTGAAAGAGCAGCAAATGTAAGACAGAGTTGTTCCGCCTGGCCTTTGGCTTGGAATCAAATTGATCCCCTCCCCCTCTTCCTTTTTCTTTTCTCCTTCTGTGATGGAACTCCTATTTGTTTGGGTGGGGAGATTTTTAATATTTAATGCTGTATTGTTTTTAACACTCGATTGGGAGCCGCCCAGAGTGGCTGGGGAAACTCAGCCAGATGGGTGGGGTATAAATAATAAATTATTATTATTATTATTATTATTATTATTATTATTATTATTATTATTATTATTATTAGACTTCCCTGACTTTTTCTGGCCCACGTAGGACCAGTCTGGATAGTTGGCCTTGGTGAAGACTTGATGTTTTCATCCCCCAAAAAGTTTTTGATTTGAGTTCCTACTGAAATGAGGCTGCATTATAATGTTGTGTATAATCTTGTTTTTAAGTTGTATTTCAATCAATTGTTTTTATACAGGTGTTAGCCGCCCTGAGCCTGGCCTTAGCTGGGGAGGGTGGGGTATAATTTTTTTTAATAATAATAATTTAATTAAAAATGGGTGCACAGTGCTCCAAAGTCCATGCTTCACACCTCCACCATTCCTGCTGTTGTCGTGCCAGGGTAAGCAACAAACCATGAACAGAAGCTTGTCATGGTGTGCTCTTTCTCCCTCCTCCAATGCCCATTGATTCTGCTGGATAACAAGGTTAATCATGCACATCTTGTTCAGTTGTGGACTTTAAATGCATAATATTGGCAATGTGATCTACTCCAAATCGCCATTAACCTTCCCCCCCCCCTCAAAAAAGCAATTTGTTTGAGTTACTTTTAAAAATACCCATCACATTATTCACCGTGACTTAAAAGGGGGCTCTGCGTAAGGAATTTTAAGAGCACTGCTGTTATGGCATTTCCATACCAGCAAAAGTGTTTTTCTTGTTGAACTGAACTTACCAGCGGGGAGGGGTTGTTAGCCTAAGGTTGAATGAAAATAACTTAAAAGGGTTAGCTTGGGATGGGGAGTAAGTGAGTGTTTAAATGCGAAAAATAGTCCCCATGCTGCACTGTACCACCAGGAGAAGCATATTATATGGAACATAAAGTATTGTTGTCAGAATACATGAAAGAAGCTCTTGACTATGTTATACGATGGAACAAAGCCAAAAAGCAGCAAGAACAGCTGAATTCTAAGCAACAACAAAAAAAATCTGTCTCCATGTTAAAAGTTCCTAATAATAGAGCACCATGGGAAGAGAGGAATGAAAAACACTTCAAGATGGAGAAATAGGACACAAGAACTTAACTGTAATTGGTACCCACAAATTCATAGCAGGTACGAGAGGAAAAAAGTAATAAAAAGATATTCCTTTTGCTGTATAAGCCCAACCAAAGCCCATTGCTTCATGTTAAGAGGCCAGTATTATTTTATAATTTATATCACAGCATCGGTGCAAACGTTCAGACAATGTGATTACAATACATCAAGCCTAGACTTCATTCTATAGGAAGCAATTTAACCAACACAGCATTACATATCAGCTGCCGCTCTCATATTGGCTTTTCAAACCCAATTATGGACATCCCCATTTCTGAGATGAAAAGGAACTGGCTAGTTATTTTGGGACTCTAAGCTCCAGCTCTAAGCCACATGACGACACTCCCCACACCCGGGTGAGAAATACATGCTGCACATGGTGAACATCACTGGAAGAACAAACCACGTTTTTGTAGATCACAGTTCAACCTGCCTTTGGGAGGTTGGCTGCAATGAGTAGATTAAGAAAACCCAGGGCTTTTTTTCCCCAGCCAGAACTCACTGGAATTGAGTTCCGGCGCCTCTCAGATGGGCGCCATTGCCATTATGAGAGAACAAGGGAGGTGTTCATAGAGAGTTCTGGCACCTCTTTTTCTAGAAAAATGGCACTGAGAAAACCAATTGTCCTTCTAAACAATTCAGGTGTCCCATTATAAAGTCTATGGATTCTAGGGGGTGGGTCCTAACTCTGTTATGAAGGGCATGCTTTGTATGCACAAGGTCCCAGGTTCAATCCCTGGTGTCTGAAACCCCGAAGTGCCAGTGCTAATCTGTGCAGACAATACTGAGCTAGATGAAATACTGGGTCTTGATACGCTTCTCTATGGAAGGCAGAGAAAGACACCCACACCTCCATCTGAAATTCCAGGCCAGCAGAGTGACTGGTGAGTCATTGCTAGTTAGTGCAAACAATATAGACCTAGATGGACCAAATAACTGACTTGGTCATATAAGGCAGCTTCCTATGTTGAGTGCTAAAAATGTGTGCAAAACTCAAGGAAGACAAGGGGTGTGGGTGCAGAGAGAGGAATGGGTAATGACATAACAAAGCAGAAACTAGCAATATTATAGTGACACTGGAGTGGGGGATTTCAAGTGTGCAACTGAAGTTTCTTCTTCCTCTTGACAGCAGTTTCTCACTTATGCCCATGTCATCCTTTGCTTCTTCTATCTCCACAATTGTGGTTAACTCACGGCTGCCAAGAAGGCAACCACTGTAGGATTCCCGCAACTGAACCACAGGGATGCAGAAGGAATAGAATCCTCAAAAGTCAGCACAGTTTTGGTCTGAGCCGTGTATGTCCCTCTGCTTCTCAAAAGAATGAGAAGAAAGTGGGGAGCAGAAGAAGTCGAGGGAGCAGAGAGAGCGTTGAGCTGCCGGGACTCCTGAAATGGATCCAGTTGTCTCAGCAGTTAGGTTAGCGCAGTGGAGGTGCATTGTAGCAGAAGCATTCCGTTGGCGCAAAGGTCACCGCACCAGAAGTGTGCACAGTATCTGGCTTCATTCACATTTTCTTGGCATTGGAAGTGGGTGGTCGCTGTGCATAAAATGCAGCGTTAAGAGGTGATTCTACTAACCCCTTCTGACTTCTTCCAGGTTTGTGGCTGGCTTTTACTTGGGGCCGGTTGCAGCCTCAAAAGTTCAGCAAGCAAAGAAAACAGCAGCACAAGGCACCGGTCGACAGAAACTTGTGAGAGAATTTGGTCCTATTTCTGAAGATGGCACAGCTCGGGGCAGTCATGGAACAGCTTGATATAAGGAGCCCGTGACACTGACGTTTGCAGCTGGAGCATGCATTTAGCTCATTGAGCACTAAAGGCAGAATGGACATTTCTAAGGAAAGACTGGCATGGGAAACATTGTCAAACGGGGTGGGCTACCCTTTGGGGACTGAGAGCTGCACTCCCTTTGTGGGGAAAGTATAAGATACTGGAAAAGTATAAGACATGGGAAAATATAAGATATACCGTATTTTTCGCTCTATAGGACGCACCAGACCACAAGACGCACCTAGTTTTTTGAGGAGGAAAACAAGAAAACAAATATTCTGAATCTCAGAAGCCAGAACAGCAAGAGGGATTGCTGCACAGTAAAAACAGCAATCACTCTTGCTGTTCTGGCTTCTGGGATAGTTGCGCAGCTTGCATTCGCTCCATAAGACACACACATATTTCCACTTACTTTTTAGAGGGGAAAAAGTGAGTCTTATAGAGCAAAAAATACGGTAATTCAGAACATCCAGGGGTGACCCCTAAGGGAGGAGAGTAGGTGGGTAAAACTGATAAACATTCATTTTTCCCCTTGCATAAAGACCTCAAGCAGTGGATCAGGGTGTATTGATGGTGGGTGATTATTCATTGGATTGTCTTTGTGAGAAACTTTTTAGTTTAGAATGGCTAATGTCTGGCAATTGTTGTTGTTGTTTTAAAAAAGTAAAGTAAAAGCAAAGAACTCCCTATGGCTCTTTTTAACACAGAAAGTAACAATGAATTCTCAGCATAATCATAGCGAAGTACAAAACAAGCCAAAGCAGGCAGTACTCACATCTAGGTATTCATCCAGGCCTAGCTTAGTAAATTCATACTGAAGGTGAACTCTGAAATTCATGTCCTCTACTGAGTGAACCACTATGTTGATGAACTGCATACACGCCACCTGTAAAACAAGAACCATCAAAAAATGGAAACTGGTAGTGCTAACCCTTCATTTTGCACAGGGACAAATCATGTGCAGCAATGTTTGCTGCCTTGTGTGCAACCCAGGTGTCTTAAGACTATCTCAAGATTATGCCTGACAATTTGTGGGAGGTGGGGAACGAATTATACTTGACAAAATAGAAATAAAGTTTTCTGAGTAAGAAGCATGCGTCTTGAAGAAGAGGAGATGTCCTACAACATGTCTACTCAGAAGTAAATCCCACTGACTGAATTCATTGGGCTCACTCCCAACAGGAAAAAGAGTATACTGCAAACTTAAGCTCTTCTTTAATGGCGATTCCTCTCACCAATTATTGCGTATGTCGTGCCTAGAATGGTGTGCATTTCAGAATGGGAACTGTAATCAGACAAATATGGTACTGTATGCGGAACGCAGCACTTTGAACATTTCAAGAGGTCTGGCCTAAACACATTCAGTGAACTGGGACAGGGATAGGGAAAGTAGCGTTAACACAAACAAAAAGCAGAAGACTGAAAAGAAGTCACCCATTAGAAGTCCTTTTCGCTGCTTCCTGGATAGATAGATGATAGATAGATAGATAGATAGATAGATAGATAGATAGATAGATGATAGATAGATGATAGATAGATAGATAGATAGATAGATAGATAGATAGATAGATAGATAGATAGATAGATAGATATAGATAGATGATAGATAGATAGATAGATAGATAGATAGATAGATAGATAGATAGATAGATAGATAGATGATATAGATGATAGATGAAAGATAGATAGATAGGTGATAGATAGATAGAGCTATAGCAGTGGAAATATAAACACTATCTGATCCAAATGTGGTGGAATGGTTTCAGACACTAATTCACAAAGGTATGACCAAGTTTTAAAGTTTCCATCATTAATATCTCTACTTCTCTCCCTTCATTCCAGCTACAAATCCAAAATCTGATTGATACAAACCAGTGTTGCAAGAACAATTTATTTGGACTGAATAAATGGATGCTCTGACACTCATTTCCACATGAATGAGGCACATATTTAAGGATCATGAGCTATAGTTTACTGAAGCAAAATATCTGGATCATTTTAAAATGGCACTTCACATACTAACAGTGTCTAGGAATGCCTTTTCAATTTTTTTTCCATTCCAAAAAGCTGCTTTTTTGGGGGGGAGGGGGGGTTCCCATTCTTCTGCCCAAGTGTCATGTCAAGTTAAAGGTCAGCAGCTTACAGTGATCATTCTGTTTATGTCGGGTCTCAGTTGCTCAAGTCTCAAGAAGTGCCGTGGAGCCTTGCTTGACCCTTTTTTACACTGTTACGACAAATATAGCTTCTGTTCTGCTAATAAGCAACCAGCAAATACAAGGAACAGAAATGGTTCCCCCAAGGCAGACGGGCTCAGAAACCAGTCATGGAAGGTCACCAGAGACTGGTTCTTTTCCTCCTCAACCTAGTTCCTCTCCCAAACCTCTTGAAACACATGTCCCACAGGTGGTTTCCAGCGACATGCAGATCTTGTTAAACACCAGATGGCAACAGACATAGCTGATCTGTTTGCCCATGTGCCATTAATTCTCAGGTGGCTCCTTCTGCATAATTATTTCATTTTATGTCATTGGGGGAAGGTGGGGGCTTAATGTAAATGACCCAAAACTTTATTCACAATGAACAAAAATTTTGACTCCCAGATGTAACGCAAAAGCAGATCTCAAAAGTGCACTCTAAGGAGAAATGCTTCTTAAAATGCTTCTTGCTATTTTGCAAAAGGCAGATGGTTTATACTGCCCTAAGACAGGGAAGGGTTTAGTAACCAGTTCTGCTTGAAGCACCTACAGTCAAGGTTCAGCTGGGACTAATTTAACTGCTCAGATCTCATTGTCCCCAGCCTTTCACCAATTCCTGAAAAGGGGAGGATGGTGAAGAGCAAGCTTCCTCAACCTTGGCCCTCCAGATGCTTTTGGCCTACAACTCCCATGATCCCTAGCTAGCAGGACCAGTGGTCAGGGATGATGGGAATTGTAGTCTCAAAACATCTGGAGGGCTGAGGTTGAGGAAGCCTGGTGAAAAGCTTCCCAGAGCAACTGCACTGCATCTCTCTCAAAACCCGTGATCCCTGCCTGCCTATGTATTGCTTTCTATTGTGCTGAATCTTTTACCTTCAGTGCCTATCAGAATGGGATGTTCTTTGATTTGTTTCTCTGGAGTCTCTGCCACACAGTGGTACCAGATGCCCACTGGGATTGGTAGGGTGGGAGACAGGCTGACCAACACCAGGTGGAGGCAGAGACAAAGGCAGATGAAGCCAACTAACTCTAGGTTTGTTCCCATCCTCCTCTGAGTTTCATAAAGGAGTTCAGACAAAGGAGGAAAAAGCTGGCAGCCAGTGTCTCGGACTGGTTGCAAGTAAGGAAGAGGAGGCAGGAGGGGGTTGGCAGAGTGTGATCGGAGGCTGTTGGGGCAGGGTCCCATTCACTCTAATGGATGAGCCTCCAGTGTTGTACCCAGGCCCTACCATTGCTTATCCCCTTCCTTTCAAGCCCAATCCTGGAGGAAATGCAATCGTTCAAAATCCCTGGCATTCACAGAGATATCTGCAGGGAGCTTCTGCCAGCCAGTGCAGTCAAACCAGAGCTAGATGGATCAGCTGACTTACTGCAAGTCCACTTCCGATCTTCCCCTCCATCCTCTTCACTGAAACTAAGCACTTGTGCTCACTGTCTGAACTTGTGGGCTTTATTCATGACAAAAAGAGCCCTGTGGCTGGTGAGTCAACTAGACGTCGCCACTTTCTCCTCCTTGCAGATGATCAGTCTGTTAGCTGCCCAAAAAAGTTAAAAATATTCTACAGTGGGGGTTTTTTTAATCTCTTACTTCCCTTTTGCAAGCAGCTGTCATGGTTTATAAAGGCACGCTATATCATATGACCATGCATGAAAAGGGTACTTGAGTTAGTACAACAGTCTAGTAAACTATCATGAGTTGGGGGGGGGGGTTGGACGAGTTCAACCCGGGGGAAAGGTCCTAATGAGTTGGGGGTGATGATCAGGAATCCCAAGAGGAGTCTTAGATCCAGGGGAAGGCTGAGTGTGTGGTCAAGAGAATAGCACACCTAAGTGTCATGGGATATCCCAAGCTCAATGTCACTGCCAGCTGAGGTGGCTCAGATGTTTTTCCCCTGCAGGTGAGAAGCCACCTCTTTTGGGGGAAGCACTTAGGGATAAATCTGACAGCAAGCCAGCCCTGCCATCTCCACCTACTTGGGACCACCAGGTCTCCCCATTGGCCTTAGAGTTTGTTTGGCCAAGCCATGCCCTCCTGCCCCTACAACTGATGATGTCAGATGCACGGAGGAAAAGACAAAGCTGAACCAAAGGGGATTTGCACAGCACTTTGGAAGCCCCGACAATCAGATGGTTGTCAGTGCCTGTGCACTACACACAACACTTGGCAAGTGACAATCAGCTGACCATCCACACAGGCACCTGGTGTCATTGTGACTGACAGGTGGAAAGCCCCGCCCACCTGTCAAACATGGCTCACAGGGGAATAGAATCTCCAGGTTCAGGTGCAATAAACCTCTGAATGCCAGCTGGAAGAGGACATGAAGTCAGGAAGGACTGCTGGTATTCTGTGTTAGTGGACTTTTCAGAAGCATCTGGGTGGCCAATGTGGAAAGTAGGATGATGGACTGGGTGATGCAACTAATCTTGTATTCTTAATTTATATGAGGGCTGGTTCACATACTACTGTCCCAATGAGGGAGTCTCTCTTCTTACTTTGGAAGACTGATGAAAGGACCCTTGCTCACTGATGGTCAGCACAGGAGATTAGAGAGGATTTTAGGACAAACGTGCCTTGCTCCCTTGCACACACATGCTCCTTCCCAGTGAGAAAGAGGAGTGGCTTCTGCTACCAAACACCAGCCTTTCCTTATTAGTAACATCTAGAATTTTTAAAGTATTGCATTGCCTAAATGATCCAAAGTTGGTCTTCTCACACCAGAGAACACCTTTTCAAAGTGCTAAACCCTGGTGCCTTCATAGAAATTTCAGCAGTGGTAACAGGGCACAGATGGGTTCAGTGGCCAAACTTATCTTGTGGCCTTTTAATTTCATGCTGGAACATATAGTTCACTTGCGCTGTCTGTTCTCAGTGTCTATTTTCTCTCTCAGTAAAAGGGGATGTGGGGATCAGTGACTAAACTAGGAACAAGGAAACTGGTAAAATGGAAGTGGAACATTTTTCTGTAGAACAGGAAGAGGAATAGCATGCCACTTCCCCATCTATGCTTTGGTTCATGAGGCATAAGCATGCTGTAGACTGCAAATATTTACTTCATTTCCCCTCTCAGTTAACACTGTTCCTTACTTTAAAATAAGCCTTCCCAGACCATGGCAGTATCACTTTGACATTTTAAGTCAGGGTAATCAACATGGTGCTTTCCACAACTTGTGGACTACAAGTCCCATCAGTCACAGTAAGCACAGCCAATGGGAAGCGATGACAGGCACTGTAGTTCATCAACATCTGGATGAACATACAATGGACGCTTGGGTTGCGAACATGATCCATGCGGGAGGCACGTTCGCAACCTGCAGCATTCGCAACCCACAGCACTGCGTCTGCACTTGTGCGGGTTGCGATTCGGTGCTTCTGCACATGCGCAAAGCGCAATTTAGCACTTCCGCTGAAACCCAGAAGTAACTGGTTCCAGTACTTCCGGGTTTCGGCGGGTCCGTAACCCGAAAAAATGCAACCTGAAGCATCTGTAACCCAAGGTATGACTGTATTGGCTACCCCTGGCTTACGCACTTTTTCTGAATCATAAATTTTTCAAAACTGCAGCCTAGGACCGATAACTGGAGCCAATCAAGCTTTCCCATTAGGAAACACAGCAAAGAAACACAGAGATCACCAAGGAAATATATCCTATGATTAAGCAGAAGAGTGTGTTGCATGCAGCACTGTTTGGGGAGCAATGAAACAGCTCCTATTGCTCATGCCTACTGCATTTCCCACACGGTCTTTGCCTTGGAGCCCCGTTGTTCATGGCCCTAGAAATGAGGGTTAGCATTGCAAGTGGGCTCCTTAGCTTGGGTCCTCTGAATGGTGCTTTACAGAACAGGCCTTCCCTTCTGTTCTCCCCACTGCAGCCCTCCCAAAAGGTGATCACGAGGTGCAGGAGACTCTCATGGATGGAGTGGAATGTGCTGCTGCAAAGGACTGCTCATGCTGAATACTTATGCATCCAAACCATATTCATTTTGTCTTTGTTAATCTGGGTGAAGCTGAAAACTTCTTTTTCCTCTTTAGGTAGGCCCACAGCAGAAAGTTTTGAAACCCCCAATTTATACGCAAAATGTACACTTAAAAGTAAACAATAACAATGATCCAAAGTGACGTAAGGTGACACATACAACACTCACCATGAAATCTATATTGTTATCTTCATTTCGAAAATGTTCCATCAGCTTCTCAAACCTCTGCTTTTCTCCACAAACCTGGAAAGGAATTGCAGAGAGGTTTTGTTATACATCTGTACACTAGAGGGAGTACTAAAAACACCACTGAATACCTCTTGGCTTGTAACGTGCAAAAAAAAATGGGAGTTCTGAACTAGTCAAGTAGATATTCTGATACCACATATCCAGAATACTGCAGTCAGAAGCAGTGTCTGGGCAGAAATCGCTAAAATGTCCATTAAAATCCAGACATATGGCAACCCAGTGTCGCCTTTGGCGATTTCCCTTTAAAATAGCTCAAAAACTTTTGTTTTCTTTTGCGATGTTGCCAAAAACAGCTCAACAACTTGGCCCAAAAAATGTTCAACAACTTTTCTGTCCAGATTTTCACTGTTGTGAAATATGGCAACCTTAACCACTATAAGCTTCTAAAATACAAAAGAACATGGAAAATCACTATTTAATTTAACCGGGGTGGGGTCATGCTTAGTAACCAAATTTGGCGCCTCTTTTATTTGCTCTTGCATCTACAAAGGCAAGTTAATCCTCATAATAGCAACTTTTTCATTGCTTTGCTCCTTTGGGTTTTAACAACACCTTAACACAGAGAAATTAAACCACTGAAACTATGACAGGGAAACTGTTCACCAGTATAATTATAACAGGTTAGGTTGCTGTGAAAGGTATAGAAGCAGGAGCTGTAAAAAAAGGTTGGTAAACCTAGTGAAAAGCTTTGCCATTAGCATAAGCTCATTATGATCATTGATCTTGCTACAGCATGTATGATTTGTGTGATACAAAATGAACAGCACGTAGGCCTAGACTTACTTAGGATCCTTCAATGATGTCCTATTCAAATAATAACTGACCATGTCAGAGTCAATCATATTGTTAATACTACATCAGGTGTAGAGACCACTGGACCCTCCAAATACTGCTGAACTACAGCTCCCATTAACCCTGGCAATTGGTCAGGCTTGCTAGCGCTGTTGGAAGTTAGAGCTGACCAGCAACTGCAGGGCAAAACTTCCCCATTCCTGCACTACAGAGGAACCAGAGCTTAGAGCACAGTCTTGGTGAAGGCCCTAAGAACTGAGGCAGGAGGGGTCTTCTGCGTTAGACCAGGGTTTTTGTTTTGTTTTTTAGCCGGAGCTCACAGCAGCTCCGATCAGGTGAACAACTGTGGCTCACCCCAGTCACTGCTAGGGATTTCTGATGGTGGCACAGAAATTCTCTACACAATCAGGGCAATCCATCTGGCAAGCTGCACCAAACATTGCAGAACATTTGCCAATTGGCAACTGGAACAGGCGGATCAAGCCCTGGGACTCTGCTGAACTTTTGAGTTAAGTGAAAATGTGAGAATAAGACACAGAATTCAATTCAGAGTGAACTCCTTAAGGCAGGGGAATCAGGAGGCAACCATGAATATGATCTAACTTTTAATATGCTTATGCGTTTAAACCTTCAAGTCACACTCTCTTAATTGTTCTGCTTTCTTTCTTTTTCTCCCACTACCCAGAGGTCACAATGACTTCTTTTTCTTCTTAGTACAATGGTCTAGTGTAATCAACCCATTTCACTCCAGGGTAGTACTATTTTGGGAGGGTGTTTCTTCCAGACTGGCATTGCGAGCTTACAGATTGTTGGGGGAACAAAAGACCAGTTTTCTTGCAAGTTTCTGTTTAAGTAAATGGTTGTTTAATGTTTACTAGGCTGAAAATACTTTGGAATAAAAATAATACACACACCAAGAGGGCTAACATCATTTGCAGATTACATCTCCAGGCAAAGACGATTGGCTCATGTTTTCCAACACGTCCTGCTGTTACTTATAAAATTAAATAGCTGAATTGACCAGTAAGAATGAAGCTGGCTTCTTATTTGCAATAAAATTCTCCTCCTGAGTTACGATACATAAATTTGAACCTCTATTAATCTCTGTAAGAGTCTGGGGTTCAACAATGGACCCTGCAGGAGGGAAAGTAATGAAAAATAAACAGCCACGGTTCACTTGCCAAGCACTGATCCTCAAGCTCACTAAAAAGTAATAATAACAACAATAACAATAAATCCTTCACAGCTTTCTATAACAGGCCCAAAATTCTGATGCCATAACACTGCATTTACTTGTTGGTAAGCCCCATTGATTTCAATGGATTTTTTTCTCCAAGTGAGCATATTTAGAATTGTAGCCTCTGCCAGACTAACCAAGGAACATGATGAGGTGCATTTTCACCAGTTCTTTCAATCACAGATTTTAAAAAAGAATGTTTAACACCATCACTGTTTTTTCTGAAAAGAATTCAGCCCTATGAAGCCCCAATCCAGGGCCACATTCTTGATTTGTGTTGGCATTGATCTGGTTTGTTGACCATAAATACTCCCTTCCATCTGCACTTGGGGGGGAAATAAGAGCGCAGACATTGATTTCTGTATGGTTGCTTTTCCTCCTGAATAAAAGTGGCAGAATTAAGCATGCCCCTTCTACAAGTAGAGCTCTCTTCAAGCTTTCAAGGCAACTTGTGAGACTGCATTAGGCTGGTCCACAACAGGGCCTTCTCGGTAGCAGTTCCCCATTTACAGAAATCCTTCCCTAGAGAGATGAGCCTGTCTGCCTTTAGTATTAACATTCAAGAGGAATTTAAATTCATCCCTGCTTATCCAGGCATTTGATATCTGGAAGATACTGTTCCTGGTAATCTGGAAATCATTTGATGTTTAGGAAATCTGGATGCTTTTAAATGTTTTCAAACATTAATTTTTTTTTTTAATTTAATTGTGTTATTTTGTGTTTTTGTTGTTTGCCACCCTGGGCTCCTTCGGGAGGAAGGGTGAGGTATAACATGATAAGCAAACAAGCCAACTTGGAAGTGGGGGGGGGGAGGGAGAGTTAAGTCTGAAATATGACTGTCAGACAATTTATTGCATGATGGATGGTAGCTACAATTCATTTCTTATAAATAAAACCAAATTTGATCCCATATCACACAAAGAGAGAAATACAGCCTCCCTTAAACTGAAGAGAATGCTAACAATCCCGACTCATCCATCCATTTATATTGTATAGCTGCTCTTCCGAAGAGTTGTTCTGTACAAAATAATAATGATAAAAATTAAATAAAAAAAAATGAAGATCAACCCATACTCTAGTTTTAATGTAACTGCAATATATCTGTAAACTTGGTATCCCAGGATGTTTTAGAGGCTGGATTAAACTAGATTAAACTACTGGAACCAGCTCAATATGTCTGCCTGACTTCCTGTCCCATTTAGCTGCTCGTAAATATCAGATAACAGACCTTCATATATCATTTTAATGCAGTGCAGAGGAACTTTCTTTTGACACACAGTGGCCAAACAATGTGCTGGGATTGTAATGAACGTCATTTATTAAGCCTGGAACTGGGGGAAAGAGCATGCTGGTATTCAAACTGGATGAAGCATAGCTCTTCTCAAGGACAACTAAGGCTGCAATCCTAATTCCACTCCCCTGGGAGTAAGACCCATTGAATACAGTGCGAATAATGTCTGCGTAGATATGGTGAGGATTACACTAAAATGAAAGAACAGTATAGGAAACAAGAGCAGACAAAACAGAAAGCACAAAAAATCCCTTTAGCGCCAAAGGCTCTTCTATATCCTTTGAAACAGGTGAATCATTATTTTTATATGAACCACGACAGCTCGGTTCTCAGATGCATTCCAAAAGGAATGTATTCCTTATGCACTGCTGCCTGAACTTAGCAACAACCAAGTGTGTGTGTGTGTGTGTGTGTGTGTGTGTGTGTGTGTGTGTGTATCTTAAAAATGAGCTGGTACATGGAAATATGTTGCAGATTCAAGCCTTTGTCACAATTCACTAATGAGATCACAGGAGGTCCTTCTGCCCCGAATGGAAACAACAAACGGCAGCAGAGAAGAACTCTAATCTCTCTCGTACATTCGCCTCTTATACCTCCTCCCCACAGCATTCAGGCACAGCCTCAAACACACACCTCCTTTCCACTCACCAATTCATATATTCCCTACCTAGCTCAGACCTCTCTGTCCCACAAAAGGGAATGAGCAGCTTCTGTCTTCATACTTAAAAGGCAATTTGACAGGAGCTTGTCACAGAGTACTCCCTCCTTAGACTGAAGACTCTAGTTTACCCTCCATTTTTGAAATGATCCTGGATTGAGTGGTGTGGGTGAAGTTTGGTCTGCATTTATTACTTTTATTTTTTTATTATTATTTTTTTAGCCGCTGTTTTAACAGTCTTAAACTTAACTTGGCTCTGGCTTTAATAGTTGGTTTTACTGTTCTGCCCATTCAAAATTATTGCCTATTACTATACCCTATAATAACTACACACTATAATTATTTAGTACATTTATTCTTGGTTTAACCTCTCATTTGCATGCAGTTCTGGGAACCCTTCGAGTTCGAAGAGAGGGATAAAAATGGAGGAAATAAATGTTAAATGTGTATTTCTTGGATGGATGTAAGAGAGCTGGGGAAGCATCCTGCTCTGTCAGCAGCTGCTCAAGTTCAGTCACAGTTCCACTGGACATCATGCTGTTTAATGTTTTCGTGTGTATTTTCCAGGTATTTCCATTTCTTACTCCAAAAGCACTGGTGGCAGGGGGAGGGATTTTACTCATACTACTACATCCCTCATGCTTCTCTGTGACTCCACAGCCATCTATGGACCAGTCAATATCCTACTACTATCTCCATAGAGGGCTTCCAAGTTCACAATTCTACAGGAAATTTAATAATAAAATGGTAAAGTATATGTTTCACAATGTTACCTGCTAATTAGGTTGATCTATTTAGACCTGGGATGGGGAACCTGGGGCCCTCCAGATGTTTCTGGACTACAGACCCCCAAATTAAAAGAAACGTAACTCAATGTGCTAAAAATGTGTGGATTTTATATACAAAACAGCCCAATGTGTTTTGGCCAATTATCATTTAACTGGCGACAGCTAATGTGAATGAGAGAGATTATTTACCAGAGAACTCTGTGGGCTGTTTTTGTCAATTTGACCTCTGAAGGTTTTTAAACAACAGTGGGGCAAAACATGTTGGCTTGTTTTGAAAATAAAATCCCTACCAGTGAAGGAAGTGGGGCAAAATAAGGGAGAGGGAGAGGGAGGTGGAAAGAAAGGAGGAGGGAGGGAGGGAGAAGTGCAGAGGAAAGATCAGTCAGATGGGTCAAGGATTTTATTTGCAAGGTTGGAGAAATAGATAAGGCTGCTTAGAGTCATGGAATTGCAGGGTCTGGCTCAGTTGGAGCATGGTGCTGATAATGGCCAAGGTTGCAAGTTAGATCACCGTATGGGACAGCTGCATAATCCTGCATTGCAGGGGGCTATGAGCCAATGTTTTGTATTATAGTCCCCAAATGCAAGACCTGTGCTCCTTCACACTCCCTCCCTTATAGTCGCTTCTAACCATTTGTCCTTGTTTTTATCTTTTTAAGTTATGTATGATATAATCACCTTCTAACTACCAGTTTTTACCCCTTACCTGTTTTAAGTCTTAAGTGTTCACTTTATCCATAAGTTTTATCTTATGCTGGTCTGTGACCGAAATAAAAGCTTGATGCTGATACTATGTATTATGAACCACGGCGATCTGACATTAATTAGGATCCTGCTTCTAGATTCAGTGTGAACTAGTGTCACAAACTAATTTGCACATGGAGGCTAATGTTCGCCACACTAGAAGCGGCGTGAGATAAGCATGCTGAAATGTGTCCCCATGATGCACATGTATGAACAGCTACATTAGTCTCAGGCTGGGCCTCATGAAATAAAGATGAGCTGCTGAGCTCCAGCAGACCTTATCCAAAGCAGCTGTGCAAGGCACATGGCACTCTCTGATGAAACAAGAGCAACCTACCTCTTTAAAATTATCAAAGGCAGACAAAATGATTTCGTGCCCTCCTCTTACAAGACAAACTGCTGCCAACAGTTCTAAGACCAGCGCCTTTGTTCTGTGCAAAGGAAGGAAGAGAGAAATCAATTAGAGCAATGTGATGACTCAGCTTTCGCAAGATGGATGTGACGGCATCTGAGAATAATATTTCTTCAATATTCAGCTGCTGCTTCAAAAGAATGACCCTGCTATTAGCTTCAAGCAAGATGTTGCAAATGCTCAGTACCTCTGCGGGTCATAGAGTTGTTTGTGTCAAGTTAAGCGATGGCAACTTTAGATTAAAGCAAACCAGCTGAAGGAGGAATTAATCAGGGGCTGTAGCATATGCAAATGAGGGGTTTCTCGCAGAGCAACTTCAAGCAGGAAAAACTAATCATCGCCACACACAAAATTTCCAACACAAAAGAGGAGCCTTTTACCTGGGATTCTTGTTGTTCAGACTTAGTGCAATTTCGTTAACAGCATGGGGGTGCGACATGACCATATTGAACCCGTACTAAAACAGAAATTGGAAATAAGAGTTCAGTGTTTGGAATGCATTATTATCTTTATTAAAAATTCGCAAACCGGGGCAATTTCACTCATTTCTTGATAGTGAGCACAAGTTTGCTACTGAATGTAACTGAATTAAACTGGGAATTAGAGCCAATCCAGGCTTGTTTGTACATTAGGGTTGCCATATTTTGAGGAGCAAAAAAGAGGACACTATGACAACTCTCATTTTAAATACCCCTACTATAGGTAGGCTATAGAGACTGTGATATATTGCTGATGGGGGCAGAAGAAGAGAAGAGGAAAGCAAGTCTTTAACCACCAGTTAAGTCTATGTCTCATCCAGAAAGTATAGCCAGAGATATTTTGGCAATTTTAAAAAATCTACCCGGAAAGAAATTTTACCCTGAAAAAGAGGACTTGTCATGGAAAAAGAGGACACATGGCAACACTATACATCTAAATACGACTGACCACAAGATTCAGTCTGAATTCTGATTTGGTGTTTAGAAAGCAACCCACCTTAATCCAAAGCAGTTTGTAGGTTGTGCAATTCAGCTCAGGGTCAATCCAAGTCTGCTTTGTTTCCCCCTACCAATTGACTATTAATACCACCAAGAATGCATCCTGACTGTGTCAGGAATTACTGCCAACTTTTTTACTCAGTTTCAGTTGCAGAATGCTTGGTTGATCTTCCAAAAACGTACCATGTTTTATATTACTATGTCATACTCCTAGTAGGCCAAATTAAATCAATGGACATGAAAAACCTACATCTATTTATTTCAATCTACTATGAGTATGACTTAGAGACAAGCCTTTAATAATTATCAGTAGTGGGAGTCACAGGGATAACCACTATTTTTGTTTTCTCTCCAAAGCTTTCAGTTATAGGGCTTTACATAATATTTTGTGCCCACATGACTCAGCTTACTACATTTTTATAATCATGGACACTTGCTTCCTTTACTGAGGAAAGGAACACAAACCATCCCATTAAAATAAGTTACCAAAAGAACTGGTTACCTGGTAATTCATGATGGCACGTAAACACATGATGCAGACATGGACATCATCCTTTTTACTCACTAATCTTGAATTTTTAAGTGTTCTTCTGCTTGGTAAGGTGTTATACCTGCAAAGAGAAGATATCTGGCTATTAACAAAAACTGATTTTCCATCTGTTCTCTGCCATCACCTGTGAAGATACGCAAGCAGTCTCATTATTAATAATGACAACAATACAACAAAATAATAACAGCAGCAGCAGCAACCACCAAGTCTTGCATCAGCATTTCAGTTGCTGCAAAATGTTCGTATTAGTGTCATGAACAAATTAACAAAGTTAGCTTCATATCATACCATGGAATCATAGTTGGAAGGGTTAGAAGACATTTCAGTAGAACTGTTAACTGGTGCGTTATACAAGAGATTCAGTTGGGTTATTTTTATTCAGTTGTGTGACAAACTCAAAGGCCTTTATGCTATGAGAAAAGGATTGGAATACAGTAATTCCCGGTATTTCTGCATCCTCTCGAGCACCTGTCCTTCTGCCTTTTCTGAGGTTAATAGATGCACTAAGAAAGCCGACATCTTTGCAACAACAAGCGAAGATGTGCTAGTTTAGCAGCTGTTTACATTGTGATTACAACCTGGCACCTGTCAGGTCTTGGCACTCCGTCAATGCATGATGTCTGGAGTAATCACTTAATCACTGCTGTGGTACTTTAGGTCCTAGCAAAGCCATACATTCTTTCCGAATAAACTCTCTAGCTGTCAGTTTCTTGCCAAGTGTCACTCATCCAAAGAGCTACATGTTGCATGAAAGGCAGGAAACGTTAACACCGATGTTCTTTGGCTTCATCTTGTATCTGCCTACACAACTGAGTTCCACACAAGCATATTCAACACTTTAACGGGGATTTTCTCGAGCTGCACAGAGAGCAAACCTACATGTACGTTGAAAATCCACAGCAGATTCTCCCCGAGACTGTAGCTTCAACCTCCACCACACTAGAAATTCAACACTCGATTCAGTTTGACGGTGTTTCTGCAGACTTTGCTCACATATCGTCAGAGCAATGCTAACTCCTGATCTGTGACGGTGGAAAGAAGAGCACACCCTGCCCAACAGCAGTGTTGCTGCTGAAAGAAGTTGCCATAAGTCATGGGTAGGATAAAAAGCCATCCCATTTCCTAGTAAAGGGTTTAATCCGGGCCCCTCTGCTTCACTAGCCTGGAGCTGGCACCACAAGACAGTGGAGAACTACCACCACCTCCACCCACGTTCCACCCTGGCCAGCAGGGCTGTAGAGTTGGCAAGAAACCCCCTGCCACCACCCCTAGTTAGCACTGCACTCTCTCAAGTGTATATTCATGACTATAAGGGCTAAAGACTTTCTTTTTAAAATGGAGAAAGATAAACAAAAGCTGAGATTCTCAAGAACCTGGGTTTGGTGCCCACTAGCTTACTGTGGCTTTCCTGCACTCACTCAGCCCTGCATGTAAAATTCTATCAGCTCTCCATTCATCCTCCCACCCCATAAAGCTCTGTGCTAAACCAGAGCCTCCTTCTAAAGGTCCTATAGTAATAAGTTTACACAGAAATATATCGGCTGCCATGGTTGGTTGGATGGTTAAGCTTAGAAGTGCTATTACATACTTGGATTCTACAGAAACACACACACACACACACACACACACACACACATGTTGGACCCAGGCCCAGTTCTTCCATGGCCTCCATTTACTTATTTAATATTCATGGGAAACTGTTTTCATTAGTCAAGTTACAACAGCACTCTGCATTTAAAAAACAACAACTACCATCATCTAACAAACTCCAATGCAGCTCATTATCCCACAATGCATTAGGAAATATATACTTTTATTAACATGTTTTATCTACAGTATCATTTTAGCATGCGGGTATAAATGTTCATAGATTAGGTGCTTTTTAATAACCTGCTCCTTCTAATTGCCAAATAAAACAACCTAGCACTATTCAACCTAGCCAAATAAAAGCTAATTATTCTAAAATTGTTTTAGCTGTTGCTTTTAATGGCCATCTTACTAAATCACCCTAGCGTAATTTAACTAGGGCTGAAATACTACACAAGGAGCAAGTCTTGTTGAAGTATATGAAGCCAAAATATATAGGTCTGGATGCAATTATAATGATGTCTGCATTTAAACTGAAAACCTTACTTACCAGTATGAAAGAAACAGACATTCAATATTCCCGAGCTTCATGTTAATAGAGAAAATGTTTCCATTTGTTCTATACCAACTCTCTGCCAGGTCTCATTGGCAGTTACCATCATGTGATAATTAAATTCGATATGAGAACATCACAGCCTTTGTTCTCACTGGATATTCTCATAAGCAAGCATGTCAGTCCATCAAAGGCAGCTGGTGCCTCAGACCAACATATTTTGGGGGAAATTCATATCCTATACCATTTATTGAACACTGACTCTGAAACTTTGGAGGGAGGGATAATTCAGGACACCTACACCACTGTTCTGAGAGCTTTCACAGGGTGAGATTCACAATTTTCTCCAAACATGTATCTCTGACTCAAACGTCAATCAATAAATCAGGGTATTGTACATTAGATATTACTTAAATTTGCAATGAACAGAAATAACAAACAATTGATATCTCCCTCTGACACAAAATAAATAAATGTAGCTGAATACTCTCTGTTGAGCATAAATAGGCGAGTGAAAAAGACCTGTGTACAATCATGAAAAATATATATTTCTGATAGGTGGAAAGATGAAATAAAATATTATCTTGTGCCATGCAGCAGGCCTTGCAGAGATCTGTTCCTCACTGCTCATATATGCTTCATCGTGGCAGCACATGATATATGTTATTTCAGCTCTAATGTCAACTGTCTAAGCTAGTTTATGCTACAGCTTGGAAAAGCTATTTTAAAAAGTGCATTACTGCCATAATTTCCAATGTTCATATAACTACCCATTTTTATTAGCCACCCTCTTCTACTAAAATATTATCATAAATGGAACCAGGAACAGCTACTTAAAAAATGGAATGCTATTAAAGAACATATGAGTTGGGACTCTGCAGTATAACTCCCTTCAGGCCAGCTCTCAGACTGAGCATGTAAATACGGGGCAAAGCTCATTTTGCTTTCTGGACTCAAGTGCACCACTTCTAAGGTTATCTAAAAGATTGTGCTCTCCTATGCAAGCCTGTCTGGGTTGTAAGAACTCAGAGCCTCTTCTTTCTGTTCCATCAACACCTGAAGTGTTTGGGTAGGAATTTGATAGGTGGTCTTCTCACTGATTGCTCTCAAACTCTGGATCTCCTTGGCAAGGAAGGCCCTTCTAGTCCTGAGGTGACTTGAGGACAACATTCACCCTTGGGCCAATCCTCCAAGGCCAGATACCAGTGGTGGGTGCAACCACACCGCTCTCTTGCATAGAACACAAAGAGACAGCTGTCTGGTCAGCTGAGGAGGAGAGGCTATTGTCTTCTTCCCATTCATCATCTGAGGCACTCTGCCCCTAACCCCCCTACACTCCTATTAAGAAAAAAGTCACTGTGTGTAATCCAGGTTTCCAGAATGGAAAATTAACACCAATTTCTGTTGGTGAAATGAATATTCTGGGCTGAATACCAGGCAAGAGTCATTACAGCTGGCAAAGCTACAGCCAAGCTGAAGGGACAATTATTTAAGGGCCTCTGTTAATAAGGAAACACTTTACATTAACCAGCTACAGGAGTGGAAGAGACTGAAAATTCCTAATTTGGATGTTTATTTCTCAGCTATGAGGAATGTGGCATTTGTGTGGATATTCCTTGAAGTTATCCATTTCAATTATTACATTAATTGGCAGAGGGCCTTCTCGCTAGTGGCGCCCACCCTGTGGAACACCCTCCCATCAGATGTCAAAGAGATAAACAACTACCTGACATTTAGAAGACATCTGAAGGCAGCCCTGTTTAGGGAAGTTTTTGATGTGTGACATTTTAATGTATTTTTAATCTTTTTTTGGAAGCTGCCTAGAGTGGCTGGGGAAACCCAGACAGATGAGCGGGATACAAATAATTTACTATTATTATTATTGTTATTATTGATGCTAAGATTAAGATAAACTTAAGGAAGGTCATCAAAGGAAATTTTCACTTCCATTCTCTCCACTGCAGCCCCTTTCCCCATTTTCCCAGAAAGTCTCTCCAGAGGATCAGTGGTCCTCCTGAACAAATCTGGGATGGAGTGAAGGGAGCTGCTGGAGAAGAAGACAAGGGCCCAAGATTGGGTGTGCCTCCATCCACTTTTGGACAATTCCACACTCCAACTTCCACTATCAACCCCTTGTGCTGTATCCCACATTGTCCAGGACCCCACACCCAACTGTTAGAAGAGGCTGCAGAGAGAGAAGGGGTGAGAAACTTTCCTTCTGTGAACTTCATTAACATGTCACCGTATCTTAGGTTGCAAGCCATATCAGCACATTAGGTTCCTGTATCTCAGCAGTTGAGAAAGAAGTGGGGATTGTTTCTGACACTTTGTGGATAACGATCCATAGCCCAGAAAAATATATATATTAAGGAGAATAGAAAACAGAACGTTGCTCTTGATCTTTGCTTATGCGGCACGACTTTAGCCTCAAGTTTATTGCTTTGACAATGGCTGTAAGATGCGGGCATATTTTTGGTGCTTTTCAACTGTCAGCAGATATCAGAGCTTTAGTGTGTATCTCTATCTTCAGCAATCCCTCTGTTTTGTTTGCTTTATAGTGGCAGAAAACACTGGTACCCAGTGGAGACATTTCACTTAAAGGAGATCTTGGCATCACACACACACACACACACACACACACACCCAACTGAATCTAGGGTGGGTGAGGTTATGCCCCCTTGTCTTTCACTGCTTTCTTTTCATTTCTTGATACCAAATGTTAGGGCATTTAGACGAGCTGCTGATTTTCATTTTTCTTCTGCTGCAAGTCAGAGATGATGCCTCTGATAATATATTTATTTTAGTAATTAATATCACATGTTTCCCTTTTTGCCCTCTACTTGTGCTTTTTTCTTTCTCTCTTTCAAAGGCACATTCTAAAGAGAGAGAAGCCTTGGGGGTGGGGGGAGGAAATCCACCCTGTCCATATTTCTCTAGCTTTAGAGGTTTTCTTACTTCTAGAGAATGAGCTGCAAAGCACCCAGGTCAAAGCTCACCAGGGCCATAGATTTTTAGCCAATCCCGCTATCTTTCAGCCTCAGTGCACACTACTGTGATCCCGAAAATTTATATTGTTGTATGGGTAATGCCAATGAAGCACTTTCAAAAGTCTTAAAAGCTCTATAGAACAGGTAGCTATTATATTAGTAAAGGTAAAGGGACCCCTGACCATTAGGTCCAGTCACTGACGACTCTGGGGTTGTGGCGCTCATCTCGCTTTATTGGCCGAGGGAGCCGGCGTACAGCTTCCGGGTCATGTGGCCAGCACGACTAAGCCGCTTCTGGCGAACCAGAACAGCGCACGGAAACGCTGTTTACCTTCCCACCGGTACCTATTTATCTACTTGCACTTTGACGTGCTTTCGAACTGCTAGGTTGGCAGGAGCAGGGACCAAGCAACGGGAGCTCACCCCGTCATGGGGATTCGAACTGCCGACCTTCTGATCGGCAAGTCCTAGGCTCTGTGGTTTAACCCACAGTGCCACCTATTATATTATGAAAACAGCACATTTTGATGTTGTTGAGAAATAGCTGTTGCTTCTCTGCATGAAGAGGGTAGTTCATAGTAGCCTCTTTCCCCCCGCCCCACACCTTTGCGTACATGCATGTACAGAGGTATTAGACAGCGCGAACCATCTTTCCCATTTCGAGCTTTTCAGCACAACTGCTCAAATGCTCACGATGTGGGATTCGATCCAGAAATAACGATGCTAAACCACAGAAATCAATGGGACTTAAAACAGTCTTGATTAAGTGAAACCCTGTTGCTTTAATGGGCCTACCCCATTCACTGCACCATTCTCAGCAAATGATTTTGCAGGGACTTAACAGACTGGGGAATGTGGAAGCAGTGCCCTGCTGGAGAGGAGAAAACTTTGCTGTGGAAGGATGGATGGCCTCTTTTTCGCCTAAATTGCCAGCTGTGATGGCAACAATGAAAAACAGAAAACGAATGCTCATTCAGAAGCAGCAGCAACCTCAGGGGAGCAGTGGTAGGGCACAGAGGGCGTGTTGCCTTCAATAACTTGATCAACAGATATTAGGCAAGAGGTGCTTCTGACATTCTATACAGCAAGAAATAAATGCGCTTCCCCAAGTAGAAAAATACTGCACTTTGGTTGCTCAGAAATTACAGTATCGGTGCAACAAAAGTGCTGCCTTGGAGGTAGACCCACAGGGAGTGCAGAACAAAAAGGGAAGCAATTAATACATTGTTGTCGCCTCCGCTGCCTTTCTGCCTCTGCAGTGAGGTTGTGAACGTTACAGCACAAATGTGGAAGGTGTGGGTGATACAGTGCAGTCCTATGCATGTTAAACATTTGTCTTGTATGAAGACGGTACACTAGAGTCAACTGCACAGAGACCTTTTTTTTTTTTTTGTAGGCCATAATAAAGATCACATGAGACAGTGGGTTGCTTTGACAAACACATTAGCTTTGAAAAGAGGCTCTCTAACAACTACACATACCTGAGGAAGGAATATCTGGGAAGGTGCGATTTACAATTCCTTTGGGGACTTCAGCCAGATTAGAATGCTGGAGATGGCCTGAACTAGGCTAGCAAACCAGAAACAAATCTTTGGGAACGTTTAAAAAATAAAACAAAACGTTCCCCTTGATGGCGGTGACATGGGCCTCAGAACAGGCCAGAGCGAAAGCCTTAAAATTCCATGCTAAGAAAACTAATATATGATGGAATACTAGCCAATAAAAGCTGAAAGACAACAGTGTACATTTTGTGGTGTATTTATAACTAACCACAAGCTACGGGGAATTCCTACTTTAAATTCCTGTCTTATTTTTTAAAATCAACCACCACCACTGCTGCCAACACACACACACACACACACACACACACACAAATACAGAAGTAAGTATCAGCATATTAGATATAATGAGATAATCCACATCTCAGACACTGAAAGTTCCTCTAGCTGGAACCATTCATGAATGACATGTGGTCCACCTTCATTATAACACATGGCAAGCAGTGCAAGGGAGCCTGCTGCCATGTACCAGTCAGCTTTTTAAATTCTATTTTCTGGGCATAGCTTTTACACCCACGACTTACGAGATTTTCCGGCTTGAAGCCTCACCAGCAGAGTGTAAACTGAAGCCACTCCAGAGGCAGTTGTGTGAAAAGCAGCTCTGGCGGCGTTTGAACTGAAGTTGTTCAGGCAGACAAACCATTCTGATGGCATTTTGAGGCATGGATGAGCATGGAGGAGAAAAGGAGAACAAGGCAAGTGAGGAAGAAGAAGAAGAAGAAAATGATGCCATAGGGAAAGGAAAGGAAAGCACAGGAGAAGCCATTGACACAGAGTGAAGAGAAGGTGTATACAATGTGGGCGGCGCATATGAAAAAGGAGATGGAGAGGAGGAGAGAAAGAAAATGTAAGCAATGTGCAATACACACCTGTATTTCTGCTACAACTATCTCCCAATGGGGGTTCAAGGAAGAACACGACCAAAATCCATCTAGTACTGATTTATGAAGTTTTAAAGCCCTGCTTTCTTAAATGGATCTACAGTGTACAAACTGTGCTGGAACTGCCGCTGCATAGCTGTTCCCGGGTATCACCCTATAAGCAATTGCCTTGCCTCTTGAAAGCATTCAAATTATTTGGCCCACTGGAGACGTTTTTGATATTACCTTCTCTCTTCCGCTTTTTCCAGATCAAAAACTAGCCCTAACAATTTGATCTTCCTTCTCTGCACTCTTCATTCCAGTTGCATGGATCTCTTTTGCAAATTATCAGTCCTCTGATTCTCTCCAAGCTTCTGAAGCCTGAATCAATGGCATGGGCTAAATCTGTTCTAAGTCCGCTGATGCAGCCTGACTGTTTAATGTCGAAGTTCCAAGAAAAGGAGTGAAAGAGGCTGCATAAAATTCTAAATTCTAAACCCTTAGTGATTTGAAAGCTTCTTTACTTTTGATGTCAGCCAGCAATATTCAAAAAGCAGCAGTGAACTTAAAGCAATTTGATATTTACTATCAATAGCCACCTTAAGACGGATACTTGCATTGAATAAAAAGCAGGCTGCATTTGAGGTAAATCGTTAGGGAAATTAGCTTGTGCATGAGCAGTTCCTGCTGATCAGGCATTCACTACTTCCAAGAAAAGCAACTATGCAATAGTGGCATAGTTTTTCCATACTGATATTTCTACATGGTATTAGAGGGAATAGTAAGTGCTAAGGGAAATACTACTAGAGGGAATATCCCACCACAGATAGATACTAAGCAAGAGATACTACATGATAACCACAGAACAATAAGCAGCGATGAAGAAGCTGTTTCAGAGGAGCTGAACTAGGGACCTTGAGCGGATCTCGGCCCACTTGGTGGTGGCCCTCAAAAATGCCTCGCCTTGACCTTGCGTTGCACTGACACCAGCAGCAGCAGCTCCCCAAAAGCAAAGAGCATAGGCATACTCAGAAGGGAGAGTTGTTTAAGAGAGTGCTGAAAGAGAGAGAGCTTCTAGGGCACAAGTTGGATGGGAGGGAAGGGGAAAGGAAGATGAAATGGATGGTGGGCTGACAGACTGATTCCTCAAGTGTGAGGGAAGGAAGAGAACAAAGGGGAAGGAAGGGGTGGAAGGAGACGAGAAGTGCCTGAGGCTGCTTCTCTGCAGTCTAGTCCCTCTGCTCTGCACTCATGCCCAAACAGTCTTTCCACCCACTATCCTGTTGAGCCAGAGAGCTTCTCTTCTCCCTTCTGAGCGGAAAAGGCCATAGGGAGTGTTGTAGGAAATGAGAAAGAACAAAGAGGTTCCATTTAAATAAATAACAAATTGGAAGGGCCATCTACCATTAAACAGAGTGACATAGCCACATCATGAAACAGATTCAGAGTGTCATGAAAGGGTAGCAAACTGGTAGTTATTCAATTTATTACTCTTCTTATTTTTACTACCAAGGACAGAGAGATGTGCTTCCAAGATTTTCTGCCTCAGGAGTCAAAATAAATTGACTGGTTTTAGATACTGTTGGGAGGATCCACCTAATGGGCTTCCACTCCTCCCCCTTCTCCATATTGTAAATATCACAAGTAATGGGTTTGGCATGTAATAGTTCAAAGATTTTGCCAGCCTTGGTCAAATTAGTTCTGAGTATTTATTTATTCTTTGGTATATCCATGCCAAAAGGTAGTAAGAGCTCTCCAAAAGGCTGCTTACTTTAGAAATGTGACTAGATGACTCTTCAATGTGGAAGGACTCTACAGGTGGCTACTCTGAAGGAAGCCTCATTGAGTTCAGCAGGAACGTGTTAAGCGGGTATGGGACAACAGCCTTATCGCTCCGTTAATTTCACAACACCAAGAAAAAAGCACTCCTAGGGGCATGCTAATTATTAGCCAAGCAATCACCTGCAAAATAAAAAAAACACCACACGCAAACTACAAACTCGGCTCACTACAATATAAATAATTAGCTTCCTCAGATAATTTTTAATTTAATTAAGCACAGCCTGTGAAGTTTGGCTAAGTAGTCGTCAAAATATGTAAACTGTATAATGAGGGTTGGTGTCAATCTCAAAATATGTAATATTCAACTGAATTCTCTCCTGCATGAAGCCGCCATCTTGTTCCCTGGAGCCACCTTGCTTTCTTACCGTAGAGTAGAATGTCTGCTAGAGCGGGTAATGCTATTGCCAACGGGAGAGGGGAGGTTACTTCCTCGGTGGAGGTCTTCAATGGATCGACTCCAAGGCTTAGATTTATCCATTGAGTTTTCCATGTTGTTTTCCAAGCTTTCAAAGTCAAACCTAAACGGAAATGAACATTTCAATGCAGGTTTGCAAAACACAAAAACAGAAAAGAGAAAGTAAGCAAGAAGAGAGAGACGTAGACAACTTTTTCCTTCCTGCTGCTGAACATCTGCAGATTTACTCTGTCCCAGCTGATTACAGTCAACAATACAGTGACGGAGCGCACTGTAACATATTTCCCCTTGAGCTAAAAACAGAGTGCTAGTTACACGTACGTTTCACAGTAAATTTGGATCTTGGGAAACAGGGAGAGGGCCATCGTGCAGATAGAACCGAGAAAGAATCTTACAACCTTATCCAGATTTTCTAACTTCAAAACTGCTTGATTCGTTGGAGGAAAACAAGTCTCCAGGGCTCTCTTCATTTTTATTTTTATTTTTTTAAAAAAAAATCAATTAGCTTTGCTTTCTAATTTAGTTTCAAATCTATCCCTGTATAATGGCCAAGACCAAACTCCAAACATATGCAATGCATTTAATGTAATCATTTCTGCTCTTCCTTTGTTTTATTTTCCCCCAGCCCTTACTCAATGCACTGCTCTTTGAAAGTGGAGCCATCTCTTCCCTTCTTATATGCTCTGAGGTTATTCTCTATGCATGCCATGTTAGGGAAGAGTAAACGACAAGTAAAACGCCTTGCTCTTGGTTCAGTATGGGAGGTGAAAGTCTTTAAAGCAAGCACTTCTTTTCCTGCAACGTGCCTTTCCCCCAAAATCAGTAATGTCCTGCCATTAACTTTGTTCCAGCTCAAACAAAACAACTGTCTCTCCCAAGCACCTTTGTCTGTATATGTCCTAAAAACCAAATCACATTTCTCCTCGTCTTAAGAACCTGAGGCCCTGAACCAGGAGAACTGCAAATAAAGCAGAAACTTGTTTGCCCGTTGCTGAATTCATGATCCTTTGAAGTGGAGATGGGAAATCTGTAAGCCCTCCAGATGCTGTTGGGCTGCAGCTCCCATCAGCCCCAGTCTGCTGTGCCAACAGTCAGGGATGCTGGGAATTGTAGTCCAGCAGCATCCAGAGTGCCCCAGGCTCCCCATCACTGCTTCAGAACATTCAGGGCTGGACAGCACAGAGGCGAAACAGAACACTGAAGCACAGTTCAGGCCAATCTTCCTCTCCCCTGCTTCCCTGATAGATCAGCACTGCAAGGGGATTTCTCATGGGGAGCTAACAGCATGTAGCTCCATAAGACTCCTCGCGCTTCCCAGTTTCTGCCCAGTACTAGCAATCACACCACTGCCATCATCTTATTGTAGGCATTTTCATGGCTAATTCAAATACTTTGAGAGTGGCAAGAAGAAGCTTGACTGCAAAGTGGTTCTACTTTCTGCAGTTCTGCCATAGCATACCAAGTGGAACTCACTGGTCTCATCCGTGGTAAGACTGAGAGTCCACTGCATCTTAAGATATGAAATCTCACTTAGGGAAATTAGAGCTATAAAAGCTTTGGAAAGGGCCCATTGCTCAGCAGAGTAGATGTGTTGCATGTAGAAAATCCTTGGTTCAAAGCACTGGCATCTCTTGTTAAAAGGATTTCAGGTAGCAGGTGATCGGGGAAAACCACTGTTCGAGACCTTGGACAACTAATGCAAGACTTGACAATACTGGGCAAAAGTGCTTCCTGTGTCCCTAACAGGTCTACGATTCACTTGTGCTTGTGCTTTAACTGCTTCCATGGAACATTTGAAAGGGTATGTTCTGAAGGTATGGAACTATCTACTTAGGGCAAGGATGCAGAAGGTCGAACTCATCTCAGCATAGAGGAACAAACAAGTGCGGTATCCAGTGTTTCCTATATGCTGCTGATACAACATACTAAGCCAAGCAGTGCATTGTGTAACCCCACAAAGAAGAGATTTCTGGCAGCAATCTTTGGAAGACCATCAATTGCTAGAACGGTAAACTATTGCACTAAAGGGTGTTCATGCTTTAGTGCACGGTGATGCACTAGCAAGGCCAAAACAGCAAATCACTCTACACTGTAATGTTTTACTTTGCGTAAGCCGGGTCTTACTTACGTGACTGCATACTGTGCAAAAGACAAATACTCTACCAAAACATCCAAGCCTTTGTTTTCTTCATTCAAAAACTCCCTGACCCACCTGTTAGGGAAAATCATTAGAGATCAGCATATTTGTACTTGTGCAAGCAAGTCTGCACACACACAAAAAAGAACCCAGTAATTACAGGAGAAAAGAAACACATTTTGCAAAAGCTAGTTAGTAATTGCTCTCTCAGAAACTTTTCAGCATGGAATGTGTAATGGTGTCACCAAACCACAAGGCCACTGCACAGGCTCAGAGCCAAGGTAAAATTGCCCCTCTCAGTCAAGATTTTGAGGTTACCATTAGAGGTCAGCACAATTACCAGGTATTTCACTTATTTTAATTTAATCATCTGGGCAGGAAAGCAAGCATCATTTGGGCTTTCTGCCATCTCTATGTAAATGTAATGCCAAGGATATTTTATCGTTTTGAAAAACCTGGAAATGCACTAACAGAGAAAGTTTGTCAACAGTAACATGGTGGCAAAACTCAAGCAAATATCATGTTAACTGGACTATACCCCCAAATCTCAAGAAACAAATGAGTTTTTGAACTTCCAATGGTCTTTCTGCAGGGATAATTGGACCCGAGCCACAGCAACCACACCAGTGATTCCTAGTTTGTATGTACTGATTTATTTTAATTCAATATTCTTTTTATCATGCTGTACACTGCCCTAGTATATACTACCTGAACAGCAGTATAGAATCTTTCAAAATGGATTTTCATTTGACATAGATTAGGCAGAGGCCTTCTTATTGGGGACCCTTCCTCAGACTGGGAACTATGGGAAATTGGCCAGGCAGTGGGGGTGGGGAGAGAGAAGAAAGAAAAGGCTGGGGAGAATACTGATGGCCCAAAGTCTGTGTTTATTTCACAGCAAGTGATTTAGGCTGTAATCACATACAGCCTAAGTGGGGATGCCCATTTATACTTTTTAAGGAGACAGGTATAGGATTGAGCTATCAGTCACAGTTTTAAGAAGCAATGCTCTCGATGGATGGGACCAGGAGTACGTGGTACAGCTGACATTTCACCACATATGGAAGGAAGCCATTTTCTGTCTCAAAGGATTCATGTGTACAGGTACGGATAGCTGCACACAACCAATTAGCTCAAGCTAATAGTCACATTGACACACACAAAAGAATTTCACAGCAGCCACTGACTTCAAAGTCCTAATGAACTTAGCAGAAATAGTCTCTCACTTCAGTCACAGCTAACATCTGGCAAGACATTAGGGTAAGTCATAAATTTCGCTTGGCATTTTTAAAAAGTTAACTCTCGGGCAAGTTTCCATAAAAGAAAAGAGTAAAAGATGATATACTGACAACTTCTACTGCATATTTGGTTTGGGAAATATTACTAAAGTTTGATGTTCAGCTGATGACAAAACTGCTACAATTGCTTACAGACTTCATTGGCATGTCATCTCAAAGATATTGCCTAAACATTTGCTGCTCTGCCAACTATGTATTAGCAATGTTGGCCTAGCTTTGGTATTTCATGGTCAATTTCACTTCAAACGGGCTTTGCAAAAGGTGGGGGAGGGAGGGGGAGAGAGAAAGAAAGAGAGCCAGAACTTTTAACAAAAATAGTTTGTGAAAGATCGGGTGGGGGGCGTGTTCAAACACACTTAAAATGCAGCTCTCTTTTGAAGCAACACTGCAGTTGTTGAATTGTGTGTCTCTAAATTCTCATTGCCTGAGCAGCACAACGCTTATGCAAAACCAGGCCACATCACAAAGTCACAAAGTGCCTTGAAGGAAAGAAAAATATGCCAGAGTAGTGGTTTTCAAATTGTGTTCTAGGGAACCCTGAGGGTTCTGAAAAGCTTCTCAGGGTTCCCAAAGGAAAGATCTGTAATAGTGCTTGAGGTATATTGTTATTGTTGTTTTTCTCTGCCTTTAAAAATGTTTTGTAGATTTTTTTCTTTATTTCTTTTTACTTTAACTCTTTGTAATTAATATTATTCATAAAATAAAATAATTTAATTTTAAAAAATGAAATGAAACCAAGGCACCCAGAAAAAAACATTTTTACCCACCGTGGGTGATGATGATTTATTAAATTTCTATACCACGTTCAATCAAAGTATCACAGGGCAGTTTACAATATAAAAACATAAAAATACATACCATAGTAACAAACAAAAACAATGGCTTCCTCAATAACTTAAAAGGCCACAGAAAGTTTAATTAGCCAAAGGCCTTTGAGAAGTGGGATGCTTTCACCTGGCGTCTACAGATATGTAGAGAAGGTGCCAGGTGAGTCTCTCTGGGAAGAGCATTGCACAAGCAGAGAGCCACTGTAGGAAAGGCCTGCTCTTATGTTGTTCCTGTTTGGACCTCTCACAGAGGAGGCATATGAAGAAGGGCCTCAGATCATGATTGCAGGGTCTAGGTCTGACATATTCATGAGATTATTCAGTTGATGCGTGACAATGAGGCCCCGCAGGCCTGGCCAGTACTTATATATACTGTGCATTCTCTGGAATATGTCCCAGAATGCTCTGCAACACAAGGGAGTCAATGGCAGATATTTAGGAGTACCACAGCAGGTAAGCCAATGAGGAAAGGGTTCCTATAGCAAAGCTTGAAAACCCACAGTCATAATACTATTTGAACCATGGTTCCATTTGAGCCATGAAGATACACAGCTGGGCCAAGGAAACTTTAGACAGGTTGCGATAAATGTCTTTTGCCCAAACGTCAACAAAGGTAAAATAAAATAAATTATTCTTACCCAATGTGATTGGTTCTTAAAGAAATTTCTAGTTCTCGTAATACTTGTGTAGATTCTTGAACTCTTCTCCTAAATTTCTATAATTTGCAAGGAGAGAAAACAATGCCTGAGTGTGATATTTAGATCCAGGTAGATAGTATATAAAACCTTCACACTCCCATGACAGGCGGAATACATAAGTCATTAAGATGCATATTAAGTTTAAATTCTGAAGAATTACTCTATTAATCAGACAACCAGTTTTGTGTGTGTGTGTGTGTGTGTGTGTGTGTGTGTGTGTACACACACACACACACACACACACACACACACACACCATACAATTTCCAGTACAAATAAACTTATAGTATATGAAATACATTTAGAAATCAAAATTTATCTTTTACACAACACTTTCTCCAAAGCTATCCAATATTTCATCCTGACTAGTTAACCTTCTCTCTTATACTATACTATATGGGTAATAGTTACATTTAGCTACACATTTTACTGCATGATCTGTACACACAAGGCAAATGTGTTTTATTGTGCTCTCTCCCTCTCTCCCTCCAATCCACCTGGAGCAGGACAAGCTTAAGTGACAGAACAGTGCCCAGAAGCCGTGATGAGCTGGATGAGGACCAAGAAACTGAGACTGAATCCTGATAAGGCTGAGTTGCTGTGGACAGTTAGTTCCCAAATCCAGAAATTAAGAGAGACAGCCTGTTCTAGAAGGCTCCCCTTGAAGGAGCAGGTGCATAAACTGGAGGTTCTCCTTGAATCTCTGCTAACACTAGAGGCCCAGGTCCACAACCAGCTGCTTCCTCAGCTATGACCTCAGTAATCCACACTTCAGTAACCTCACAACTGGATAACTGCTCTATGTGAGTAACCCTTGAAAATGTTCTGAAAGCTCCAGCTAGTGCAGAATTAAACTTCCAGGTTGCTATCTGGGTAACAACAAGGTAGGATTCATGGAACACCAATTCCTAAAGCACAACGCTACCTGCCTGTGTGCTACTGGGTCTAAACTAGATTTTAACTTGCAGCCTACAGGTGCTGTGTTCTGCAACCCATGAACCTTGTGCCAAACCACTTTCATTTCAACTTATGCCAGAAGTCTACTGGGTTTGTAATTCCCATCAATTCTTTGCCCACTGACCCGCAAAGACATCCTTCAATGCCCAACCAGCCATGCAACTATAAAATGAAATATAAACTTTTCACTTTAAAAAAATATGCAAGGAAGGCACACTCTTCTGAACCCTGATGGGACCTGTCTTTTGATATAAAAGAATGCCCCATTTATTCCATCATGTCAGCAGAATCAGGTGGTGAAGTTTTGACTAGACATTTCCTGGGTACAAGTCTTGCTTGCTTCCAATTATGTAGCACTTAATGACCTAAGTCTCAAAGCAGCGTACATAAAAATTACAAAGCGTACATAAAAATTTGGGGGAAAGGAGAAAAAGCTGTGAGAGAGAAGAATGCATGTTTGAATGCCTCTGTTAAAAATATAAACCACCATGCACATAAGGCATTAACAAGTCTAGAAGGCTGAAGTGAGCCCTTCTCCCAAAAATGTACCCCAGCATGCAAGCTTTCCATATTTTCAAATGTGCAGGGCTGAGGGTCAGTGCATAGAAGAGGTAAAGGTAAAGGTAAAGGTAAAGGGACCCCTGACCATTAGGTCAAGTCGTGACCGACTCTGGGGTTGCGGCGCTCATCTCGCTTTATTGGCCGAGGGAGCCGGCGTACAGCTTCCGGGTCATGTGGCCAGCATGACTAAGCCACTCCTGGAGAACCAGAGCAGCGCACGGAAACACCGTTTACCTTCCCGCCAGAGCGGTACCTATTTATCTACTTGCACTTTGACGTGCTTTCGAACTGCTAGGTTGGCAGGAGCAGGGACCGAGCAACGGGAGCTCACGCCGTCACGGGGATTCAAACCACCAACCTTCTGATCAGCAAGTCCTAGGCTCTGTGGTTTAACCCACAGCGCCACCTGCGTCCCATAGAAGAGGCAAAGGTAACGGTAAAAGGTACCACTGCCCGTACGGGCCAGTCGTGACCGACTCTGGGGTTGTGTGCTCATCTCGCTTAAGAGGCCGGGAGCCAGCGCTCTCTGAAGACACTTCCGGGTCACGTGGCCAGCGTGACGAAGCTGTTCTGGCGAGCCAGCACCAGCGCAGCACACGGAAACGCCATTTACCTTCCCGCTATAAAGCGGTACCTATTTATCTACTTGCACTTAGGGGTGCTTTCAAACTGCTAGGTGGGCAGGAGCTGGGACCGAACGACGGGAGCTCACCCCGCCGCGGGGATTCGAACCGCCGACCATACGATCGGCAAGTCCTAGGCACTGAGGTTTTACCCACAGCGCCACCCGCGTCCCTATAGAAGAGGTAGGCAGCATTAAAAAAAAGTTAACCCCTCTCATCTCCAACATAATTATTTTTTGCACTCCAGACATTGCTGAACTACAATTCCCATCATCACTGACAATTGGCCGTGCTTGGTCTTGGTTCAGAGGAGCTGCAGTTCAGCAAAATCCAAAAAACCAAAAGTTCCCCACACCTGGTCAACTGCTTCATTTGGCTGATTTTATATACTACTCCTAAATGAAAATGGGGGGAGTGGGATTCAAACATTTACAAAATAAAATCTCTTACCTTCCTAGTTACAGCTGGATCGAGATAGCCTTTTAATTTCTGGATATATGTGTGTGGAGGATTCTTGACTTGAAATCTTTCCTGTAGGGGAGAAGAATAATGGTTAGCCATCCAAACAGTTACTAGATATGCATTATAGCTAGATACCATAACTGAACGTGCCACTCTTCGCTTGCTGTTTTCATTTAATTAATATTTTATCTTCAGTTTCGTTAGGTGTCAGAAACTGGAATAAAGGCCCCGGAGTCTAAATGCTTTGAAAAAATTAAACATGTCATAATTAAAAATGAGCTACAGTTATGCAAGTTAACAGCTCTGTCACCTTCTCCTGTTTCAATTAATACCATAGGATAATTATGTGTGCCGTGAAAAAGCTTTGCATGAGAGAGGTTTCCACTACCAACTTCAACATACAAGCTCTGAGTTCATTTTCTGTCTTCTTCCTTCCTTCCTTCCTTCCTTCCTTCCTTCCTTCCTTCCTTCCTTCCTTCTTTCCTTCTTTTTCAACACCTCTTTGTGCTTTACAACTTGCTGCTGGCTTTGAAGGGTAAACTAAACTATGAGAATATTATGTATAGGACAGTAAGAGAAAAGGAAATGGGAAACGCTACTGTCAGAGACTGCCTCCAGGTCCCAGCTCACAGAGGACCAACGCTAGCCAGCGGTAATATACAAAAGTCTTTATTTAAGTACATTATCCATTTTCAAACCCTAGCGTGCGTCTCTACGTCTAGACACTAGACCGGCGAAGCTCCGTCTGAATCTCCGTCCCCTGTACACCAGCTTAAGACTCTAGCCTTACTCCACCTCTTCCGGCTCTCCTTCCGCCTCTGGGTCCTACTACCCCCCGGGATCCCTTCCTTCCTGGACGCTTCGGACGCGGACCCCTCTGACTCTTCCCCCTCCCTTCGGCGGGCTTTAGGACCTGGCTCCCTTTCCAGGCTGCTCACTGCGCCACTCTCTTGTAGGTTTGAACTTGGCGCGCGCGCCCTGTCTTTGACCTTCCTTTCGACCGTTTCTTCGCTCTCTGATGCAGGCGTGGCCAATCCTGACTCATGTCCTTCTGCTGACGGAGAGCTGCCTGATGCCGATACCTGGGACTCCTCCCCCCTACTGCTCTTTGGTGGGGAAGCTGGTCCCGATTTCCAACTGCTGCTCTCTGATTCCCCTCTGGCCCCTCCTTCCTGGGGTGTTCCCCTTGGCAACCCCCTTGCTCTGACCACGGGAGCCCCTTTCTGTGAATCCTCCGATTCACTGGAGAGACTCAGAGACCTCGGACGGCTGTCATCGCTGACATCTCCCTCGGATTCCTCCCCCTCGGTCTCTATCTCCTCCCTTTCCTGTGCCTCTGCTCCTGAGCCCCTGACAGCTACTAATAAACAAAAATTATTAAATCTGTTTAATTCATCACTGTAGTCAATCTGCAAATACAATGGAAATCACTGACAGAAAGCAAATATTATCCATGATCATGTCCTTTACAAGCCAGCAATGGGCAGATTACTCTATTTCTGGTCCATTTCAGTTCCGCATGTTCATGAGTCTGCAGTGTTCGAAACTCCCATTGTTCTAGGCGCATTTTGCGACAAGGAATTTAATTAGCGCAAGCAGTTTCTGAGCTCTGGGCGAAGTACTGTGCCTAAGATTTCAGATTAAAACTGCAGAGTGGAAAGAAAGGAGGACCTTTTTCTGCCTCCCCACTTCCAGCCACTCTCTGAAGACTGAAGAAGAGACCCTCTTAAGAATATTAGGGGGGTGGGCAATAAACATTAGTTATATCCTGCAATAAGATTTGAATTTTTGTTTCCTGTAGCATGGCTAAGAGCTTCAAAAATCCTCCTTTCTGTTCATATGCTAATCTCATAACTGCATAGTGTGACTATGATTCCAGCACTATGTGCTGCTTTGGTACAGTATTTTTTTTAAGTGTTTGCTTATCTCCTGTAAATGTGGATTAAATTCATAAAGCTGAATTATAATACCACACACCATTTTATGTCAACAACAAATCCTTCACATTAATATGCTTATCATATTCATATCTACCGATTATCAACACCCAGTGAATGCTAAATACTGATAACCATATCCTGAAGACTGAAACAGAGAGATCCATTGTTTCTTTAAAGCAGTGGTTCACAAATTACACTGTTTAATATCGACTTATGACTGAGCCTGTTGGCATGCTTTATAACTTACATCCCTTTTCCTTTGTCACATCATTCCACCTTTATGCCTATATGAATAGTTCCATGCATCCTAATAATTTGCTAGCACATGAGAAGTGGGGACTAAGATAATTAAAAAGAAATAAGTCACGTGTGGAAATCTAAAGCTTGTGAACTACGATGTGAAAGGCAAATCTAGTAAATGCTTAGAAATCGTGACTTATGCAAGTCTGCAGCATAAGGTGGCTGCAGGTCAGCACTAACTGGCTAAGACCTTGCACCATTTTAATTCCTCAGAATAGTTCTGTGGCTATTTTCATTCCCCCCACCCCATGTGTGCATGCATATGTCTGTGTTTTTAAGCAAGCAGAAAAATAAATGCTTAACCCTTTTTGAATATCCAACCTAGATAATCAAGAGTAGCATGTGGGTAAACAAACAAAGCCAACTCTAGAAGAAGATTCCGCTTTTTTTCCTTCACACATAAAGCAACATACTATGGAAAGGCACGTTACTCAGGTGTTATGCAGCATAAGTAGGGTCTGCAGGCCATGAACACTAGCCCTGCCCCCAGTATTCCCATATGTGCCAACCACGCCTATTTCACCACAAACCTTCCCATATTGAGGGAAAGGTCTGAATGGGGCTTTAAAGCACCATATATGGCTGATACACATTTAGAAGTTTCGTTGTGCTAAGGAACCCTGATAATGCAGTGCTCCTGCTCTCCCGGAGACTTCTAAGCAAGCTCAGCCAAACACACCTAGACGACCCCTTCACTGCACATCTTCATTCAGCAGCTAGTAAGTTATGGAAGTCTCTACCACAATGAGGTTATGAATGACTACTAATCTCAAGGGCTACAGTATATTACTTCTAGTATCAGATGCACTATGTCTCTGAATACCAGTTGTTGGGGATCACAAAGAGTGCTATTGTGCTCATATCCTCTTTGTGGGCATCCCACAGGTATTTGGTTGACCACTGCAGGAACAAGATGCTGGACTAGATGAGCATTTGGTCTAATCTTGCAGGGCTTTTTTTATGTTGTGTATGTAGGGGTTGTGTACATTGAGGCCAGGGCTGGATGCACAGACCTTGAGGGTGTCAACCATGTCGCCTTTCCCTATTCAGGCATAATGTCCGAACAGAACCTTAGAGTATGCCTTTAGGTTGCAGACCTACATAATTTAATACAGAAGGCACTGCCATGGTTGATGCTAACTAGGAACTGAATCCAGAGTTTCATCAGGGTTTGATATTTAACGCCTCATTAAAAGCAAATCATAGTACCTTTTACGGTTAGTTCTAATGTCAACAACTTATAACCATGGTCAAAGCTGGAAAATGCATTTGTACATGAGAGGAAGAGAAGCGATACACAATTTATTTCAAGAAATAAGAGTATTAAATGTTCGCTACATTGCCATTTTCACTATTCTTGTTTACTTTCCCCCCCTTTGATTCAAGCATTCGGTCTCTCACTCTTCAGCCCAAAAGAATCCAAAAAGAAGAAAACCAAACAGTAGCCAAACAGTTTAGTAGCACAGCATACAACAGACCAGCAAAAAACCCCTAAAATATTACATGTATTATTATTATGCATTATTACATCACCACCAACCTTAAATACCAGCTAGGTATCTTGACCACCAACATCCCAAATTGCTAATATGTCCTAGATGTAAACAAAATGCTCATCTTTTTGGATAAACCACACAATGGGCTTCTTTTCCAGAACAACAATCCAAGCCTTCCATGGGTAATCGATTATGTTGGCGCATATATATATATATATATATATATATATATATATATGCTTTCGTAGATTTTCACGGGTACAGGAATGCAGGTTTTGGTGTCCTCGGGTGTCTTCCCGTGTAAAAGTTGGGGTGTCTAGGCGACGTTTCGACGAGGTCTCACTCGTCATCTTCAGGCTGGTGCTTTCGGCTTCTTGTTACTGGAACAGAGCAGGATCTCAGTGTTTGAGTTCCTATGAATACTGTTGAGGGGGTGTGGTGTATAGCCTCCAATGTTCTGGGCAGAGAGGAAGTTCCCAGGCTAGTGTGCCTTTTCTTCTTTTGTTCCTTAATTACTTGAGGGATATCTTGAGTGATTTCTTGAGTGATATCCTGAGTACCACTTAGGTGGGTCATTAGGTGTGGATTAGTTGCTAAAGCCTTCGTGTCTTGACCTCTTGAACTTTGTGAAGAGTTTTTCTGAGAAGATGGCTGTATTGCATTTAGTTGTGCTCTGGCTTGGCTTCGTGTATAGGGGCGAGCTGTGGTTTTGTGTCCTGTGCCAGCCAGATCTGTGTAGGGATTGCAGGGGGGTGCAGCACCCCCCTGCAATCCCTACACAGATCTGGCTGGCACAGGACACAAAACCACAGCTCGCCCCTATACACGAAGCCAAGCCAGAGCACAACTAAATGCAATACAGCCATCTTCTCAGAAAAACTCTTCACAAAGTTCAAGAGGTCAAGACACGAAGGCTTTAGCAACTAATCCACACCTAATGACCCACCTAAGTGGTACTCAGGATATCACTCAAGAAATCACTCAAGATATCCCTCAAGTAATTAAGGAACAAAAGAAGAAAAGGCACACTAGCCTGGGAACTTCCTCTCTGCCCAGAACATTGGAGGCTATACACCACACCCCCTCAACAGTATTCATAGGAACTCAAACACTGAGATCCTGCTCTGTTCCAGTAACAAGAAGCCGAAAGCACCAGCCTGAAGATGACGAGTGAGACCTCGTCGAAACGTCGCCTAGACACCCCAACTTTTACACGGGAAGACACCCGAGGACACCAAAACCTATATATATATATATATATATATGACCATAGCAGTGGTTAGAGGCAGAATTGCTTCTGAGTACCAGTTGCTAGAGACTACTGGAAGGGGGT